CTTAGTGGATTGTCAATAACTTGGTCAGGCAGAGAATGTTACACAGCACATGAAGGAAAACCCTTCTCTGTCTCCCAGTTAATCAGCCTATTCAAGCCTGTATCTGTACAGATCAGAAAAAGAAAAAGAAAAAAAAAAAAAAGTGCTTTCTCTTGTCTTTACTACCACTCATCATAAGCCCAAGTGACCCAGATGCAGGTAGAGCCAGCATTCTGGGCAGAGGAGTGCAGAGCATCCCCGGTGCCTTCCCCCTCCTGCTTTGTGAGAGCAGCATCTCACTTCACACAGGCAGTGACTGCAGACATTCACTGGCACTTGGGGGCTGAACAGTGCTTGGCTGAGGATGGCACAGAAGAGCCTTCTATCACACATTATGTAGAGACACCAAAGTAAAAAGGACACAGTCATGCTTAGAAGAGAGCCTTAGATTATGTGGTCAATACTTAGTAGCTCACAACTAAACAGCCAATTATGAATTGACACCAAAATTGTTTTCCTAGAGCTCAGGTAGTTCAGTTTTGGTGCATAAGGTCATCATCCCCAGCCGTCATATATATCTGAAGCCACAAGAGGAAGGGACATATATTAATTTTGGTAAAACATGTGAAATTCATCATCCTGGAGAAAAAAGTTTTACTGCTAGACTTGATGTATGGGTTGAAATTTTGTGCCTTCTGTAAGTCAGTCCCAACTACATGCATGATGTTTTAAAGAGCCTTATTTCAATCCTGACAAATGAGCACCAGATGTTTTTTTTTAATCATAGTTGCATTCTATATGCAACTATATATTCTATATATTTAACATTTCAGGCTCATGTTAAGGTCTGAGAAATTCTCTCTGATAAAATATTATAATTCTGATAAAGTAAATAAATAAATGAAGAACTGAAGTCTTTTCACCAGGAGAAGGAGCAGATAGGTAGAAAATAACGTCTGGGTTCAGTTATCATTCAGCACAGACCAATCGTTAGAAAATCTCTCATGAAGAACAATGACTTTTGCTCTTTTTTTACTTATTTCATTGTTCCTTTCAAAACAACCGTGCTCTGAAAGGTTCTCTTTAACCTATATATGCCATAAGCAGGAGGTTAAAAGGTCTGTAATTACATGTGACCATTCTGGCTTCTCTGCAGATGACAGGGGGGATAAGGCTCCTTCCACAGGGAAGAAAGTCTAGTTTTTAGGATTTATTTGTTGAATTAATTGTTTTATTTTATTTTCTTCCTAAAAGCAGCGCTCATTCACTCCAATCTCACCGTCCACCTTATCCATTCCAAAGGAACCTGATCCATTCTGAAGGAAAGTACTCTCCAGGCCAAGCTTTCCCCTGACCAGACACCTTGGGCTGGAACTGCATAGTGGCAGCCAGAGAAAGATTTGTTCCTACAAGTGCGAAGTACTATTTTCATTCCTGTTAGGCTGAGTTTTGATTTTCCTTTCCATTTTTGTCTGTCCCAAGTACTCTTCCTTGCTTGTTGAATAAATACATTGAAATACTTCCTTTCTTGTTAGCAAAGCAATTTAGTATTTAAATGCAAACTTAAAGCAATGTCAGTGTGTAGGTACACACTGAGCTAGAGCACATACCAAGAGGCTGAGAAACAGGTCCCATTCCTCAATCTACCACTGACTAAATTCGTCACCTTGCTCCAGGTTTCACCCAGCTGTGAAATGGGATAATGATCCTTCCTTAACTCATAGGGCAGGAATGTCATTAATATTTGGACATGGTTTCAGATTCTTGAAGAAGAACTTTTCCATTATATCATTTCCCTGTTCTGGCCAGCCCTTGGACTACAGTTGTGACTGTAGTTTCATCTCTATATCCTATAAGGTGTGATGGCTGGGTTTGGTGCCGCCATTTCCAGCATGCAGTGCCTCTACAATGGATGTTTTTGGAAATAAAACAGGAGCTTTTTTAAAGTAAAGCTTTTGTTTGAAACTCTTCAACCTTCAGGAAAGTTTATACTTGACTTCAGATCCCAATTCAGCTGCTTGGGACCATCAAAGAGAAACCTATCACTGAAAAAGCATATGAAGTTGCAAGAAAAGGGAAGAAAGGGGACAGCAGCTGACAAAAAGGTATAACTAAGAAATAAGTGAGCAGAGGAAAACCAACAAAAGCTGACAGTTAATCAAATCTGCATGCAAGGAACTGGACTTGTTTCAAAAGTGGAACTGAAGACTGTATTAAGACTAATTTTCTGTGGCTCTTGTTTTTTGCCTCAACTGCCCCAATGACAATGCACTACAATACTGACACATGCTATACAAAAAGCTGTAGATACTCTGAGTGCATTGATGAAGCAGTGATCTGAAATGAATGAGCAAACTGTGCAAATGCCATTCCAATTCACTCCCAGGAACACAGTCCCTTAATGATTTCCCAGAGACACAGTAAGCAGCAGAAGCAGAGGATTCTTTGCTCCTGCCGTAACTGTTGAGAGTCCCCAGACACAGAATGATGTGAAATGATTAATGTTTCATTGTGAATGCCAACCTTCTGCAAAGAGGATGGAGATGCTCTTGCTGCTGCCGCCCCACAACAGGGAGATGGTATACATATATATGTATGTGTGTGTATATATATATATATATATATATCTGCATACAGGCTCCATGCTCTGGCACAAGTCGCCCTTTGTTTCTGCAGCACCTGTGAGTGACCAATCCTACATTGAACCCCAAGATGGAAAAACAAACTCAAAATGGATGGATTGGTCCTGAAAGGAGCCTGGAACTGAATCCAGCTCTCTGCAGGCACAGTTGTAATACACAGTCCCTTTTCTAAACTGACATGGCCTGACATTAGTAACAACAGAAATGCATATTCCTGTATTACTCACTTTGGCAAAAGTCCCTGTAAGACTGTTTTAAAAGCTGACATTTGAACCCAGAGGCACTCCCAAGGCATTGTTGTGATTAGGGCTGAAATACCCTTACTGACACAGTGCTCCAGAATAAGGACAGACATACAGAAACCTGGTCTCAGTTACTATTCCACAGAGGCAATTTATCTGTAAATCAAACATGTGGCACACTTTGCTTCAGATTATCCTCTTGATGCCCCAAAGCAGCATCTAATCAGATTTCACTCTGTCAGATACTCTATCAAATACTCTTTCACTTTATCAATCTGTGTCATAAATGATGTAGGAAATAACCCACAATCTCACTCTGCCCTCTCACAGGAGAACAAGAACAATATTTTCCCATGAAGGCCTAAGGTGTTCACTGCACAGAGTAAATGCCAGTGCACAGAGAGAACTCTGAAACCTCTGGAGAGATTAGAAACACTTTCTCTGTCAAAGATTATGTTACAGTCCTGCAGTACTCTACACAGAACTGCAAGACCAAGCTTGATTTTTTTGAACATAAGGTGAAAGTAGTTCATCTTAAGTGCACATTTAAATTGAAGAATTCTTAGAAGAACCCTGGCAAGAAATAGAATAACTTCTTTTACTTTTGGAGAATGTTTACCATTGCATTATTACAAATGAGAAAATGAGGATTTCTGAAATTCAAGATATTAAAGCTGTATGCCTTAACATGTTCTCAAAGCTCAACCTAATCAGAGAACTAAGGATTCTGTAATTATATGTAAAAGTCTGTAATTATGTGTAAGAGTCTTACCCAGATTTTCATTCTTGACTGCAGAACTGTGTTAAGACACATTCAGAATTCCTGTTTTGGTTGTTACTCTGCTCACTCAGACAAGTTCTATTGATCTCAAAGAGCTTTGTGTACGTATGAAAACTGATTAAGAGCTGGAAAAGACCACCGGTCCTTTGTCTTTAGTTTAAGCCTCAGGGAATCTGATTAATTCTCCTCAACTTCATTTCTGATATTTTTTGCACTTCTAACTCAAGTAGAGACAGTAACTTGAGAAACTTCAGCTTCCAAAAGTAGTTTTTGTTTGTTTGTTTGTTTGTTTGGGTTTTTTTTTTTTTTTTTTTTTAATCTGACACAGATGATTAGTGGCTGAGGGCTCTAAGGGGGCTCAGGTGGAGGAGGCTCAGAGAGATATTCTCGTTTTCTGGTTTTCTGAAACTCCCTGACAATAGGATGTAGTTAGGTGGGGATCAGGCTCTTCTCCCAGGAAACAAGTGACATGAGCAGAGGAAACAACCAAAAGCTGTATCAAAAGAGGTTCAGGCTGGATATCACGAAGAATTTCTTCAGAGAAAGGGCAGTGCGGCATTGGAATGAGCTGCCCAGGGAGGTGGTGGAGTCACCATCCCTGAAGCGTTCAAGAAATGATCAGGTGTGGCGCCCAGTGCTCTGGTCTAGTTGACAAGGGTTAACTCAGGCTGGATTTGATGAAGGTCTCACAGGCCCCTTCCAACCTTAATGACTGTGTGATTCTGCGATTCTGTGAAGTAAAAAGTTTTCTGTGTCGTGGTGAGTGCCATGGGCAGCGCTGCAGCCCAAGGAGCGTGGGATCGGTCACACAGTGCTGTGCTCAGCCTGCCCTTTGCCTCCTCCACACGTTAGACAAGAGGCAGCCAGCCCAGCCTTCCGCCAGGAGCTTCCCACACGGCCGGGCCGGAGCGCACCCTCAGTCCTCGGCGCGTCCCACAGTTCACCACATCACTGCTACCGCAGCATCGCGGGGCGCCGCTGGCACCGCTACCACTCTCCGAATGTCTGAGGGCTTCTGACACCGACGGCCCCGGCCCGCGGCCGGCCGTCCCACGGGGGAGCGGCAGACGGCGATGAAGACGCGAACAGCGGCACAGGGCCGGGGCTCACCCCGCTGTGCTGAGGGCCGGGGCGCCGTTCCCTCCCGGCCACAGGGGGCGGCAGAGGGCGCAGAGCGGGGCCCGGGGAGCGGCGCGCTCGGCGGCGCGGAGCTCATCACGGCGCGACGGCGGCGGGAGCTCTGCCCGGCTCCTTGCGGCGCGCTCGGCGGCGCAGAGCTCATCACGGCGCGGAGCTCATCACGGCGCGACGGCGGCGGGAGCTCTGCCCGGCTCCTTGCGGCGCGGAGCTCATCAAGGCGCGACGGCGGCGGGAGCTCTGCCCGGCTCCTTGCGGCGCGGAGCTCATCAAGGCGCGACGGCGGCGCGAGCTCTGCCCGGCTCCTTTCGGCGCGCTCCCCGCGGGGTTGTTTCGGAAAGACATGACCACACAGGTAACTAAAAACACAGCGGGAGCTAAGCTAATTGCTGGCTTGAAGTGTGTGTATATGTATACATATATGTGTGTGTGTGTGTATGTTTAGGCCGCTCATGTGTAATATTAATTATTTTTTCTTTCTAGTACGGTATTCTCTTCAAGCAAGAGCAAGGTGAGCAAACGCGAACGGGTATTGAGCAATGTTGGTGTTCTGGGATGATGTAAAGTTGATAATGGCAGGTATCCGTGTGAGGAGACCTGGTTATGTTTATATTAGGCATAAATCTGAGTAACTCAGGTAGCTGTGCTGCTTTTTCAGCAGTGATGCTGGTCACACAACACATTGCGTATTTTGGAACAAAGAAGACAGCACTCAGTAGACCTGAGGAGCCGGGCAGGGTCTATTGCCAACACTGCAGCTAGCCAGTTCAGCATTACCTAAACCGGTTGTGGTGCTCTAGCAAAAGAAAATACTTATTTTTTAATTACTGTGCTTATATTCTCTTTTAGCTCACGATGATGCCATTTGGTCAGTTGCCTGGGGCAAAAATAAAAATGATGGTTCTGAAACAGTGATCTCTGGCTCTTTGGATGATCTGGTAAAGGTCTGGAAGTGGTAAGTGCTCCCTATTAATCTGTGTTAAGCCTTGGAAGTAGTCAGTGTGGAGCAGCCTTGAATTTCCACAATCACCAGGGATGTTAGAAGAATGGCACACAGAACTGCTTCTTTGAGCAAGTTTATCTCCATTGGTGTGTGCTTTCTCTTGGAGTGGTGGCATTCTCTTCTGTTTTCATTTCCAAAAAGTGAGAATCCTTTTGAAAATGCGTGTCAGAGAATACTTAATGTACTTCTAAACAAAAGAATGAGAAATGCTTCTTTTGATGAGACAGTGCATTTGGAGATGTGTATTGTGAAAGAAATAATGGGAATAGTGAGAACGAGGAAATTACATCTTTTTTTATTGAAAAAAGATCCTGATAATCCTTATGTAGGTGTGCTTTTGCAAAGAAGTTATTGTCTCTTGGGCAAAGCAGTGTGAAGGATGTGTTTCACTTCAGTGATAGATTGAGCTTGGTTGGGGTGGCTGTGAAAATGTCAGTCATGGTACTTTGAGCTGAGCTCACAGGTCAGCTCTGTGAGCACCCCAGACTGGTGTGTCGTGGACATTTCTTGGTGGGATGGCTTCCAAACTTAGGATGAAGTACCTGCTTGGCGGGAATATGGTAAATTATTGATTTGTGAGTTCTTTAAGTACAGAGAGTTTGTGTGTAGCCCTTCACATTTTCATGGGAGGACCTGGATTGCCTTGTGTTGAACAAAGGGAGGAATGTGGATTGTTTGTTTTGTGTCAGGCTGGGGATGTTCAGCACCCTGAGCTCTTCCCAACAAGGCTTTTCTTTCCCTCGCACGGAAGGAACGATGAAAAGCTGGATCTGCAGTGGACTCTGGAGGGTCACCAGCTGGGAGTGGTGTCTGTGGACATCAGCCACACGGGTGCCATTGCAGCTTCCAGCTCTCTGGATGCCCACATTCGCCTCTGGGACTTAGAGACTGGCAAGCAGATCAAGTCCATAGATGCTGGTCCTGGTAAGACACCAGTGCTGAGCTGGTTCTGCAGGGAAACAGTGTGACTCTTCCTGGCAAATACTGGGGGATTGAGGTATATGAGGGGATTAAGGTCTTTGGGGGGGTTTAATCTTTCCTGTATTTGCACAAATCTTAAAGGTTTTATGAACTCAACACAAAGCAGCATCAGAGAATTCTAAACACTCTTTGTGCTTTCTCAAGTACACGTAGTTGGCTTTTTGCTGTATGCATAAAGCAGAATGGAAACCAGCTTGCTCTTACACATATATTTGTAAAGGGATATTTAGAAGAAATAATTCAAATGCTTATTCAGATGGATTTACAAAGGAGCTCTGAACATTCTTCATAACACTGCAGTGAATTTCAGCCATGCATGTGATCCTTTTTTATCCAGAATGTCCAATCCTGAGCAAGCAAGTCAAAACAGCTATCAATGGTAACAGTGCTAATGTTCTCCAAGCTGGAGTTCAGGGCCTAAGGTCGTATTCCAAGTATTTCACAAGTCCACTGGAAGTCACAAATTTAATAACAATCTCGCAGTGTTTTAGCCAATTAATATTTAACTTTTAGGAAAAAACCTATGAATTACATTGTGCCAGATAAATACATTGTACTGCTATGAAAAATGATGGGTTTTTACACTCAGTTGCAGGAATGTTATCTGTGTTACATTAGTATATCTGCATTTCTCCTGCATCTTCTGTGCTTTGCTACATACTAGTGTTGATTTTTTTCAGTAGTTTCAATCTTTTGGTACCAGGAAAAAAGTAAGAATTTAGACTTAACTGATGCAGTCTATAATTGTAAATTTATTGTTACACAAGGGTCTCATAAGGCCAGGGTCTTACTAGAAATGTAGTCTTTTACTAAATATAAGTAAATGGCTCAAGCTACACTCCATTAATTACACAAAAGGGGTAACTTTATAAGCTTCTACACTCTTAGAGGGTTATATATCTAAACAGATGCATACAGAACTGACACTGTTGAATAAGAACCAAGAACAGGATCCAGCTAACTGGTTTTTATTTTTTAATACAGTTGATGCTTGGTCCCTGGCTTTTTCACCTGATTCCCAGTACCTTGCAACAGGAAGTCATGTGGGAAAAGTAAATATTTTCGGTGTTGAAACTGGAAAGAAAGAATATTCTCTGGACACCAGAGGAAAGTTCATCCTTAGCATTGCATATGTAAGAAGCACAATTGATAATTCCTTATGAGAAATTGCTGTTGCTATAATATGTTGTAAATAGGTATTTTTGCTTCCATCTATCAGTTTATCGCTTCAATAATACTAGGTGACAGCCATGGTTCCAAATACAAATTGTATGACATTTCCCCCTTGCACATGTGGAAAATATATTTGGACCTTTTTATAGTCTTCAGGACTTTTGGAGCCCAGATATCTTGCATAGATCATTATTTGTGAAAAGTTGCTAAGGGAATGTCAGGGCTTACACAGCATAAATGCACACAGATGTTGAATCACACTTTTTGTGTTTTATTATAGAGTCCAGATGGAAAATACTTGGCCAGTGGAGCAATAGATGGCATTATCAATATTTTTGATATTGCAACTGGAAAACTTCTGCATACGCTAGAAGGTATGGTTTGGTTATTTGCAGTACCTAATTCTGACCTCACTTCTGAGAAAATTAAAGGATATAATGCAAGTCAGAATAAGCTACAACCATGGCAAAAGTGAGCTGACATTTTTGTCCATTAAACAGTATTTAGTTATTTAGTGTGCTCTAACCTAAACCACTTAAAATAATAAAGACAAACCTGTAAACTCAGGCTTGAATCATAAATGCCTTTTAAAGGCATTTAAAAAAGATACAGCCAGTAATGCTTAACTAAATTCTTAACTAGGAGCTCATTGTATTGCAGAAAAGTACAAGGGAATGAAGCCAAGTCAAATGTGTGCTGCCATGCATATGGTTTTTCTTTTTCTTATGTGATTTGTTCTAAAGCAATTTTTTGCTGTTCTAAAAAACAACTGAACATTTTTTGTTGTAGAATACATGCATTTTTTTCTAACAGATAAATGGGCTTTTAATGTTCATGCTGTTTCTGCCCTGTTGTAACCAAAACCCCAACCACTTAAATATGCAATCATACTATAAAATATGACATAATTTCAGAGATCCACAGCTAAAAGACACAAGATACTTTTTGTGTTGCAGACATGCCTTAACATTCACAGTTGAGAATTGCTGCCTGTTTCCATTTTCATTTTTTGTGGGAAGAAGCCTCTAGAGAGAAAGAGGCTTCGGAGGCTGCTGTCTCTGAGCAGGCAGTGCTGTTATGGAGTAGCTGGCTGAGCGCTGGTGTCAGTGAGGGGAGTGCCAGTGCTGCTCTGTGTCCCTGTGCCTGCAGGCCACGCCATGCCCATCCGCTCGCTCACCTTCTCCCCTGACTCCCAGTTACTCGTCACCGCCTCAGATGATGGCTACATCAAGATCTACGACGTGTGAGTGGGGACTGCCGGCCCTGCTGGCAGGACAGCAACTGCTTAGAGAGGCTGATACTGTGAAACATACATCAAACCCTCGGCTCTCCAGAATTCCTTTCAGCTTTTGGTGACTTTTTATGTAATAAATAATCTTAAATCATAAAATACTACATCCTTATATAGTTTTTGAAAGTGTAGAGGTAGAAGAAAGCTGTAAATTGAAGACAAATGACTTTCCTCATATTTGCCGGTAGGCAGTAATCTAATTATTCCATGTATCTGTCCTGTGAGCTTGTGTTCACCCTTCCTAAACATCTGTTCTGTACTGAGCTAATTATATTTATGACCTATTTCTGTTGCATCTTGCAATATCTTGCAAAACCCTGGGGAGGAAATCGCCCTGCTTCAGTTGTCTTCACCCCCTAAACCTGCATTGCTTTGGCTTTGGTGAATTTTTGTCCTCCAGTCTGTCTTAGTGACTTATTTTTATGTTAACTATTTGAAATGGAAAAACAGAATCTGCTGTAACACCAGTTCAGCTTGGATGAACAAATGTCCAGAAGTCACCTTCCATTGAACTATTCTTGATTGCACTAGCTAGAGAAAATTCCTGTTGCTTTTCCCCTGCAATTCACAAAGCAAATATTAATATGTCTTTCCACAGGCAACATGCAAACTTGGCTGGTACATTAAGTGGTCATGGATCCTGGGTTTTAAATGTAGCATTTTGTCCTGATGATACCCATTTTGTTTCAAGGTATTGAGGATTTTTAATTGTTTATGATTACTGAAAAAAAAAATTATATGTGTACAAATTGCAGAGGGATCTGTAACAAAATAGCATGAAATTTAAAGGCTTGAGCCAATCTGTGATGTGATACCAGCTGTAGTGAGAGCATTTTACAGAATAAGTCATCCCACTGCAGTGTAGTTCCTGACAAGTGAAAAACACCTAATCTAAGAGAACAGCAATTTGATTCTAAATAGCTGAAAAAAAATGCTGTTGAATCAAGAATTACAACCTAAACTTGTAGTACAATAATCTACTTGAACTTTAGGATTAATTCTTAAAACAGCTGAGACAGCTGGGGACCAAGTAGATGTAACAGGAATTTCCTTATCCAAAGAACTTGCCTCAAAGAATTTTTTGGCCAAAATGAGTCTTCATTTTCACATTGCAGATGTTGGAACAGTAAATTTATTTTAAACATAATGGAACCTGGCAAAGATGCAGTCCTTTACTACTTCATCCCTGTATTTGATGGGTGAAAGAGGGTTTCTTATGTCTACCATATGAGACCCTTTAAAGTTTGCATTAAACTTTAGTTAATATTAATCAATATTATTTTTCTTTCAGTTCATCTGATAAAAGTGTGAAGGTTTGGGATGCTGGAACGAGGACCTGTGTCCATACTTTTTTTGACCACCAAGATCAGGTATGGTTGCTATTCCCTGAGTCACCACGTTCCTAGGAGAGTTTGTGTAGTTGTGCAAATTTGTGCTTCACTTTGTTGCTGTAGCTCCAGGCTTGCAGTAATGCAACTTTAGCCTGCTATAATAAAATTTTAGAAGTTGTGGTTATTTAGCACTTAATATTGAACTAGTACTCCCAGGTGTATATGCTGATCTCTTCCAAGTAATGAACATTTTTCAGGCCCAAAGAAAGGCAATCCTGAGAGGCCTAAGTCTCACCAGACTCTATTTGTTACCTTTGTCTCTGGTTTACTTATTTCTGTGACTAACACAGCATGTGCTTGTGTAAGGGTGCAAATACTTATTTAACAGGATGGAATTACTGAAACAGATGCTTGAAAGCAGCCTGGGAACTTGGGAGTTTTTCCTCCTTCTGTGTCTATAATACCATGGGTTTTTAATTTATTGTTCAGTGATAGCTACCTGTGTGGGAAGGAGTTAGGATTCTACCCATTTGCTCTTTGTCCGAATGTTAGGTGATAAATAGAACAATATTATATTTTAATGGACCACTGAGCAAGAAACAAAGGACATTCTTCCAGATTTTGAATGTTTTCTTCCGTAGTAAATTCTTGCTGGTAACATTCTTTTCAGTTACCTATAATTATGGGGGTTTTAATACTGAAGTACCAAGTGTGACATGATTTCCCCTGTTGATTTAGCTGTTGTGTGTGATCTCGTTCTGTTGTGTATGATGTCATTCAGTAGCAGAGATGTATTAGTTACTGAGAATGCTGTGTTTGGGTACTAATGCAAAATAGATCACAAGATTGCCCAAAACATACTGCTGTCAACACACCCACTCTGCATTTCACATTAATGTGCTGAGTAGCTTCACTCTCTCTGGTATCATTCTGGTGGAGATGGCTGTCAAGTAAGCTTGTGTAACTATCTTAGATCACAGGAGTGATCTGAACTTTTCTAAGTAAGTTTTGTACCGGTAGGTAAACGGTTTTCTGAAAGAGCTCAAGGATAAGCCTGGTCATTCTTCAGTCTGTCATGATGTCTCAGTCTTCATGACAAATACTTCCTCTCTTGCTTTCCTGCACTGTAAAATACTATTTTCAGAAAGGGCTGCAGATGGGCAAGAGTGAAAATGCTTGGGTTATTTATGCAAGCTGGGGCAAGCACTTTTCAGCCCTGAGTATCTCTGGCCAGTCAGTGGGACTGGCCGTAGGAGCCCGTCAGGCTCCTAGAGGGCAGTGTCCTGCTCTGCTTCGGCAGCCTTGGCTGCTGGTGAAGCAGAAGCCAGAACTGCACCAGTTCTAATTAGTTATTTTCAAATAATCCTTGCTCTACTGCTTGTAATAAATATTACTATCACAAAGATTCTTTTCCTTTGTCCTCTCTGGATAAACTTGCATTATGTCTTTTTTACAGGTTTGGGGAGTGAAATACAATGGAAGTGGGTCCAAAATTGTGTCTGTTGGTGATGACCAAGAAATTCATATTTATGACTGTCCAGTTTAAATGTCTTGACTCAGATGCTTCAGTAAATCTCTTGTAGCAGTTTGAAGGGACTGCTACTGTCCTATGTAATTTTTTAGTATGATAAAAGCATTCATACTAATCTGCAAAACCAGATCTAATTTTGATTTTGCTTAGCATGAGAGAAAGCCTTACTTTTTTAAAATAAAAGCTACAGTTCCAAGTCCTTGTGTCTAATTCTTGGGAAAAAAGTATTTTTGGAAATAGATAGTCATGGGAAAAGAAACTGCTCAGTTAATCACCCCTGCCTTTAAACATAAATAGACCAAAGCTGGAAAGCACGAGGTATGTGTTACAACAGCTTATTTTAGCAGAAGGAAAATGACTGAGGCTGTTCTAGACATGGGAAATGACAGCCTCGGCTTGTCCTTAAGAGGATCACTTAAGCTGAACACCTGTTTCAACAATTGTGTGGTACATGGACATGGATCATTCATCATGGTTTAATTTCACTAAAGGGGACCACTTGTTTCTAACCTTGACCTAATACAAACACTACCAGCAAACAGGTTATATGGAAAAAAGCTTTAATGGGATTGCTGTACTGTAGTATCATGTATGTTACAAAACAGCAGCAGTATACCCAGTGCAGGTGGTTTTGGTTTATTCATTTTAGTTAAGGCACAAGTATACAATGCCTAGGAGGAAGTAAAAACCCTTTCTAGGGAAGGCTGAAATACAAAGCTTGAGCTTCTGAAAGGTCAAACTTTTATTTGCAACTATTTGCTTGTATGTAACACATTAGAGGACAGCTTGTAACCTTAGGTCATACAGAGAAGCAGCTGAAGGAATGTTACTGTAAACCCACAAAACACGGGAAGAGAGCTATGAGGCAGAGAGGAGGGCATGCACAAAGTGCTTCTGAAATACAATGAGACAGGTATGAGTGATGCAGCTAACACAAATAATCTAGACTAGATGATATGAGTCTGAGTTTAGAAGAACTTGTTTAAATAAAGGGGGTTCCAGAATGGCTTAGAAAGTACAAGAGAAGCACGAGAAAAGGTGAAGTACTATTTATTAGAAGTTATTCTGCTATGTTTTATTCTATGAAATTAATTTTCCAGTATGAAAGTATTTACATAAGACACTCCACTTAGGCTCTAAAGGTATTGCCGAAGTCTTATAGAAATAGCACAGGTGAGTAAATTGAGAACCTCCACAGCAAGGAAAATGCATACCAACTCAGTTGGTTCTCAGCTGTATGACATTTGCTTTATATAGAAAGACTACAAGAACACAATATAAATTAGTTACAAAAAGGTGATACTGACAGCGCAGCAACTCAATTTGCTGAACACAAAAACCACAAGCAGTGGCTATTACAGCCATGCAGTTTTCATTGTGAAAATTTACATCTTAGATGACATCCGCTCCACCTTGCTTCAAGATGCCTGACATTGTACTCCTGTTCTTGGACCCTCCTCATCTTCTTCATATGCTTCTCCTGCACTGTTACGGTAGGTTTGCTCGTTTGGATCAAAATCTTCAAGGTCTACCTGATCCATCTCATCTGTAACCATAACATCTTCTCGTGAAGGAAGCAGAGCCTCCAGCAGAGACAGTTTCTCCCTTGGGAGCCAGTAGTGCTCTGGAAACTGGACCTACAGTTGTACGTATTTTTTAAAATGAGTATTTATTAATGTACAAACATGAGTATATTGGCTACAGCAAAGTATGGAGCTTACCAAAAACTGTATGATCAGGGTGCCTTTGTCCATTGGAGATTTGTAGACAGGCATCCCTTCATTGTAGATACACTTCAGGTCGCCATGTTTTATCACTTCACCTATGGAGGCAAGAGCGGTAAGTGGGCTGCTATGATGGGACAGGCATTTCAAGCCACAGGAGGCAGGGCTGTACACAAGCAGTGTTCTCATGGCACCTCAGGGAGATTGTAACCAATTCACAGGAAAGTCCTAAACCCAAGCTGTACACAACTAAGGCCACTTAGACTATTTCCCCTGCTCTAAGAGAAATACATTTCTCTTGGCACAGTCTTCAGGCTGAATGAACAGATAACTTAGTAGAATTTAAGATTATTTCCTCTTTAATATCTTCCTGGCTATCCACCAACTGGGGCTGAGGTTTATTAAGTACTTGACAGCTTTAGGTATGATTCTGCATGTTTTAGACAGAGTAACAATAACAAAGAACCAACTAAATTAAGTGGTGCATCATCTGGTTAGGGAAAAAAACCCAAATAAAACAATCTCCCCCAAGAACTCCAGTCCAGGTAAAATTAAACAGGCAAACAGTTCACATTGTATTAGTACTCTTAACAACCTACCTGGCCTAGTAGATATAACAAGAACTCTGTTGTCGAGAGTTTCAATTGTCTTTCTGAAACCACATAAGGCCTCTGAGAGTTGAATTCTCATTTTTGTGATCAAGTCATGCCCTCGTCTCTGAAAGACACTGTGATCCTTTTGATCAAGCACAATTATGACATCACCAGGCTCCAAATCAGGCTCCTGGTCACCTTCTCCATGAAACACTATCTTCTGACCATCTTTCATACCTGAAGAAAAGAAACCCATTTATGCTCTGCAGAACTATAGACTATTATTGACTATTATTTGGGAACCAGTACAAATATACAGTTCTTACCTTTATCAACGTGAACTTCTATGATCTTTTTCTCTCTTACAACCTTACAGCCATTGCAGTTGTCACATCTGTCCTTCGGATTTATTCTTTCACCTTGGCCTTTGCATTCTGGGCATACAGTTTGGATTTGCTGCACCATGCCAGGTCCAATCTGCTGAACTATAACTTGCATCCCTCTTCCTTTACACACAGGACATTTTTCTACTGCCCCTCTCTTTCCGCCATAACCTTGGACAAAAGAGTTAAATTGGATCTCAGTCTCAGAAAATTACAGTAGTCAGGCTGGAACTTAATAACTTCAAAAGCGTATTTAGGGTAACTTAAGAGTAGTTCAGTAATGGAATTTAGCTGCCATCACAAAACATACCCCACAAGCTGGAGATTCCTACAAACAAAATGTTTATACACGAGCATATTGTATTAGCCTCTGCCCCACCCCCCAGTAACTCCTGGTTTCCAAGGAACTGTCACCATACCAAATTCAAGACAAAAATTCTATTAATACTTGGAAAATAATCTGCTTACTAAATATTTAACAGAATACCAAGATATGAGACCTTATTAAAATTTACCTCCAAGAGGACCAGTCTAGGGAGTACTTAACTGTAAAATTAGTAACATAACACAAGCTAGTCTTCCACCCGCAGCAATTAAAGAAGTTTTACAGAATAACATTTACATCCAAGTTCTGGGTGAAGATAATTTTAATTTAGGTACCCCTAACTGCAACTCACAGTGAGTTTTAGTTTTCAATTAGAACAATCACTTTGTAACACTATCGTTGAGAGACTTACTTTTGGTTAAGCTCAAGTAAGACTTAAATACCCTGGCAGACTTTCAGGGATCAGGCAAAGAAAGAAGACAGAGGAAAGTAAGAAAGCCTTCAGACTTTCTCAGCCTCAGACAATCCACACAAACAACTTGAAGAGGGTTTGAAACTACTACTTGGTTTTTTTTCTTACCTTCACACTTGGCACAAATAACATTCTTTTGCAGTGCCAGTTTCCTTGTAATGCCATTATATAGGTCTTCAAGAGATACACCTAACTGGTGCACCACATTTTTGCCTTTAGAAAAACAAAAGGGAAGTATTAATACTTGTTCAGCTCTTGTAAAGACAAATGTTCATGCACAGTCTCAAGAAATGCAGAGTTCATTCCAAACTTTGAACACAAGTCAGCCCCCTTAAAAGCATGTGCAATTCGATCAGCTTCCACTAAGTTCCACCCATTTATTTCCAAACAAAAGTTGAGCTGTAATTAAGCAAAGCATCATTAAAGCCACCCTATCCCTACTACTAATTTTGTAAGCTTAACTGAAACAGCAAGATGCAAGGACACTACCAGCTTCAGATCTGTCAATTTAGAAGTTGCTATTTATGCCTGCCTATGAATTTCCATGCCACTTCATAGCATAATTTCAGTGATTTTTACAGCAAGTTACTACTTGCTCCTTTAACAAGCACTGGGCATGGAAAAAACAAAAATCTTATCATGCTTTTGGCAGCACGCTGTACTCAGTTTCATGTAATTTCTCCCAAATATTTTTTAATGGTATTTAAGATTACTGAAGTTTAAGTTGATGGTGTCCTTTGAAGCAAGTTGCCCAAAAGCACATGAGCAAGTGAGGTACAGATTTGGAAAAAAAGTAACTTAAACAGTTGTCTAAATCAACTGCTGACTTACTGATGTTTCCCCCTCCTCTACAGACTACCCATTCCCCCTTCAACAAAAAATAAACAGAACTCAGCAGAAAGATGGCTATGGCTAAGCCATGTTATCTACTTTATTAGACTCTTAATGCTAGAGTAACTAGAAAAACCACAGTTTACTTATTCTATTGTTGCAACAAGTAATATCCACACTATGTGCACTCAGCAGAACAGCAGTACCATAGCACAGATGTTTTATGCTTAAGTGCATGGTTAGAGTTTCTAGAACTTGTTTAGAACTGTGTACCTCTTCTCTCTCTATTCATTCGGCCTCCACCACCAAAGAACATGTCAAAGATGTCCATGGGTGAAGAGAAGCTGCCGCCACTCAGGCCTCCTTCTTTAATAGCCTGCTCCCCACCCTGGTCATAGAGGTCCCTTTTCTTTGGGTCCGACAGAACTTCATATGCCTGGGATATAAGTTTAAACTAAAAAGAAAAAAGAAGCTCTGAACAACTATGACCAAGAGGAAAAGTAGCCCTCTCATATACAACTCCACCTACAGATTGAGCCACTACAACACCCTCTTGTAGCATTTGTTTCCAAAAGGAAACTCCCTGGGTAATAGACTATAATAGTACACTTTTGTCCAGGACAACCACCCCTTTCCTCCCTCTCCCCCCTCCTCCCATGTTTTAAGTGGGCTTAATTCAGTCACATCCACCTTACAAGTACATACCAACTACATTTTGCTGATTGTGGTAGTTGCAACAACCATTATAACCTCTAACAAATCAATTTAGAAAGGAATATGGTACTATCCCCAAAGTCCTGCAGGTGCCCAGCTGCTCATGGCCACAGCAGTGCTAGTCAGCCTAGAGCTACACAGGGATGGTCCATGCCTGCTGAGCTGGTACATCCAGCTACAGCAGAGACTTATGTGACCAGACACTGGTGTTGCTTACTCATCACAAACACAAGGACATAGATACAAATCAAAACACTTAAGGAATTTTCTTAAATAGCTATGAAGAATTTTCGATTATTAAGATTACTGAGTTTCATTTTTAAAAATTGCTATTACTGGAATGACCATTTCAATTTTAAATTTCCTTTACTCATGGCCATGTAACATCGTGTAAGCAAAAAAAGCCGGCCCAAAATAAAAGCAGAAAAGGTTGACTAAGAAAATAAGAGCAGAAAAGGCTGCCTTTGACTAGGCTACTGTTTGAGTTCTATAAATTAATATTCTACAGACCAATGTAAGTATGGACCTTCTATTCCTGTATTAAGGTATTAGTAGACCAGCTTTTTTTGATAAACAATCCCATCATTAATGTTTTCTCTAGTTCTCAACTGTGGTGCCCATTTATCATCCAAGTCAACACAGGCAGCTGAATGGGTCTGTGCTGATAGCATCTAAAATAGTTCTCTTGTAAGCAGTCCACCCACTTACAGCCCAGTGACTTCCCAGGTTTAGTTACCTTGGATATCTGCATTAGCATTTTTATTTGAAGAAAACCCATCCTTTTCAGGACCACAAATCCATCCAGCACAACAGTGCTGGGCAGCTGGATCCACTACCAACCTTTTCAATGTCTGACAGCACAGTGGCCACTGGCACATTACAAATCTTTCCAGCTTTGCCTATTTTAACCAGCTTCTCTAAGGACGATCTTCCACCATAACTACGGGAAAACTAGCATGCGTCACATCCCAAAAAAAAAAAAAAAAAAAAAAAAAAAAAAAAAAAAAATGCTGCATCCCCTTTGCCACAGCTGGGCCGTCAGCTTTGCTGCCGGGCTCACAAACATAGAATACAGACCTAGAAGGGAGCCCTCACGTACCGGCACTACGCTCCAGGAAGGGCAAAGGAGAATGTGAGCTAGAATTGAGTACACGCTGGATGTAACAACGGCCCATGTGAGGGGGACCCGTGGTGCTCCCGCGGCCGGCCCTGCGCCAGCGTCCGGCTCTCCCGGCAGGGCCGCCCTTCCGCGGCCCGGCGGCGAGCCCGGCTCAGCCCCGGGCCGCCGGAGCGCCGGACGGGGCCTGCCCCGCACAGGGGTCGCAGGTGCCGCCTGGAGCGCGGCCTCACGGCGAGCAGGGGAGTGACCCACAGGCCTCAGCCCAGCCCCGCTCCCAACCCCGCGTACCCGCTCGCCCTCGCTGGGGTTCTTGTCGGGGTGGTACTTCAGCGCCAGCTTGCGGTAGGCGCGCTTGATCTCCTCGGAGGAGGCATTGGGCTTCACCTGCAGGATATCGTAGTACTCCGTCTCCTTCACCATGGTGAGTCCCTGTGGGAGGACGCGGCACGTTACCCTCGGGTTACCCTCGGCTTATCCCGCCCAGCGCCCCGCCGAGGCCCCGCGGGCCGCGCTGCTCACCGCTGCGGTCACTGCAAAAAAAAAAAAAACCAAAAAAACAAAACAAAAAAAGACCAAAAAAAATCCCAAAACAAAACACAAAGCACTAAAAAAACCTCACGCCACCAGTACCGCCGCCTGCTCACAGAACCCGGCAGCTCCGCCTCTTCCGTGAGCTTTATAGGAGCCCCGGCCGAATCTTCTGGAATGACGCCGCGCGTGACGTCACGGGGCTGGAACGGTCTAGAACGGCGGCGCGTGACGTCACCGGCTGTGCGCGCGGGAGGGCGGAGCCTCGGGCCGTGCCCGGGTCTGATGTTGTGTTTGGTTGGTTTGGCCGCTCGGGCTGCGCTCCGTGTTTGGTTGGTTTGGTTTGTTTGGCCGCTCGGGCTGCGCTCCGTGTTTGGTTGGTTTGGCCGCTCGGGCTGCGCTCCGTGTTTGGTTGGTTTGGTTGGTTTGGCCGCTCGGGCTGCGCTCCGTGTTTGGTTGGTTTGGTTGGTTTGGCCGCTCGGGCTGCGCTCCGTGTTTGGTTGGTTTGGCCGCTCGGGCTGTACATCTGAGGCTCCCCCGGGGCCGTGCCTGGCATTCCCTGAGTACAGCTCACACAAACTGCACTCAGGCAGTGCAGTTGGTATTGGATGGGAGCTGTAAATTATTATCTATGCTAATGTGGTAATGCACGTCTATTCTTTCCTTTTCTTTATTGCTTTTAGATTTATATGTAATACTATTTTTCAATAAAGGTTCCAAATTAATAATTTTATTATATGGAAGCTTTAGATGCACTTTCCATTATGGTTAAAATGTGACTATGGAGCTAAAATATATATTAAAAACTACTCCATATTTTATATCTTTGTATTGTAGAGACAGTCTGTTGAGTCTAATTTAGAAAGCTTCTACCTGTGTCAGCTTTAGACAAACCTAAAGTCCTGTGGGCCCGGCAGGGGTGAAGGGTCCCTCCTGCTTGTCTGGGTTCCACCTGAGGGGTTCCTCACGGCCGCCGCCTGACTTGGTGCCGCTTTCTCTCCCTGCTCTGCGAAATCCATTTATTCGCCCCTGGGAGAGGCTGCCGAGCACTCTGGTACAACCTGCCCCACGCTGTCTGTTAGATCTTGTTCTGGTTAATTAGTAGATGGTTTTCCTGATGCCTTGTTCCTTAGTATTTGGGGTCTTTTAAATTAATTGGGCTAATTAATTGCTCTATATCTGTTTGTTATTTGCCTTTTCCTCAAGCCAGCCTGCCTGGAGCAAACTTGGAAGCTGAGCTAGTTTTCATCTTTCTCCAGGTAACCAAAGGTCTTCAAGTAATTATTTACTGCTCAGGGAAAAGGAGATAATTGGTACTTGTGTGGATTTCAGCAATAGCATTTTTTCCTAGAAGATGGCGATTTAATGCTTAAAATTCTCAAGTGAAAAATACAGAAAAGCTGCATGAACTGAGAACAGATTTTGCTCAAACTTGAGTTGAATAGGAATGCTTACAAGCTGCTTTTTTATTCCAGGAAACAGTTCCTTATTTCTGGGAATAGTTTAATGAAAGCAGTGTGATTATAATCCTCAAAGGTTCCAGTACCCTGCCCTGCCAACTACAGCCCAGGTAGAGTTAGGATGACTGAAGGAGAGGGCCCTGTTGTGTTGTCTAACAGTGGGAAATGGGGAAAAAGAAGAAAATGGAGGAAAAGTAGCAGTGTGGGATCCGAAGGAAAATTTGTCATAATTTAGAGCTCTGGTGCCACTAAAATGAACTTCTCTCTGTATTTCAGGTAAATACTATTAGAAGATTGAATTAATGTAATCTGCTTTTATTCAGCATGTAAATTTACTGAAGGAGGAGGAGCTAGTTACCGGAAATCAACAGAAAATATAAATGAAAGGAACAGTTCAAAACCACAAGAAAGACATCAGTGTTGGTAACTTATTTTCTCCAAGCATAATTATCAGCAGCTGAACATGTAAATCTATGTTTTGCAATTGTGAAATTATATTGACAAGTAAATACAGGAACTCTACTCTAAAAATATTTATGGTTACTCTGTAAACTTGTAGGCCAAGAACTAAATATCTCCTTTTTAAGGCAAAGAAAAGGTTTATTCTCATAATGGTCTCTACCTTAAAGATAAATTAGCTATAATCTGTTGTTCTGAATATATTATTTCCTTTTAAGAAGAAACAATAAATTGGTTTATAGCTTTGTAGTAGCTGAATGCTTTAGTAGATGAGAAGCTTTCAAAGCACATAATGAATTTTAGAGATCTGGTTTTAGTATGTCATAAAAAGAGTACATAATTTCTGTGAGTAGAAATCCTCATACAGGTGTGTGTAGATACTGGTAAATATAATAAGAAATCACACTGGTGGATGGTTTCTTACTGTTAACATTTGTTACTTTTAATAACAGCCAAAAACTTGGCTGGTTTGGATCTTTGCTTAAGAGGATTGAGCCTCCTATGTCATTTACTTTCATTTTATTAGGGAGACCTACCACCTTATGTTTACCTTCATATGCAGTATTTGTTTTCTTTATCTTTGGTTCCAGTTGGTACAATCAATTCGTTATTTATTCAAAGAATTAGTGGGAAAAGTAGTAAGGGTTGGTGTTTGCGATTATAAAAACAGGAGAGATACCACTCAATGGATATTCTTTGCATCATCACATGCATCTCCTACATCACTCTTGTTGGAGTGATGCAGTCATTCTGATACCTGAGAGGAATACAGTCTTACAGCTGTCTGAAGCAAGACACTTCCTATATATCAATGCTTTATTTATGTATTTATGGAACAGAGTTAGAATCCTCAGCAGATGGTTTTGTCATGATTAGTAATAAAGGCCTTTACTCATGTAGACATACTTTTCTGCAATTGCAGTCGTGGTTCCTGTACTCAACCAGCCTGGTGATCAAGGGTGTATATGCCCAACTCTTGTTTCTTGAGGTGCACACTTTGCCTCCTTAAGTTTCGGCCTGTTGCTAATCAGCAATTGCTTACCCATTTTTCAGATGAACAGCTAATTTCTTTTACTGTTCTTTCCCTTTCTTCCATCCTGACACATGTAACATGAATCACCTTGTTGCTTTTTACTTGGACGGTATCAAATTTGCATATGGGTGTCAACAGGAAAACAAGCAGAGAATTTCTGTTCTCTGCCGGGAGGCAGGAATGGACTGGGAATGGGGAATAATTAGATCTGGAGCCTGTTTCATTTAGCCACCAGAGGACTCTGGCTCTGAAACAGGCTAGCACAAAACAGGAGTTAAAACTGGAGTTAAAATAGCTTCCCCCCGACCTTGGGACCATGCAGCATCTTTATATCCCACAAAAATTATGCATTTATCTTTTAATCTCATTATATAAACCACTGCTAGAATCTGCTTGTTTGTATATTTTTAATCTGGCTATATTGCTATTTCTCATTCTTGTTGAAAGCAGTATACTGGAGACACAGGTAAGAGAAGAATCTGCTGAGCTGCAGCTTCAGCTTCTTGCAGCACCCTTGATTTTTGTAAATAAGTATAAAAAAAAACTTTTATTACAAACACTGGGAAAAAAAATTAGGACTCTGAGGGATTGTATATCTTTTCAGTCACACTAAATTTGTTTAAAGAGCTTCAGTATTTCCTCTATAAGGTGAAATCAGAATCTCAGCAGACTTAACTTTGTGCTGAGATGGATTCTTTCAAGCATCCAGATCTCAAAAGTTAGCACAATTTCTACAAACGTCTTAGGAAAATATCCTTTAAATAATATTTTTAAGCTATGATTTTTAGTCTTATTAAAGATGTATGTTAATCAAGTGTGACAGTTTCATTTAATGAACCTTTAATGGCCCTGGGCCCATAATTATTAAAGGATATTTTCTACAGAAACAAACTGTTAGAAAAATATTTTTGCTATAGATGGAAAGTAAAAGATCTGTATCTCCAGGAAAAATGTAAATGATGGCATTTGTTTTGAGCTATTTTAGGGGGATGTATAGTGAGTAACTAGCAGTCACAGGTTTGTCTAATCTGAATTCCTGCATTAGAAATAAATTAGTATAAAAAGCATATGTGAATTTAAAAAGTTCTTGCTTGCCTGGAGCTTTTCATTCTGGAATTTGCCCTCAGCATCGGCTCCTTGGCCCAAGGTAGCATAAATTGTTTGATCCTTTTGATCCTTAAGGTATGTGTTTAGTAAGATTTACTAAATCTTACTTGTTTAGTAAGATTTAATGGAGGCTGCGCCAGTGTAATATTTGAAGACATGTTTGGATTTAGAATTTTACATAAACCGTGAAAACTACACACATTTAGTAGATCTGTGGAGTTTAATCATTTTTTTTTTTACTTCAGCTAAAATGTTTTGGACACTGAGAGAATTTTTTAATTTTATGTGAAATTAGGAAAAAGAGAGAGCTGTAGATAATTACAGTAAATGTAGTTAACAGAACATAGCAGGCAAAGGTCTGCAATTAGTAGCAAGTTGAAAAGATGACAGGCTCTAAGAAAACTGATATGAAATAATAAAAAAAATAAAAGTGGTGCAGTTTATGTAAAGAAATGTAACAAGGCCTTTGAAACAGGCTTTGAATAAAGGTTATGAGATGTTCTGCTGGTAGTGGTTGTGAGGTAAGGCTTTTTTTGATTTCGTTTGGATTCAGTGCTGGAAGATGGGAAGAACAATAGGACTACCAGTTTAATGTTTGCACCAAAAATTATTGTTTGACACTATTTGTTTCCAGTTATATGACTAAAAAAAGGGGCCCTGTCATACAGTTGGTTAAACTAACTGAGATGACTAGCAAGGAGCATCCAGAATTAGTCCACCCCTCTGTTCATTTTTAGTAAATACAAGTTTTATGTTGAAACATTCACTGTCTTACCTCACAAGTAAATAGATGGGCAAGTACATAGCCCTGGGTAGTTTTACATTTCCATAGTTTTACTGTGAATTAAGCCTGAAACATTCTGTCCCAAGCATGCTCCACCCACACCAAGGATGGTCTGCCTTGTGGTGCTGTTGGTCACTGACCTTAGTAACAACATGGCTTTGGTTTGGCCTCTCTGATATTTCTGTTTGGGATCTTATGACTGTGCAAATTTGTAGTGACAGTGTTTTCAACTCTGAGGTATCAGAGTTGCAAATTTCTGAAAGATACCAGTCCTAATTGCAGAGTGAAGGATGTGAACAGTGTGTGAGCTTTATTTGGCTCTTATATTCCTTTATCGCATAGTGAGGCTGTCAACACCCAGAAATATTCTGTAGCTGCAAAAAGCAGCCCATCCCACCACAAAAATTCTGTCTGGGTCTAGTACAGTCTTCTGCAACTTGCATGCAGGAAGATTTAGGCATAAAAGAAAAGGATTGTAGCATCTTGTAAGGTGGAACATGTAAAATCCATTTCAAGATGAAGGTTTTTTTCTGCTGAACTCCATATAAGTGTCTGGCCTCATTTGCTAGGATTTATTTCAAAACCTGAAGACAACCTAGAAATGTACCAAAACTACAAAGATAAGTTCTGTGTCAAACTATTACAGCTTGACATTCATGAGCCTATTGTTCAAGTGACAGACCGTAGCTGACAGTTGCAGGAAGCACAGTTTATCACAATGATGTGAGTTTTCTGTTACAGTCACATGATAGAGAGTCCAAAGCAACTCTTCTCCACCAATTCCTGCTGATAAATTCCCTGTACTTCACAGCCTGCCTTCCCTTCTGGCAGTAACAAGCTGCCCTTCGTACTGGAGGAGTGATCTGCCACCAGAGAATGCTTGATTGTGTCAAAATAATTTGCTAACCGTCAGCAAGTTGAAGAAAAATTATAGGAAAAACAAAGCAAAAAAATCCTTCATAAACACAGTGTATACAGAAGACACAATTTTGAGGTTATTATTTATTCACTGGAAGTACAAGACTTAGAGGGTGAGCAGCCATTTCCTTCCAGGAGACCAGCCTGTTATCCAGCCACTAAACGCTCAAGATGCAACTCAATCAAGGTAATTAGCAGTTCCCTAATTCGTTTCCTTCATGTAGCATCTAAAACACCTTAGATGACCTGAAGAAGAAAAAGAAGAGTTTTCTTGCAGCAGAGTTTTCTTTATAATGTTACTGGAAAATTGGTTGCAAGGAAGAGACCTTGTGGCTTTCTGCAGAGAATTGTTGGAACAAAGTGATTGGAGAATTATCCCAAAATGAAAGAGCTAAATCAATCCTGACAAATAGAGTTTTGCTGCATACGATGACACATTTTTACCATTGAAATACCCCCATTTTGTGTTCAGATATTTTCAAATCAAGTTTCTGGTGTTGAGAATAGATCCCTTAGAAGCTCACTTCAAAGTTTTCTTTCATTTCAGATTGCACTTCTACAATTATATGTTCGGATATTGTGCAAGGCACTCTGGAATGAAATCCACACCTTCTACAAAGTTAATATTTGCTGCCTTAGTTACGCCTAGTCACTATGGCTGTCTTTGTACCATTAAGTAAAACATTTTAGATTATGTTCTCTGTCTCTGAAGGCCATGGCAGAGCATGGCTTGCATCCCTCTTCCTCCTCCAGACAGGGTAGTCATTAATATAATCTCCAGTGACAACCTCTGCCCTGCATTGTCCCACACAAGTGCCAGTTCATACAAAACCATGTCAGGGAAGGTGCTCACAGTGGGTGGCTTGAGCCATTCTCTGGATTTTGTTTAGTTCACTAGTATAGAAGTAGCCTAAATAGCTGAACTGGATTCTCTTACATCCTGGGAAGTAATTTCTTCAGTCATGTGTAGAAACTTCCACATTATACCATAGGCCTGCTCTGGTGAGGTGCAGGAAGTGGTGCTGGAGGAGGTGCTTGGCTGTTACAGTGCTGGGTTTCATAGGTTCTGGACTTTAAGGCATTTCCTAATGTAATTAATCTGTGTTTTTCTTTAAGAAAATAGCTTCACTGAATGTTCTTTTTTGAAACTAGTCTTAGTAAAATTAGAATTGCTTCAAATTGTGTGAATGAATTTGTGGAAATAGTGGCAAAAGACAAGATTTGCATCTTTAAGCACTGTGAACTCATTAAAATTCTTCTCATGGATAATTAAAGAAAAGTGAATTAAAAAGAAAATTTAACAGTAAGCAGCTCACAGGCACTGCAACATTTCAAGCATGTTAAAATCAGAAAAAAATAGCTTTTGTAGCAGTAGTCTCCTCTTGTATTACGTTTTGGTTTTTTCTAACAAATAGCCAGTTACTATTGGTTTCTTTGGTTTTCCAAGTAGCTCATTTATGCCTGATCTGCACAGTTCTTCAGCATATTTGTGACCAGCTTTGCAGGATTTGTCAGCATGCCTAACAGTGGAGAGACTCTCACAAAACAGTTGCAGACTGAAAATGCAAGGAATGTTTCAGGAAGCTGTGAAAATGGGTAAAATAGCTTGAGCATTTATTTTAACAAACTCATATACCAATTTTTCCCAGCTCAAGTTTTTCTTGTACTACTGTGCAGATCTACAGGAATTTTTCCTGGTATCTCTATGATCTAATGAAGAATAAGGTATATCTTTTGAGGCTAGAATTAGAGAAAATTGTTAATGAACATTATAAATAGGTTTATTCTCCTATGCTGAATCCTACTTTGAGTTTAAACCTAATAGCAGCACTGAGTAGGGAATATGTTGCTTGTATCTTATTGGTATATACACCTGTAAAATGTTTATTTTATAGCACGGAGGCTATTTAGCCTCTTCTCTTCTGAATTTGGGGGAGTAATCCTCAGGTAACAATTGATCTTTGTGACAGACCATCTTCTTCCTGTGAAAGGCAACAGAACTTAACCAGGTAACCCATCTCTTAGAGGTGGGAGTGGGGAAGTGAATTTTAGAAGAGTGTATTTTGATGTTTTTGTTACCTTTTACATGTAAAATAATCCTGCTGGGTGCTGTCTCCTTTCTGTCTTAGGCAGCAAAAAAAGAACACAATGTTTCTTCTACCTGTTGATCTATCACTGGAATGGTATCTTCCAAGAGAGGAATCTCCCCATCTCTAGGGTTTTTGGAAGTACTTAAGATTAGAATAAGACAGTTAATGGGAAATATTTTAGCTTCTGATTGATAGAAGTTTATCAGAATTGCTAAGTACTAATATCCATTTCCAGAGGCTGAGTTTAGTCTTCTGTTAAGTTAAATCTAACTTCACATTTGTTTAGGGAATAACTTGCATGTTATGTCTCTTGGAAGATTCTTCTGTTCTGGGCTTTGTAATCCTGGATAAGAATCATGAGGAACAATCCAAAGACTCAAGGTTTTCATAACAGGAAGAAGTTTAAGAAATCTTTGAAAACTTTTAAATGTATTGTTACTTCTGGAATCCCAATGTAGTTAGTAGTAGAATTGTCATTTTTTGGTTTAACCTGTCTAAGGATCATAAACCACTATTTGACTTGTGATCAGTATATGTACACTCCAACTCATGAAAGTTAGTATTTTGCTAAGTTAGTAATAATGCCTCTATTTTAATCCATGCATGCTTCTATTTGTGACATACTTATTAAAAAAAAAATAAATCTGAGTTTTCTTTGTTAAGGAAAAAAGTTAAAGAATTTAAAAGTACAGTGGTTTGCATCCACTGCAAATAGAAAGTTTAAGCTTCCAGTATTAGAAATATCTTTAGCATTTGGGTTTTTTCTGAATTTTTAATGAAAGAATATCAGACCCTAGAAACTCAAAATACTTTTGATACATTCAGAGACTTTGGCATAAAACTTCTGTGGTTTGTTTTTGAAGATGCCAGTGCATGTTGCCATACTAAATGCTGTTGTTTACGTGGTGTGGTTTGAAGTTAGGTGGCAAACTTCTGTCCCTTTTTCAGTATGTTGGAAGTAGGATTTCAAGTAGAAAGGACTAGACAAAGAAAATAAAATTGTATAAAATGGAGATTGGAAAGAAAGATCTTTTATAAGGCTGAAATTGAATCAATGTGACCTAAAAAATGAAACAGAGATGAAATAATGAGTTGTGTGTGACCTAACTTTGCTGCATTCCCTGCAAATAGCCATACAGAGACAGATACTGGGAGATTTCTGCTTCAGGTTTTTGCTGCGCAGGGGAGAACAGAGCTAGAAAATCGGTACCAAGGTCGGGTCTGGGTTGCTCCCAACTGCTGAATAGAGCCTTTTTGGGGGGAGAATAAAAAAGGCTTGTTACATTGTTTATTTCTTCCCATTCTGCCATGAAGTTCTCAGCTATCCCTAAAACTGCTCTGCTCACCAAAATAAATGACCTGTTTTTTGAGGATATTTATTCTTAACAAGAATAAAATATTCCAGTTCTGGTTTTTGCAAGTAAAGAAATAGGTTTTACTAGAAGGTGTGTGCCAACTGTGTTATATGATAAAATAGATCTCATCTGTTAACTTTATCACTAGTACTTTGTTCTTTATTCAGCATTTGTTTAGCTTTTAAATATATCTTTGTGAGAGAAGAAGTTGTGTGAGTAATTTGACAAAGACTGGTTTCTTGTGCACTATGAAAATCAAAGCGATTGTTGAATCAGCTCAGCCTTTTTGCAAGAGTAGGAACATATCTGGGCTGATCTGTGGCCCTGTTTTTAAGTCTCATGAGGGCATGGAAACCAATTAACAGCTAAATCTAACCTGTTCTTCAAGGGCAAAGGGGAACTTTTAAATAGAATTAGTAAGGAATGTATTATAATATTGCCCTCATTTGAATAGAGGAGTAATTAGTAAATAAGATGACCAGTCATAATAGACAGCAGTATCCTGTAGAGGGCCATGGGGACCTCCTGTGACTCTACTCATTGTAGGAAAAATTTTACATTACAGAAAATGAGGATTTAAAGAACTAATATGGTGTGTCATTATTGTGGGATTTTTTCCCTTATGTCATAAAAAATGAGAAAACATCTTCAGAACATCTTGGGTAACAGTTGGCAGCACCTCAGAGTCTGGAGATACAGTATTTTCTTGGCTGTTTCTATGCCAGTCTCTTTACCTGCTGAGCTATCAAAGCTGTGGTACTATGTTGATTTAAGTCAGAGTGACTTTATTGTCTTTGTCTAGAACTCTAGGTCATATCTGCAATTCTGAATTTATTGTTTTGTGCTCATTTCTACAATCTGTCCCCAGAGTTCTGTTTTAAAATACTGGATTTGGTATTTTGGTCTCTTGTAGGATACATCAGGATTTGGGAAAGGATTTCTCATGAATGGGATCCAGATGAAGGTATTTCGTTTCTGAAGTCTCTAGGCAAAATACCAGAATCATTACAGTTTTCAGAGGTTACCCATAAGTAATTTAAGCCATTGCTTTTTGCTGCCAGAAGAGTTGGCAGATGAATACTTAATGATTCCATCTTGAATTCAAATGCCCCAATGAGCTGTTGAAAATGTCTTAACACCCAATGAAAAGTTTTTAAGAATGTACAGATGTAGACCCAAAACGCTCCCCAAAGCAACTCTAATGCAGAGCAAGACTGGTGGAATGTATATAGCTGGGTTAGCCTGGAGAATATGCAGCAAAATCTTCAAGAGGGGGATTCCTCAGTGTTGGAACAGAGATCAAGATTTAGGACACTTGTCACCAGGACTGAAACAGCACAAGAAGGACACTTGATTGGAAGAAGGATGTTTTATCATCCACTTTGTAGTGGATTCCTTAAATAATCAAGCCACCAAACTGCAGGAGTTTAGAGAAGGAATTCCCTAAGTTGTCTTCAAGAAAAGCAGGCAGTGAAAGATAAAATCAAAGATAAAACTTATGAAGAAGTTCTGTCTTGGAAAAAGGCATATTTCCAGTTCAGCCTATTTTTTTTGTGTGTGTTTATTAAATAGGATTAATATTTAATAGATAGGAAAGCCAGTTTAACAAAGAAATGTTTGAGAACAAAATACTTGTGCAAATGGGGCTCTGCACACATTGCTCCCTAAGATAAACACCTGTGTGTTACAAAATATTCCTTTGGGAAAGGCAAGCAGAGAAAGGAGTTTAAAAGGTGGGGACTTTATTGTAAGAAGTATGAAGTAACATGCCCACTGCCACATGAATGTAGTCTCTGGTGGTGGGTGAGCTTGTCGGTGACATGCTCGGAGGAGCAGCAAGGCAGAGGAAGGAGCTGCACCGGGTTTGCATCATCACAGTGAGGGCAGAACAGCGCTGAACCTTCCTGGGAGCCACTGAGTCTGGAAGCTGTGCTGTCAGAGCATCCCCAGGAGAAGCTGAATGGGATTGGTTTTGGAAAAAATCATGTAAGGGACAGAGAAATTGTATGCGTTCCACAGACACTGTAACTGAGCATTCCCTCCCTATTGGGTGTGTTCTCTGTTGCAGACGGTCTGCAGGATAACTTATTTTGAAAGGACAAAAGCAGAAAAATTGTGCAAGTTTTATAATGAAAGCTTTGGAAGTTAAGTGGACCCAAACTGCAGTAACATGGTTGACCACAGCCAGAGCTTTGCACCTTGAATATACTGTTCTTCAGCTTATCTGATAATGAGTACAGCATCTTCAACAGTCGCCATGTCTCATCCATTAAACCAGAATTAAAAAAAAAATTAATTAATAAAAGTATTTTGCTGTATGGTGATCTCACGTGTGGTACAACAATACCTAGGAGCAGGGTGGGAGTGGAGAAGCTGTCTAATGAAGAAACCTCTGCAACAGGAATACCAAGAAAGGGAGGAGGAGATGGTATCTTCATTGTGAATCTGACAGCAAAGGTCTGGAAGCTCAGGCTATTGCTCTGAGTGAATGTGTGCTCTGAAACTACCCACTGGTTTCATGGCAAAAAAATGTTTGTTTGAGTCTTCTTTGTGAGCAGTTGTGAATGTGATTTCCAAACGTAAAAGTACTTTGGCTTGCTATATGTGTGTAGAGGGTTATGAGTAAATATTCTGATGTCTAAAGGAATACCTTGTCCTGAATAATGTATTAACAATTTATGTATGTAATTATTTGTTAAACTGCTTATATTTGCAGCTTTACAGAAAGCCTCTCTCTCTAGAAAGGTTGATCTTTTAAATTTTTGGTAATCCCTGTAGAGAGATGACTGGTATAAACTTATCATTGACAAAATTACAGGAGTTGAACAACAGGAATAGGATAAGGAATACCAAAAGAATGTGATGTCTTTTTTTTTTTTTTTTTTCGCTCCCATACGTAATCTGTTTAATGAATAGGTTTGCCTTAAATTTCATAGTAATATGATGGCTGCATAACAGTGTTCATATTTTCTTGATGCAGTTTGTGATAGTAGAAATCACTCTGCAGAAAGATGGCCAAAATGTGTCCTAGACCATAAATTTAATAGTTTTTAAATTTGAGAGAAAAGCTACAACCTAATTATACGGGACACTCAGTGTATTCTGTAAGGCTTATTCAAGTGTGAATTTCTGTAAAATGTTTTTTCCAAAGAAGAAAATGGTTTGTTATCATAATAAAGACTGACTTTGTAGACTTTCAGGGGTTTTTTTTCAGTTTTATTGTTTGTATTTTCACTAGATTTTACTATGAGGAAACATTTTAGAGGACAGCCTGTATCTGGCCTAGAGCATGAGGTGTAAGCAGAAATTCTAAAATTCCCAGAACAGGAAACAGAGCCTGTGGAAGGAAAAGGCTAATTCCAAAGTCCCCTAAAACAACAACAAAAAATTATGGAAATTAGTATCACAGTAAGTAGTGTCATTAATGACTAAGCATCATTATGGTAACAGAATAAACAGTTTTTCTAGTGTGCAGTTAGCAAAAGAGCACTCATTTTGTAATTATAAAAGCAGAGATTTAGCTGTGGCATTTAGTTTCCGTAGTTACAATAAGAAGTGATACTGTATTTAGTGGTTGGTATCAAATACACTCAAATAAAACCAGTAATTGCTATGAAAGCAAACCCGGATTGGATGCTTCTCCTCTGGTGACTCACGCCCAGGAAGGGTTGTCAGTTATATCAGTCATTATTTTCCTCACACATGCTTCCTGGGTTGCAAAGATAAATCTCACTAGAGTTGTTACAATTGTGGAAATACAGAGGGAAAGGAAGCTCTCCCTTTGTTAATCCCTTTGTTAATAGAGAATGTTCAGAGTCTTGCTTTTCATGGTGGCCTGGTGTGTGAGAACAGCTTCAGTGTGGAATAGCATCCAAGGGGCACAGGGCAGTGGTGGGAGCTGCAGGTGGGGAGGGCAGTTTTGGGCTTTGCCCCAAACCTCTGGATAGGCCAGCCCAGCCTAAGCTGTGCTTTCGTCTCAGGTGAGCGCAGTGTGTTGAATTCAAGCAGCAGATGAGGTCATGTTTGCTAGAGTGGTATCTTGAAATGAAAGCCCAAATTACATCAGGAAATACTGTCATTCAAAAATCACCCATGCTAATGGAGTTATACAGAAATATGCTTTGATTAGTTCTAGATGGTCAATGTTTTGGAACTTTATCTTCGTTTTTCCTAATTGTTCAAATGACCTCTACTGTTAAATTCTCACTATCTGTGATTTGTAAAGGTTTTTGCTTATTATCATTGGAATTGTAAACTTGCAGAAATCAGATGCAGAAAGTCCACCTTTAAACTGGTAGTTGGATTTTGGAAGATGCTTGCCCTGCACTAGTAACATTGAATAATTTATGCAGAACCTCAGTCTTAATGAAAAATTTAAGAGCCACAGTCCATATCTCTGAAGCATTTTGGTGTTCCTGGGGCATCTTGGCACCATGCTGTGGTTCTGCAGTGCTTTTTCTCCTTGCTGAAATTTATGCTCAGAAAGCTCTTGATCAGACAGCCCCACCAAGTTCTGCTCAGTTCAGTCTTGAACAATTCCAGGTACCATAACCATTCTTGGATATTTACTTAATTGTTAAAGGAATAACGCCTAATAAAAGGTTAAAGTAGAGTCATCAAAGCCACATTCTTGCACTCTGAATATACACAGAAATTGTTGTTGGAAGAGAAAATTTCTTAATTGTACTTTCAGGACAAAAAAACCTCACTCTCAAATGAGCTGCCTGATTCATGGGGACAGGCAAGAACTATGTTTCATGGGGTGTTACCAACTTCAGTACTCACAAAGATACTGAATGTGTAGGGATCCTCATAGAACTTTTGCACATCGAAGCATTACTAGAGAAAGTCCAAAGTTCAAATGTTGGTTGGCTGGTTTTCTATAAAGAGAATATAATGTAAACTGAACCAGTATCCTATAACAGATAAGAATAAAGCAAGCTAAAGAGATAATAATCAGGGAAAAGTCATTAGTGATGTTTATTAAAGTTTTGAGTCTCATCAAATGAGGCTCCTCTGATACATTACTAATCAGAGTCGTTTTTTTCAGAAGGCTTTTCTGCTCTTTGTTTTCATCCAAAAAGTTTCAGTTATCTTTGGACCAAGACTTAATGGCCAAGGTTATTTGTTTTGTAAAATAATAAGAAGCTTTATTATTCACAAGATATTTAAAGGAAAAGGTTCCACTGGATTTCTAAACATCAAATATAGTTTTTCTTTAAAGTAGGAAAAGAATCAAGAATTATATCAAGTGTTTTGAGATGGCAGACAAACATATGTTCTTAAGTTATTTCAGATGGGTTTTTTTGGTTTTATTCCCAAATAGGTCTTCCTGGTCTTTCATTCTCTCTTTGCAATCCCACTTCATTAAGTCACCATTTCTTCCACATATCAAACACAGGCTTACCTTTCAAAATGCAGGATAATCCCCTTCTATATTTAAATTACTCAGTTTCTCATCAGCATCTGCCTTCACCAAGCCAGTGACTATTTTCGCATCCTCATTTTGCTTATCAGACAAGCCCTTTCATGTTTTATGCCGTTATGCCATTAACAAGAGAGAAAATATCCTCACAGGCAAGGTTAGTGATGACTCCTTGTTTTCCTTCAGCTCCTTTTGTGACCTGTGCCCTGCTCTGAGGGGACCTGTGGGGAAGAGCAAGACAGGAAAAGAACTGTGGTTGTAACTTCTGAGGGGTGAAGAGTTACATGGTCTGCTGCATTACTGTAAGGGGGACACAGCTTGGTTAAGGCTTTTGTGACTAACAATAATAAATTATAGGAGTGTCCCACATATATAAGTATTTTTCAAGTGTGGTTGTTAATATGGAATGGGAAATAGTGCCTGATGTAGTGTTTGGTCCTGCTGTTTGCTCCCTGTCACCACTGTGTAAAAACTGCTTTGAGGTTATTTGAAAGCTGCGAAGGGCATTGTTTCTACTTTTTTTTTTTTTTAATTTTGAGTTAATTTATTACACTGTGGAGGGGAAGGAATTTCTGAGCTTCACTCAGGACTCTTCTGTTGTACCTCTGGAGAAAGAATTAAGGAAATCCTAGCTTCTTCTTAGCCTTTAAAGGCTGCTGATTCCCACCATTTGTTCTATGAAATGAAATTAGCTAAACTGCTGCTATTCTTGAATAATCTGTAGTGCATTGCTATGTTCAGTAATTTCTAAATGCTTATGGTTTAGATATTTTGCACATGGAATTCTTAGCAATCTGTCATCTTACAGACTTTTTGGGTTGGAGTTTGTACTTTAAACTTGGTCTGTTTACTTTTAGGAGAAGTTAATTTCATTCATGTATTAATGATAATTTGTTGTGTTGGTGACATTTTTGAGAATTATTAGTATTAGTATTAGTATTAAGTAAATTGCCTTATCTTCCTGGCCTGAAAAAAAAAGCCCTGACTTCAGAGCTTCAACAGGTATCTGCAGTGACAATTTACAAGGTGTTTTTATACTAGCAGTGTCAGTATGATCAGGGTTAAAATTGGTAACTCATTCTTCATACTTGTATAGTTCATGGCCTCTTTGTGGAAGTTCAAAGTTAGTGTCTACATCTGATATATACCATGATGCTGTAACCAAAAGCGTGAAATAAGGAATGTCATTCTTAGGGTGAGGCATTTCCATTTCACTAGGTCATAGTGGAGTTTGCAAAAGTAAAAATGTATGTGATAGCTCTGAACTTTCTAATTCCACCTGCTTGTATTTCAAAGTGTTTGGCTGTGTTTTTGTTTACCTTTTGATATCTATTTTGCATATTTGTATGTTGATTGTAGTAGGTCCTGCTAGTGCTCCTGGATAGCATCTTAATAGTTCTATTTGCTTTTAGAACCTTTACAGATGCACAGACTGTTGGCAGGAATCTGCTACCTCATTTGGAGGAGACCCGTGGTGAAGGCATAGAGCCAGCAAGTAAGCATGTAAAAGATGATCCTTGGAAGTTTGAGCTCTTCTTACATTTTTTTTTTTCATGTAATTTTTATGTCTATTCTAGCAAGTTTTGACTGACAATTTCTCAAGGCTCAGTTAATGAAAGACAAAATTAAAACGGAAGCAAGTTAGGGCAGCTGTAAGTTTTTCAGGAGTTGTCTGCAAATTTGCATGTGTTTCTGCCAGTGTTCATCTGTATTTGAGATGATAACTAGATAAAAATCAAAAATAGCTTGATCCTATTGAGAATCATACAAATTGTTGTGTTACCTTTGGCATCACAGCCTACTCACCAGCTGTCACCTGGGGAGGATTTGGTGTGCAGTGTAATGACTGGAGGCTTTAAAGGAATATTTGTGCCTTGGTCAATTCCATGTTGCATCAGAGCATGTGCACACTGGTGTCATTTAATCCAACTGCAGTGCTGAATGGCTTGCCTGAATGTGCTACCATGTGGCTTGAAGAAGGTTTGCTAGCAAAACTTTCTGAGGTTCTTTGGAAGGTTTGCAGCCCCTCCTGTTGCCTTGGAGAGGCTGCTACTGGTATCTGAATGTGCTCATTAAAACAAAATATTTGTTCTAGGAGAAAACTGAAGCAGTGAGCACATAGCTATCTGATCTATGTAGGAATCTTGCATGCAGACTTTATACATATGTATAAATATTTATCTGTATGGATATATAGTTACTTTTCAATGGGCAGGTCTTTGATATGCAGTAGAGTTTTTTCCAAGAAGTTAACTGTTAGGGATATGCTTTCAGTGAGCAAGAAATAAATGTGGATGAATAAAGGTGTAAACAAACTCCTGTTTTCAAATTTACAGGGTATCTTATTGTACTGTTTGAGCTACACATTCTCTATGTGGAGTGTCACTGAGACTGTGATTCTGCAGAGTGCTTGTGTAGGCTCTGACCTATTTTCCTAAGAATTTATCTGGGACAGTGGTTAATGCTGTCAGCTACCTACCTGCTTCTCTCCCAGAGGTTGCTGCTGGCTGCAGTTTAGAGAAGTAAGCTGGGCTGTAAAGCAGTGCTCAGGCAGGAATGCACATGTCATTCAGCCACTCCTGAGGGGTGGTTCCTCGGGGGTGATCACAGCCTCTGCCATGAAGGTGAGGGGAACAGCTAAGGAGAAGCCATTCCAGCTGTTCCATTGTAATTTTCCTGCAAACACAGGTACACCTTATCCATTTTAATTAAGCAATTCCTTTATTGGTGTTTAGATGTTTCTAGTTGATTAATCAGTAGCTTACAATTTGTTAGACTTTGTCTTCTACTTGACTTTGGGAATCTGTGGCACTACTTGTTATCCATTTAAATGGAAAGCACTGTTTAACTTGGAAACATCATAATGCTATGCAGACGCTGAGTGATGAAGTGAGGGCTGAATTTCAAAAACTCCTTCCAAAAGATCTTTCATGAGAAGGAGGTTCAGTGACTGGTTGCAGGAGGTCTACATGGTATGTAAAGAGAAAAGGAGGAGATTCTGATATCTTCTAGTTGTTCAGAACTGACTTCCTCACTTTATAATTCATACATTCTGCAACTTCAGGAGTAAATTTACCTAATGAGGACCACAGGTTGTTCTGGAATTTTTTCCCCATTCCTTTCTACCAGCGTATGTGTTATAAATGAAAATTTGTCCAGCCAAATTAATATGAAAAAATAAAATATTTATTTTGCAATCAAATTCTATCTAGCCAGCCACAAGGAAAGAACAGTGCTGAGCCCGGGGTCGGCCCTGGGTGTGCAACAAGGAGTCAGCTTCATCAGAGGTTTTCCTCCATGCTCACACACCTCCATCCTGGCACAAGCGGTTTTTATAGGGAAAATTCCGCCTGAGGCCAAGATTTCAGCAATCAGTCTTTTCTTCTATTCAGAGTCCATATGTTAATAAGATTTTCTTTTTTGGTGATGAGGGAGAACAATTCAGTGTCTGGAGTTTGTTGATTCACATGTATCTGCCTGAGGATTTCCATGATATCCATCTTGGGTCGTTCACGCGAACGATCAGCACCTGGGGTTTCTGTATCTCCCCAGCCATGGCCCATCTCCTGGCCAGCTGTACCTTCTTACTTGTAAATCAGTTTCCAAAATATCCCCAGTCTCGCCTGCGAGGGTGGGGGGGAATCCTAATACAAACATGTATACTCTAACAAATATTCAATATCACATATATCATATTAGAAATGGCGCGAATTTATATCTACTACACATAACAGTATGGAAGCTCATTCCTGTGAAAGCAGACCAGATTTGGGGTTTTCTAATGCGTATGTAAATCCAGAGTACCCTTACTATTGGCAGCAGGCATTATATTAACTTAAAATCAGTGTGAAGTTAGAAGAGAACTCATCCATGCTGGTTTTATACTGATGGAATCAACAAAATAATTTATCAGAAAAGAGCACTGGAGAGCGACTAGGACATTTTTCTGCTCACAGGAAGTCTTGTGGCTTTGTTCAGCTGAGTTTTGAAAACCTCCAGGGAAATTGTACAGCTTCTCAGTACCTCTTCTTAGGCTGAGTCACCTACATTGTGAAATTCTTGATCCAGCAAGAATTTTCCTTGCTGCAGCTCATGTCAATTGCCTCTTGGCCTTCTGCTGTGTGCCTCTGAGAAGAATCTGTTTTCCTTGTAGTACCTGCTTCAGTCTTTGACACGCTGCATTTTTATCATCTCCAGACTGGAGAAACACAATTCCTTCTGAGATTCTTATACATGATGTGCTCCAGGCCCCTGACTGCCTGGGAGTCTCTTTTTTGTGCTTGTGCCAGTTTGCTTGTCAGGATCTCTCTCTTGCACACTGTCTCAGAGGCAGTCTCAGGGGCATTGAGTAGGGGGCAATAATCCCTTTCCTTGGTCTGCTGGCTTAATCTTGCCAGTGCAGCCAGGGGTGTAGTTAGCCTTCATCTCCATTGGGACAGACAACTGACTGGCACCCAACCTGTCCAGTGGAACCATGGGGGTTTTCCTGCTGAGCCAGCTGGCATCCAACCCATGCTGTGCCATGGGGCTGTCCTCCCCAGACTGCAAGGCTTGGCTTCACCCTTTTTGAGCTTTCAGGTCGTGTCAGCCCATTCTTCCAGTGTGCTGAGGTCCATCTGGATGTCCTCCCTGCCTTTTGTCCTGTCAATCACTTCCTAAAGTTTGCTTACTGAAGCTGGTGAGGGTGCATTCTGTTGTCCAGAATGACAGTGCCATCATTGTACTGTGTCATTCTCACAAGTAACCCCTGAAGAATGTCACTTGGAATTGACTGCTAACAAGACTTAGAATTGCTGACCACTGTTCTTAAAGACTACTTATTCAGTTAATATTTTATTTACCTGTTCCTCCAATTGCAGATGGTTCAAACTTTCCAAGGATGCTGGGCTATGTAGAAGTTGTCAAAGACCTTGTTAAAGGTAGAGTAAGCAATGTACTGCTGCTCTTACTACGTCAGAGCTAATCAACTCATCTTGGAGGCGAGTGGGTTATATTTACCAGGGCCAAGTCAAGGGTGGCCATTCTGGCTGGTTTCAGTCACCATTTTGTAGTTCAAAATGATTTAGGAGAGTTCGTTCTATAGCATTTCCATGGACTGAGGTGAGGCTGATTGGCCTGTAGTTTTCTGTATCCTCTTTCTTCTGCTCTTTGAAGACAGGTGTGGCATTTACCTTTTTTCTTGTGATGGGGACCTTACCAGATTGCTGTGCTTTCTCAAAGATGACAGAGAGCAGCCTTGGGATGGCTTTGACCTGGTTTCTCATTGTCCACTCTGAAGGAATCCATCTGGTCCCATCAACTCTTTTGTATGTGTCCAGTTTGTGTAAGTGGTCCCTACTTTGATGTTTTGCTGCTGTAGGTTAAACATCTCACCTTACACTAGGCATGGAAGCTCAGGAAGCCTGACCTTGCCAGTAAACACCGAGGTGAAGAAGGCACTGAGAGCATCAGCCCTTTGGATGTCTTGTGTCAGTGAGTTGCCCACAGTATCACTGGTTCTCCCTCTGGTTGCCACTGTACCTGTAAAAGCCCTTCTTGTGACTTTTCACATTACTCACCAATTTAAATTCCAAGTTTTGACTTTCCATTCCTGCATGTCTGGGCAATATTTCTTAGTGATGTTTCCTCCTGATTACACCCTCCACATGCTTTCATTTTGGTGCATCATAATCAGTTTTAGAAGCGTCAGTATTGCTATGAAGCTTATTTTATACTTGTCCTGGTGCACCACTCCCTCCATGTCAGCTCGTGGAGGCATTCTGTGGAGGGGATCTTATTTCTCTGGTCCACACTGTAGGGGCTTACTGATGTGAAGAGCAGTATGTTTTATTGTAATTAATAATTGTTCCCTTTTCCTGCAGTGGAAAAAGTAGACATTTCCATTAATTGAAATATTTTTTGTGTGTTTTGGCTAATTTAAAAAGATTTCCTCTATTTATTGGATTTTCTGTTAGAGAGGGTAAAATTGTTTATTGTGGAAAATAGGTAATATAGCAGAAAACCCTTTTTCTCCCACAGCTGTGGCAAGGCAAGCCACAGGAGCTGGTTTGTGCATTTTATTAGAATAATCACTATGTGATTAGGCTGGCTGAGACTTTCAGGTTCATTGAAATTCCAAAGTTCTGTACCTTTGTTTAACCTGTTTATTGGCAGAAGGAGAAGTTTGACACAGATACCAAGCTCACATATTCTAAACAGTGTGTATTCCGCTCCAGCTCTTACTAATATGAAGTTAATCTTTCAGGGTCACAGACATCTTGAAGAAAAGTGAAAAATAGTGGGTGAGAGGAGGAATGGTATATTTCTGTTGTCAGCAGAATGTGATGGCGTCATAGCTGTGGAATCTTGAATGGTGACTGACAGGAATGCCTCCAGCAAAGAGCTGAATTCCTTCTCTCATCATTAGGGCAGAGTGATGTTTTGCAGCTGGTGTATAATCAAAACCCTGTTTTGTGAGTTAATTCTGACTCATTTTCAAGCAGAAGTTAAATTACTGGTTTACTTCTTGCTTCACGGGGCATATCTATGAAATACCTCTTGGAGCTGCTCAGATCATGCAGCAGGGCCATTCCACGATCAGCCTGTCTATTTATCTGTCTGAAAGGTGACCTTGGGTCTTTTGCATTTTATATGACTCTCAGAGCTGTTCTTCCTTAAACATCTGAATTCATTTACATTCTCAAATCCTTTCTGGCAGTCACCAGAATACTTGCAGGTCAGGTAGTGAACAAAGAGAAGGTTTCACTAATGATACTAGCTTTAAGCTGTAGGATTAGTATATTTCTCTTGATTTCTCTTGTTCCTTCATGTATCCCAGAGGTCCAGCAGTTTCAGACAGATTGATTATACATGGCAAAAAATAAATTATTATTTGTTTGTCTGTTTAAAGTAATTTTTCATATCTGGGCCTTGTACCATATCAGAACTTACCATTTTACATGGTGGAAGGAATAAACTGACTGTTTTTAAAATTACAAAATGTGTAATGTGTTCTATGTTGTGTATAATTTCAAACTTGGTAGAAAATATCTGAGTGACAAATGTACTTTTATAACACAATATTCTCATGTAAATGGTTCATAAGTTTAGGATTTTATTGTAAAAGATCAGTTGAAAACTACAAATGTGTCTTTCAAGGGGTTCTTAACTACTTTTTTCCTCCTTTTAAGTTTCTTGTTGAAAATTTACGCTTTAGTTCCCATCTTGGTGGGGAAACGGCCCATCTAAAATCCTAGGTATTTAGATCAGCTTTTCTTAGAACAGTTCCCAACACAGGCTGCAGTACAATGATCCTGTTATAACTTATGAATGAGACTACCCTGAACCATCTCTTCCTTCAGCAGGGAAGGCAGTGAAATATGGAAAATGAAGTCTGATCATGGAGTTTTTGGCTTTGGAGGAGAATAACATAGGGGGAAAAATGTCCTTCCAGAGCTTCAAAAAGTGACAGTCCAGATTTTATTACCTGAATAAAATCTCTGCTCTTCTTGTTTATCTGACAATATAGCCTTCTTTAAGCAGAAATATTTTTGCAACATCTCTGACCTTCAGAATTCATATGAAGGACATGAGCCAAGGTCACATAGTAGTGGATGAAAAAGCATTTTGAGTATGAAGTATAATGCAGGTAGAAGGAGTTAGTGGAAGAAAGAGGAAAGGAACAACTACTCTTTGCTTGCATACAGAAAACTTTCAGTGGCATCAAGTGCTTTGAGCTGGAGTGCTGGGTTTTTTCCTTGTACTCTGTGGAGCTACAGTTGTATAATGTACCAATGCTAAGAGTGTGTACTGAGGGGTTTTATTCTGATCTCCACTTTGGTTTCAAGAGGTAATGAGTTGATTTCCAGCCTGGACATTGCAGTTTAACTTTCAGATGCTCCTGAGGCAGAACACCTGCTTCTCCCAACATTTATATATGTTGCATTTAGTATTTAGCTAGGCATTCCTTCCCAGGCACTTTCTACAAAGTATGAGCCCTCTTCTCAAAATCCCTCTGCAAACCGACAGAAGAATATATTGTTCATGTTCCATTGTTTTTACTAACTCTGGGCACAGAATAATTAGATTTTTAGAATTATTTGGCTTATTGAGATTTTGGAACTGTTTTGAGATTTGAGTTCTACCTGCAAATACACGCAAAAGCAGACACTGAGTGGGCATTCGGGTTTATATTTGTTTGTGCTGTACCTTGAGCATTATTGTGGTGCACAGAGTCTCTGGACGTGATTCTGTTCCTTGTCTTTGATATGAATCAAAGATGCCTTTTTAACAGCAGAAATACCTGCATAAGGAAAACAAAAGGAAATCCAGTTTTCAAGTACATATTTGGTTTCTAGGTATAAATATTTTAGGGATTTGATTGATTTTCATTATTCTCTGGGAGCAATGCTGTTATCTGCTGCACATCTGAAGTGAAAAGACACTATTAATGCAACTTCTGTAATGTTATTGTACATATTTTGCTAATATTTTCTGTTTTCTTTAAGAGAGGTACTCTTTCTTCAGGAACATTTTTAATATATGGACCAGAATGTTGTATTTTAGCTCTGTATGGTATGATTTTGTTTTGAACAGAGCGGTCACCTACCTGTGTCCAAGCACACCTGCAATCCCTGATACCTTTGTTTTGGAAGCTAGCCAGAACATCTATATATATAATTTTTCATCTGGGCTTTGGTGTGTCACTGCATACAATAAACATTTGGATTAACAATATGTTCTGTCTCTGACAGGTCTTACCTCTCATCCTTTTCACGCCTGCATTAGGGTTAAGTGCAGAAACAGCTCCTTTGCCTTCTTAATTCATTAAGTATTTATTGGGTGCTACTGCTTACACTTTGATAAAGTCTGTCTATTACCTGAACGCCTTCACAGCTATTTGTTTCTAAACTGTCTGGATTTATGATGCCCTTTCTCCACTGACCTAGGCACAGCTCCACACCTATGTTTTGAAAATCATTATGTGCCATTTACTCATGAGAAAAAGAAGGCATGGAGGTAAAGCAGCTTATTATTGTCATTAGCGCTTTCTGTTTGTCAAGAGAACAATGCAAATCTGCCAGCCAGGAGAGGGAATGCAATGAAATATTTGTGAGCTTACAGTAGTTTGCTGTGCCTCTGGCTCTTGGTGCAGGCTGCAAGTGTGTTCTAAAGCACTGGTGTGGATCCAGCTATGGCTAATGTGTTCCTGTATTGCCACAAGTGCTCAGAGAGGCAGTTCCCAGACCTCTGAAGCAACTAGAATAGCATTGGAGAGATGCGTGATGCATGTTGTACTTTTGAACACCCCAAAAACTGCTCTTTTTCAGCCACTGAGGTAGGAGGAAACAGCACAGATACTAACTGAGCTTGCTTTACAGTTGTTGATTTCCACAGGTGTCATAAAATACAATTATGCTTATTAACAGTACAAAAAGTACTGTTTTCTGTTACTCTTAGTTCTGACAAACCCAAGCACTTTGGTCTGAAATTTTTTCACTAGGTCACTGTAGAATATATCCATTTTTTATGCCTATGCTAAAAATATTGCTTCATTTATGAAAGTACATCTGAGGAAAAAAATCTTAAAAATGTTCTTGTACTGTTTTTCCGATAAGTATGGGAACTGTTTGATGGAGGAGTTGTGGGAGTGTCTGTGCTTTCCTTGTGAGAATTCACCTGAATTTTGCCACCTTATAACCCCTAGATCCTCTAAGGAGTGTATTCCTACTCAGCCTCTTGTAGGGTTTGCAAGAGCCAAGGACAGTCTGAGGCAGACACTTCTTGTGAGTGCCAGGGACTTCCCAGTCCTTGGCACCAGTGGTTGAGAGCCAAGTGACATTTGTTGGTGCTCTGCATCTTTGTCCTGTCAAAGAAGGGGGGAAAAAATAACAGGGAGAAAAAAGTGGATGGTATAAATAGAGTGAGGAAGACACGAACAGAAGATGAAAAATGGAAGCATGGAACCAGGGCAAGACAGGAGTGTGTGGAATGGACACATTAGAACATGGGGCAGATGTCCAAGGGAAAAACTGTGGGAAGTAGTGAGGAACAGGGACAGGATGAGGGAGAATAGCTGGAGGGGGAGGAGGCAAGGAAGAGTTATAACACGTAAAAGGAGCTTGGATACTGAACAGGGGCGGAGTATTCATATCTTTTGGACCTCTTTAGTCTTCTGATTCACCAGCTATTCCATTGGCACAACGGGGAATGCAGAGCTGAGCACAGGCAAACAGATTCTTCTGGAACTGCGGGAAGTGCCTGCAACACACATATCATCAACATAATTCTGTATGACACTTTCATTCAAGATGCAGAACAAAGTACAAGAAATAAAGATTTCTCTTTCTACATGGTATGTTTGGTAATAAGAAAATTGGAAAGCCCTTCTCTCAAGAGCTGGGAAGTGCCAGAGCTGTGCTTAATCCTGTGGTCTTTATTCAATCCTCTTGTCTTCTGGTACACAGTCACATGGTATTTTCAATTGCAGATTACCTTGACAATGGTGCTTTACCTTCCACATTCTCTATGGACTTCTTTTGCTGATGGCAGAGTCAGACTGAGAATAGATAACTCATGCCCACAGACTCCCATAACAGTTCATCAGATGTTCAAGGAGAGCCTGGAAAAATATGGATCCCTTAATGCTTTGGCCAGCAAAAAGAATGGAAAATGGGAGAAAATAACTTTTTCAGAATATTATTGCCTCTCTAGGAAAGCGGCCAAGAGTTTCTTGAAGGTAGGTACAGGAAAAAAAACAATGCCTTTATGTTGCAGCACACGCTGCGCAGGGTGGCTGCGGCAGGGGCGCGACTGTTCCCATGCAAGCTCTGCAATTCCCAGTTATTGGCAGGGACACAGCAGGGACAGACAGCGATGGCACGGGGCTTGGGGTGGAACAAGATGGATTTATTCCTGGGCTCCCAGACAAGATGGGGGGGGGGGCAGGGGGGCAGTGAACAGAAGTTTTTATAGAGCAGCTCAGGAGTAAGGAAAGTGAACCAATGAGGATATGGTAAGAGAGGAGTATAAGGTGGGGAAATAGCTTATGAGCCTATCAGGGAAAATGGGGGTGGGGGGAATAATGCAAAGTAACAAATGGGGGTGTCGAGGGCAAGACAGACACAGAACCCTCTGGAGAAATGGGTAGGGATAGGGAGGATTGACAACTTGGAAGGGAGGAAGTTAGGGAAGGGCTTGGGAAATTTAGCAACTGGGGAAGAAAGGGGATTAGGGAGAACAGGGAGCAAACATGGATTCAAAGCAAAACACACCATAACACCTTTAGTCCTTTTGTGTCCTTTGAAAACCCAAAAACCAAATTAATAAAAAATCCCCAAACCCCGCAATATATAACTGTTTTTCTGCATTACTTGAATATCAGTAGCCATATTCTTTATTGAAATGATAATGATGAAAATGACTTTTGGTCAGAGGTAACACTGCTGTCAGGGAACCTTGACTGCAAGTGAGGAGCTGCTGTGTTGCACTGTGTCTCTGGGACATGGGTGCAGAGTTCAGAAGAGCTCAGAAGAGTTCAGAAGAGCAGCCTTAAGATCAGAAGAGAAAAATAGGGGAAAACTACTATCATGAATTCGGTGAGATAAAGACAATCTTTAAAACATTCTAAATATAGGGTAATATTAGTACTCATTATGCTCTTGTTCATATTGAAATATTCTGGGTCTTGGGCCTTTCTGGACAGCAGAGTTCAAGCAGACAGGAGAAGGTAGTGGAAAATTCACATCCTGTTAATTGCTGATAAATACCAGGTTTGCTGTGGATACCAAAACATGCCTTCACATGCCTTGTCAGTACTGTAATAATAAATCAAAAGTTTTCATGGTTTATATTTGTGTGTTATATGTTTCTCTCCAGTGGGCCTATATTATATAGTCTTATGTATATTATTTTTCAGCTTGGTCTTGAATGAATCCATAGTGTAGCAATCCTTGGATTTAATTCTCCAGAGTGGTTCATCTCAGCTGTTGGAGCTATTTTTGCAGGGTAAGATTTTTTTGGGAGGGTTAATTTTTGAGGAGGATTTAGGAATTTCTGTTTTTCTAGGTCTGGGAATGTATCAGGTCAGTATTTAATGTCATATCTTGGAGGTTGTGTTGCTACTGATTGGCAGTTTCAGCAACCTGCTTGAGTCTTAAATCCCAAATAGTTCAGACACTCATAAATGCATCCTGTTTGCCGTGGGCTTAAGCATGACAGTCACACAGAAGCTGTTGTACAAGATCTTATAAATAGAAGATGTGGGAAATAGATGAGAATCACAGTTTTATATTAATGATAATAATACAATATTATATCTACAGTAAGATATATTCAAGCAGATGAAGTAACATATGGCTATTAACTACCCTGATTTCTTCTGTCATGATACCTGTTAATTTGGATTTTACTTCTTAAGCTGCTCTGTACCAATGAAATCCAAATTGGTATCTGTGCACAGCTTAAACAAAAAGAGGACATAAGTGAGGATTTTTTTACCACTTCCTGAACTAACTCCTGTGTAACCTTAAGTGAGTTAAAATACTGAGTCCTAGCATCTTATACTGAATAGTTTAGAGAATAGTTTTTGCAATGTGCATAAATCAGAGATTCATGTATATCTGAATATGTGAAGCAAACATTAGAGCTGTCCTGCTGTTTGCTTCTACATCTTCATACGCCTTCAGGTTTCATCTGATCTTTGATTATTATTCTCTTTTAATACTACATGCATGTATATGTGTGTGTATGCATATAAATGTATGTTTATATATATTTAAATTTTTAGATGCAGAGGAATTGTCACAGGAATTTATACAACCAATTCTCCAGAGGCCTGTCACTACATTGCACATGACAGCAAGACTTATATCATGGTTGTGGAAAATCAGAAACAGCTGGACAAGATAATGCAGGTACAAGGTGGCTGAATGGTTACTGAAAAGCCACAATTTTTCATTTCTCGATGCTGTGTTGGTCCCAAATACCATGTACACTCTCTGTGTTGTTAAATCTTTCTTTGTGAAGTGTGTGTTGTTACTCAGAAATCTGGTATATGGTGTGAGAGCTCGTGGGTGGTTCTGACCCTGTGCAGTGCCTGTGGCTCCAGCAGAGAACTCACTGGAAGGTTCACTGCAGGCTTACCTGGAAGAACTCAGATTTTGATCCCATGTTTTTACTGTCACCACCTGATTCTGTTTGGAAAAGCACATTTCACTTGAATGGAAGAGATTATGCTGATGCAGGTTTGTAAAGGTCTGCTATTTAAATATTAAGGATGTCAGTGTTCACAATTTTCTCTTTCCAAGGTATCATTTCCTGCTTGTAATATCTGCCATTAAGGCTCTTGAGTTTACTGCACTTTGGTAACATCATGGTTAACATGAGAGAGAGCTTAGTGAGAAAGCAGGAGCCTCCTTTTAAGTGAACAGTCTCAATTTTGACAGAACTCTTGGGCAGCTGGGCCTGTCTTTCAGCAACAGTACCAGATGGAAAGACCAATCTGATGGCAAGGTGACTTGAGAGAGGAGCACAGGCAGCTCTTAGGAAGGGCTTGCGTGTCTGTCAGATGTTGAGGGAGGCCTGTGTACCCATCAAACTTGCATGAAATGGCACCGTTTGCTGAAGCAGGAGGGCTCTCCATGATGGAGCTTTCTGCCAGGACCACGTACCTGCAAGAGAGAAAATATGCAGTGGTTTTTTTTTTTTCTAAATGTATTTAATACAAGTTGTTTGTTAATATTTTTTGTTTTATATGCAATATGGAGGAAGAGAGATTTTTGTAAGTATTCTATAAAAACGCACAGTCAGATAAGCCTTCTTGCCGTGTCATTGACACAATACCAGGCTATGCTGCTGTGAACAGGAGAGAGGAATCCAAATGGAACAACTCAAGGGGTTTGGTTCACACACATTATGTAGAAAAAGAGAGCTCTGGCCAGCACTGCTTTATCCAGCAGAGGGTTTTTTTGAAACTTTTTTTCTGGAACCCAAGACTGAAATAATAACATGTCAATTGCTATCCTTCTAATAATATGTGCATACTGGCTACCATCAAGCCATTGCTTTTGTATTGGCAAAATTCAGTTCACAATGTGATGGTCTGAAAGGTATCTGGGAGGCATGGGTTCTCACAGAATTCAGTGAAATCAATGCTTCCTGTAGGCCATGCAAAGCACAGAAAGAGCTGTTGAAAGCAGCAGCCACTGCTATCTGCCTGTAAGCCTGCAGCTTTATATTTTTATTTATCCTTACAATGTGCATACAGCTTCCTTTGATTTTTTCCTTAAGGAAGTTGAACTTTTTTAGCACTTGAACTGTTATGGTTTTTGCTGAGGGACTTTATTGGTAATCATAGGCCCAGGTCAGCTTCTAACTTTACCAGCACTATTCCTTTATGTGTCCTTTTGTACATCATGAGAAAGGATGCTGAGGAGCTATTTCTGGTGTATTTTTCATTTTTTAAACCTTTTGACTGAAACTAGATTTCCTGGAGCAGACTGTGTAGTCTGTGTAGACTACATTGTTCCCTCCTCCTCCCCCCTGCCTCTAGTTGAGCTGGTTGGTGATGAGTTTAGGGGAGACTATTTGGAGTTGAAAGGAAATGGGAGGTTTTTGTGCCTGTCAACCCATTACAGTTTTGGCAGCATTAGAGTGGATAAAAGCCCACACAAGATATGAATAATCAATAACTTTGTTTTTAAAAATGCAACAGATCTGGAATCGGTTGCCCCACTTGAAGGCTGTGGTGCTATATAAGGACTCCATTGCAGAGAGACATCCAAATCTGTACATGGTGAGTGAATACTAGAACAGAGGCATAACCAAATAATGCATGGGGTTATACCCATATATTACTGGTTAATACATGGGCTGTTATTTATTTGATCAATTTCTACTGTGATTATCTACCATTTAGAAGGCATTGCTGTGTTCCAGCAAGCACATTCAAAAGCTTTATCAGCTTTTTCTGTTCGATTTACCTTTGACACTTCATACTTAAGAGAAGAGCTACCTTGCTTTACTGTCTGTCTCGTGTCTTCCTAATTTTTAACTTGATTGGTGTTTATTAAAACACCTGTAGTTTTTAGGTGGGAATGTGTACTCTCAAATGGTTAAAAAAAAAGTTGATCCCTGGTGCCTGTGAATTTGGTAATTTTTTTTATAATCCTGTATTTTAACTGGACTACAGATCAGATTTTAGGCTGAAAAACTTCAGCTGTTGAAAAAATATATTGAAGAGAAATATAATATATTCAGTATATAAAAATATAATGAACAGTGAACAGCATAGAAATATTTTAAAATACTTGCAATTTTGATAAGAAAAAAGTCTGCTGTGCCTTTTTTTAATGTCTTGCATGTAACTTAATAAAATGTTATTGTTCCAATACTATACATACTGTTATAGAGCATGCCTTGCATCTTGTACAATAAAAATGTTAATACAAAGATGATCCTACTGTTTAAAAATATTAGGTGCTAGCATTTAATTCTTTAACAACTTGCACTTACTGAAATCTAAATGTGTGAGAAGTGCTGTATTTTTAAGCATTGGTTCAGTGTTCAGGTGTCATGTTGGACATTTTCCCAAAGGAGCAGGGTAGCTGTGGGTGTCTGACAGATGCCATAGCAGAAATGATTGTTGCTGAGGTGTGATGCAGAGCAAACCACCAACCCATGCGGTGTTTGATGAAAGGCATTTGTGTCATGTGCTGAGTGGCAGCAGGGGCAGAGCTGGCTGAGCAGTGCATCTTTCCAGAAGGCAAATGCAGAGTCAGGAGTGTGGTGTGACTGTTTCTGTACCTTCCACACATGCTGGAATGCCAACACCATCTGTTGCAGGTGCTGTTCAGCAAACAAAGCCTGCGCAACAGATTCTCAGTGATCAGTGCATTCCACTGAGAGAATGCAGTATGGTCAGGAAAGCAGGAACAACTGCTTAGTGGCATACAAACAATTACAGCCTTCACACCACCAGGCTTTCCAGGTGCTTGTGAAATTGATGTGGCCACATTCTGTGGAGAAGCAATAGAATGTGACAAATCCCTGACTTGCTACAGAGCTGTGCAGTGCCTCTCTTTTCAGAAATGTGGTTTGTTGTGCCCTTTTGAAGAAGGGAAGAAAGTATAAAACTGATAAATAATCCTTGGGACAGCCTTGACACCCAAGAAAAGGAAAGGAGGTTAAGGTGCCACAGATGCTGACTATTGTAATCTTAGTAGCCCAGTGGCAATGCCAGATGTCTGAAAGAAGAAATTAACTACCCTCAACCAGAGGCTCTACTTTTTCACCTCTGTTTTTCTCCTTTTTTACCTCTGTTTTTCTGTTTTTTGCTTTGTGGTCTTAGATATAGCTCCAAGAAACTGCTCAAAAATGAAGGTTCTGCACCTTGGATTTAAATATTAGACTACTGTGGCACAGGATGAATCACACGTTTGCAATGGGAAACTGACCATTTGGTTATCAATTTTCTTTAAAAATTCTGGGATTCCAGTTTCCAATTAGCATTGCAAGCAATGTTACACTTAACAGCAGATCAGGGGCGTGCAACAGAAGTATCGGGGAGCAACCTGTATAATACAGAGGAGCAGGTTCAGGATTCTTCTAGGCCAATTTGTGTGGCACAAAAGTCCAGTGTCATAAAAGTTTTATCTCACTCTAGAATGAGCCAAATTTGAATGGAAGTTGTGACCAGCATCATCATATTCTGTAAAAGAGCACATAATTTGGGCAAACATTCACACATCTATATAATGATGTTTTTGCAAAGAAGCTTTTGTTCAATTGCTTTATAGTTAAATTTATATAGTGTACAATGAATTATAGATGAGCTGTCACAAGTGTACTCTTAAAAATTATACATCCAGATCCCTTTATATAATACTCAAAATCATTCTTAAAGCGTGAGAATATAACAGAGTTTTAGCCTCCATAGTATTCACGTTGGAGGAGGAACAGTATTACTGTTCCTTCTTAGACATTGAAAAGACTCATGACAGCAGAATTTTAGATAGTCTGTTTGCAATTCACACATTAAGCTATAAGATAGAATCACCGTATTTCTTCCATAGCCAAGGTCTGGGGAAACTTGCCTTGGACAAGTGTTCAGAACAAGGCACTGAAATGTTCTTACATTTTTGAGACAGGAGAAATGCAGTACCATGTCAATTTGTAGGAAGCCATTTGGTATCCTGTATTTTCTGTTCTGTGTTGTAGATGGAAGAGTTTCTGGAGCTGGGAGTTGACATCTCTGACAGTGCTTTGGATGACATTATTAACTCCCAAAAGCCAAATCAGTGCTGTGTTCTGATATACACCTCCGGAACAACTGGGAAGCCAAAAGGAGCCATGCTGAGTCATGACAACGTAGGTACTTTAGGTTCCTCCTGTAGCAGAGAAACAGCAAAGTGTGGGGATATTTATTCCTGTGCTTTGAAATGGCTAGTAGATCCTAGAGCCCTGAAATGCTTTTGCTTTTACAGCATGGATAGTGTACTGCAAAGCAAAGTGCAGTCAGCTATTTCTGGTAAAGTTCAAACAAGGTAAAGAATGAAACTCCATTCAAACAGCCATTCACAAAGTTGAACAGATCTTTATGAAAATTAAATTTTTATTCACTGTATTTCTTGTGAGATCTAATGCATGAATTCATAAATGTAATTCACAGATTGCCATCAAGTCTCTCAAGTGATATCATAGGTCACTATGAAATGAGCAAATCATATACATCAGCCAGCTACTATCAAAGCAGCCTGATGGACTGCATTTGCAGATTTTATTAAAATTGGGGGTGGATGTGTGGATTTTTTACATTGGTGCCTTTTGTTCTTGGACTTGTGTGCAGGTTTCTATGTCTGTCACTGGAGGATAATACAGCTCCAGTGCTCAATGCTGGTGCTGACAGTAACCCTACCTGTGTTGTTGCAAACAGAAAATTTCCAGTTACAGACAAAAGTAAAGTTGTTTGCTCAAAGGACTTTCCACAGAGGTTTGCTTGGAAAGATATGTGTTTGGTGGCTGAGCAGGAGTGGAAGGTGTTAGGGAGCCTTTCTGAATACATAGAAAATCTGTGAAAAGGGATGGTCTAAGTTGAGGCATCACCCCTTAAAGCAGAAATTATTGCAGACGTGCACCATGTGAAAACAGGAATTCACCCAAATATAGGGAATTAGTGCACTAGTACCTGGAAGCAGAATATAATGAATTTGGAAGATAAAAAGACTGATTTGATGTTACAAATCTATGCTCTTTTATATCAAAGGAGTCTGGTGTCATTTCCATGCCAGCTGCCAAACTATTCTTGGCTGCTGATCACAAACAGGCTATTTTTATGTTGACAAACAGTGGAAAGCATGCCATACCTGCAGCTCTGCTGCTGCCTTCTTTAGTCAAAGATGTTTGCCACTATTCATGTTCAAACCAGTGCTGAATCAGTCATTCATCACCCTCACAGATCTGCTGTGAGTGTGCCTGTGTGCTATGAAGCTTGAAATAAAAGCAATGAATTTAGACACGTCTTAAAAACATCCTGTTCTTCCTACTGTGTGAGTCTCCCATAGCTGCTTGTTCAGTGCTGCCACCTAAACTTGGATGGCCTGGCCTGGTAGCATGCTGCTCCTTAAAACCCTCTCTTGGGAATCTCTATTTCCTTAGGCCAAGCCTACACTTGTACCTTCTAATTTATTACAAAGGAATGTGCTCTGATGACAGGAATACGTGTGGTTTATATCTACACTCTGTTATCTTGAATACTCTCATTTCTGCATCCTGCACTACCCAGTTTAGATTACAGACTCCTCTGAGAGAGAGTTGTTTCTTTTTGTTGCGTGGGATTTTCTGGTTTTCTTGGGTTTTTTTTGGGGGGTGATGTTTGTTTTGGTTTTTATTTTTATTATATCTTCTCCATTGTCTCTCACACCATCACGTTTATATTTATGTGTCTTCCATATGCTATGTTGTGATGATGAAGATATGCATATTTAGCATCCTTGAACTGCATTGTTACGGTGAGCTCATGGGCACCCTGTGCCCCCCTTCCCCCGGGACCCTGTGACTCTGATCAAGATAACCCTGGACCCTCCTTCCTGCCCCAACGGGGTTGGCGGAGAGCCAGGAAAGCCCACCCTGTCCAAAACCTGTATAGACCCCTGAGATTTCCTGTTCTTCCTCTTTTTTGCCCCGCTCTCCCACGGACACCACAGAATAAAGAGAGCTGTACCAGCCATACCCTGGGGTAAGAGCCTCTTTTGAATACCTATCCCCCCTCCTGATATTCCTCCCCTCACAGCCCCTTATCTCTGAGCTAGTCGGATTCTTCGGGGGCTGCGTGGAGGGGGGGAAACTACACTGCATCTTCTGAGATAAAGTGGGAAATAGGATGAAAGAGGGGGAAACATCATCCAGGTTCACTAAGAAGTCAAGCAACACAACTTCAAAACTATTCATGTATGTGCTACCTCTCATGAGAGGCAGGGGTGTGTACATGTTTCTTGGGAACCACTGCAGTGAATATCCCAGAGGCTTCCAGATGAATAGAGTACAGCTGCTATCTTCCTCCTGAGTGTTTAGCCGGGGGATGATAGCAGTGAACTTGTGGCTGATACTAAATTGTCCTTTGAGCTCACTGATCACTGAGTATTTATTGTTCCTTTTCTAACTTGCAGATACAGCATTGATGGAAGGTGCCAGTTTAATAGACAGCCTGCAGAGCTGGAGAGTTGGAAAGGAAGGGACAGATCGATTTTTTTCTCATCCATCCAGCCCATGGCTGCCTGGCTGAGTGTGTCAGTAGGGCATGGGGAGCTGCTAGTGTTCACAGCCCAGTCAGGCTGCACAAATGCTGTATTTACTTATGTTATCTGCTCTTCTGTATTGCTGCAAAGGTAATCTGGCTTTTGGCAGTGTCCCCAGGGAACTGATAGACTGGTGTGTGGTCAATATTGCAATGTCTTTCTGTGAGACAGATTTTGCTCAGTTTCGTTAGGATAACCATTAAGAGGAAAAAAGGAGAAAAACCCAAACCAAAATCCAAACCATACCTAATGTGTTGTATTATTTATTTAAACAGATAACTTGGACATCAGCCCATTGCAGCAGAGCATGAGGTATGCAACCTACAGAGATCCAGCAGGAATCTATAGTCAGTTATCTCCCACTCAGCCACATAGCTGCACAGTCTATGACCTGAATCAAATGGGGATAGCAAGTTTACTTTGCTGAGCCAGATGCTCTAAAGGTACATTGTCTTGCATTACATCTAGTTAAGATTGCACTTCCTTCTATTAGAAAACATCCCAAGGAGAGAATATGATATTTGAAAAGTTGTAGAAGATGGAGAGTCCATTATTTTGAGTTATGGAAAAACAAAGCTCATTGTATTTGTGATCCAGTGCTCCAGATTCTAATTAAAATATATAATTCATATCCCTAAGGTTCTTTTAAGGCAAAAGAAGTATTAGCAGTTTTTGGAGAAAAGGGAGGCTGGAGAAACTGACCATGTGTGTTTTTCCTCCTTGTGTACGTATGTCCCCCAGTGTGTCAGACCTGACACGTATCAGTGGATAGGGGTGACTGAAGTGGGCTCAGCAGCCCTTCTTTATGTTCTGCATATTTAGTAATGGTCTACAGAATGAAACATTCAGGCTTTACTTCACCAAAACTCTTTTATCTCTGTTGTGTGCCTTTTGTTGAAATTATTTCATTATTATAACAGGGCAGCTTGATCAACACACTAAAAGAAGTGCAGCCAACATCTCCCCAAGTGTGGGAGAAAATAATGGAGAAATTAAAGGATGCTTCTGCTCCATCAGGATTTATGGAAAAGAAAATGCTTTCCTGGGCTATGTCACTTAGCTTAGAGAAGAACCTGCATGGCTCAAACAGGTGTCTAGTACAATGAGTGAGATTTCCAGCAACCTGAAAGCAGCAATTTGCTTGTAATAAACCATGAAGCTTCGGTGGAGACTCTTTGTATAAGTGGGTAAAATCTGTCTTGGCAGCACAGCAGATACAGTGCAGGGGGGAGGGTGTAGTTATAAATTATTATACAATGAAGTGGGGTAAATTGCTTACGAAGAAAGGTATTCCAAAATACCATTCCATGATATTCCTTTGCTCGTCTTATCATTCAGTTTCTCAGATAGATCTTAGAAATTTCAGCTTTCAATGGTGTATGTTCTCAGAGACACATTCAACGGATAAAAAAACAGGAATACAAGAGCTGTATTGTATACAATAGGTATTTATAGATTCTTCATGTATTTGTTGAATTCAGATACTTCAGGAGCTGGAGGTAGGAAAGCTCCAAAGGTAGGAGAAGCAAAAGACACCGAATAAATGAAAGAAGGATGAATGTGTCACCTTTCTAACTTCTGTCAACACCCAAAACCAAATGACAAATACATGTCCAAACAAAATCTGTGCCTGATTTTATTTTGAAAACTTCCTAGGTTGCTCTGGCTTACTTGTGTATTTTGTACTCAGCAGTGATCTAAAGCAGCTCTGGACAAGATTAGCAGACTACTTAGTGCTTGCAAAAATCCATAGTGCACTGGGGCTTTCTTCCTGTCAGAAGCACTTTTCTGGTGCTGCTCCTCTCAATACAGAAACACTGTATTTCTTCTTGGGTCGGAACATCGCCCTGTATGAGGCCTATGGGATGAGTGAGACCACAGACCCACATTGCCTGTCTGGGCCTTACATTTACAGGCAACACAGGTAATTTTGCTTTTATTACTACTTTTTTAATATGATCTGTTTAATTTTATCTATGAAAAGAATATTTACTAAGGTCAGCAAAGATACTGCAACTTATTTTATTTTCCCTGACTGCATTTGCACTCTGTTGTGACTTTGAGAGTCAGAGTAACTTCCAGGTCAGAATTTGAACAGGTTGACTCCATAGCACACTGTGCCAGGAGCACTGAAACTGAGCTGTAGCATTATAGCCAAACACAGTGACTACATCTGACATATTGCCCTAGCCCTTGCCCAAGAGAGGAATGCAAGGCCTCAAAAACAATAATATTTTGAAGATACAGGGGAAAAAGCAACAAGCACAGGCCAAGACAGACTGCCAGAAAGTGCTCATACCCTGACAAATCTATCCTAATGAAAGAGTAGTCCATGGCTATTGGACAGTTACAGCATGGTAATAATTGCAGTCACAGATACTTTGACAGTTTCAGGGATTTGGCACGTTGGCCAGCTTATCACTATTATGTTTGATGTTTCTGTGATTCTTGTGGGGTTTTTCTGCTCTTCTTTGGTAGCTGTGGTAAACCAGCACCTGGATGCAGAGTGAAACTGGTGGACAAAGATACAAAAGGCAATGGAGAAATCTGTTTCTGGTGAAGGACTGTTTTCATAGGTTATTTAAATATGGAAGACAGAAAAAAAGAAGGCTTTGATGAGGAGGGGTAGCTGCATTCTGGAGATTTAGGAAAGCTAGACAATTATGGCTTTCTCTATGTCACTGGAAGAATTAAAGGTAAAAGGCAAAACCTTGCTCTCTGTTTATGGTAAATGTTCAGCACTATTCGGTCATCTCTCAGTTGCAGACCATCTAATGAAGTGTCTTTCCTCGAATACCAGCAGCATTGCCCTAACAGGAAGGTAAAATTAACTTTCCTATGAGAAAACCACAGTGTGCTCTGTGTTCAGGGAAGGTTTCCCTGTACTCTGTAGTAGGTAGAGATGATTCTGTCCCTACAACCAGGTTTTTCATCTCCCACACCTTCACTCAGTATAAATTACAATTAACAATATAAACTAGTAACACAGGTTTAATATGTCTTGTTTGATTTGAATGATATCATGAAGCTGTCCAGTCTCCCTCTGAATCTTGCACAGAAGAATGTTTAGGCGGGAAGGAGAGGCACCCTCTGCTACACAGAAATTGTTGCTGTAGGTCAGAGGTCGGTTCCTCTGGTGTCTTAGGTTAAGTGTTTGCAAAGACCAGAGCTGAAGCTTGAGAGCTGAAGGGAAAACTACATTTGAAGCACTGGCTGAAGGCTCACGAGACTAGTCACTTGCTGACTTGGAGGCTTTCTTCATGATATGTATTCAGACAGTGAGATTGGTCACAGGCAAGATGTAACTGAGGAAGATTTAAGAATTGAGTAAATATCATCTTAGAACTTAAGATGAATTACTAGGGAGATAACACAGATGAGTGAATTTGTCACAGGTGGCATCATGTCCTGTAAGAATCAGGACTGAAGTTGGTACTATTAATAGCCTGCACCAAATGCAGCTTGATTTTAACTTGTTTTCTTGTCTGATTTATTTTCCTTTAGCACAGCAGTAACAACCCCTTGTCTCAATTCATAACATTTGTGTTTCTCTTATACCTGTCTGGATTGCTGAACTAATAGCAGTTGTTCTAAATTACATGATAGGTGGACAATCTGGGATAAAATAACCATATGTCCAGTTTCATTGAAGTTTTAAATCCAAGTCTAAATAAGGACAATTAAAAACTAAGGGCCAGAGAGATTGGTAGAGGATCTGAGACAAAGACAGGACTATTACAAAAGGAGGGTGGAATGAAAGGAAAAGTTAGACCTAGAAAAGTGTGTCTCTGTTATTTGTTGAAGTATGTTCTGAACTGCTGCAAAGACAATTATTTGAGCACAATTGGAAGTCACCAATATAACAAAAGCAAAGAATTGGAATTTACTTAAAGAATATTCAAGTTTGTAATAATTTCATTGAATATATGTATTCAGAACAAATGTTGCTTTTATCAAGACTTCCTGCAGTAGTAACTTATTTTTGTATGACACCTCTTGTTGGATTTAAGAATTGGTTTTAATCATGGTAACAATCAACTTGTTTTTTGGTGAGATAGCAACAATAGAATAGTAGGTGAATCCTATGCTAATTTGGAAGAGATGATCTCTCAAAGAAAAATTCCAATTATGCAACAGTCCCTTGAGAATAAGCTGTTACTCGATTATGTAAAAAATATCTGGAGCAAATATACTGCGAGAGATCTGATAATTGAGCACGTGTTTGAAAAATAGTAGCATTTTTGTTTTGAAGATAATTAATAGGATTTTTGGTATTTGGAAAATGTTATCTTGGAAAAAGAATCTTATGTATTTTTTATGTCAGAATAAGAAGAGCAGATTGAGCCAAACATCAACCTGATCTCTGGAATTTATTTGAATTCAACTAATAGCCTTTCTTTTTTTGCCTAGATTTGATTATTACAGCTGGAGGTGAAAATGTGCCTCCTCCAATCCCAATCGAAGATGCTGTTAAAAAAGAACTCCCAATTGTTAGTAATGCTATGGTGATTGGAGATAAAAAGAAGTTTTTGTCAATGTTCCTGACCCTAAAGGTAATCCAGTTTTAATATTGCCTTCAGTGAAGTTATACACCTGCACCTAACAAAAGAATAATAATTTTAAACCATTTGTAAAAAGACCAAAAATTAGATAGGAAGATGTTAGCAGGGGGCAAATACATGTAGCAACTACAGACAAATCCTGCTGGGTCTAATCTTAGGGTTACCTGGTCTGCTAAACATCCACATATTAATTGCTGTTTCTCCTACATATACAATAAGAGCTATTTTTTATTTAAATGCACATTTTTATATAAGAAACGCTGGAAGATTGAGAAGTCTTTGTAACAGAACACAACAATAGCTTTTATGTTTACAGATGAGCAAAATCAACAAATGTTTCTGTTATGGGCAAACCCAGAAACCTTCCAACAAAAACATTTCTCTACAATTTGTTATTTTTATAACACAAGAATGATGACCATGGAACAAAATAATTAATAGCCTTGCTGTGGTATAAGCATCAATTGAGAAATCACTATTCTCCTAAAACATCTGCACTTCAGTTCTGTGAACATACCTATGAATGCCACTTAGGTGAAGTTGTTTACCTCTATGACTGATACTCTCTATCTTCAGGTACAATAGAAATACTAATTTAAGAAGTCTAGGAACTCTTCTTTCTCAAGCTGTTTCCATTACACCATAATAAATCCATTGAATGATGAGCTAAATGTTTCCCTGTAACAATGGAGTCATTTGGAAAATATGAAATTCAAGGTCAGAGATGGACTCTATGGCCTAATTTCATTCACACATTTTAATTCTGTTCATGACTTCTGCATATAAGCTGAAAATATTTACATTTGGTAGCCAAGTGGAAAGAAAAGCCTTTTTTGATCTGTAGGTGTTTCTGCTTTTTAAGGCTTACGGATGTTTGTGTATTTATCCTGAGCCTTCTTCTCAAGGGGGAGGGCCTGGTCAGAGAACCTTTTAATGCCTTTTAAGAGTAAATGTTTAATGATTCACTTCATTTGAAATTTCAGAGTGTGCTGGACCCAGATACATCTGATCCTACTGACATTCTCACAGAGCAAGCCAGAGACTTCTGCCAGAGGAGTGGTAGTAAAGCCACCAAAGTGTCTGATATTGTAGCCACAAGAGACCAGGCGACCCACAGAGCCATCCAGGAGGGAATTGACAGAGTCAACAGCACTGCTACCAACAGGGTTCATTGCATTCAGAAATTGATTGTCTTGCCAAGAGATTTTTGCATTTCTGGGGGAGAACTAGGTAAGACTTACTGATTTATTTGAGGTACACAAAGTTAAGAGGCTGCTCATCTAAGAATATTCAGTACAGAAGGAAAAAATGGTTATGCAGTGTGTGATAAGGAATACAAAAATTGGAGTTATTGCTGTGCACACATTTATGACTGCTCATTTGCATGTAGAGCTCTTAAATTTCAGATTGCTTTGGGTATTTAAACAATTTTGGTTAATTCCATGTGCATTCAAGTATTCATAACTTCAGTAATAATACTGAAAGTGATGCCTAGAATGGCTACCAAGAACAGAGGCTAGACAGAGTTAAAAGATAAAGGGTAGGTTTTTATTGAAAAGCCTTCACAAGGTACACCTTGGGCAGTGCAGGAGTCTCACAGAGACTACACCCAAGACGGATGACCATCACAGGTTGTTCAGACAGATATAAGTTTGGTCTGTTTGCATATTGGAGGTTAATGTCCAGGTACAGCTTCAGGTAGTGGAGTCTCATTCCCCTAGTTTGGCCCCCCCTCCACTTCACTGTAGTTTACATTTTTCAGGGCCTGTGAAAATAAGGTGATTTTGGGTTTCAGGCCTAGAGAGAAACCATTTTTTCTGAATAAAGTGGGAGAACAGTAGCTGACAGGCTATGGAGTTTGAGAGTTATACACTAAATAGTCCTGATCTAGAAAATAAGGCATCAAAAGTTTCTCTTTAAAAGAAAAAAAAAGCAAGATAGTGAAAGCCTGATAATGGAGCCCAAAGCACATTACCTCTTAATAAACTGGGAATTGTTGAAAAGCTTTCAAAAACAAATTTTTAGTAGCCAGTTACCACCTTCTTTTCTGCAGCTCATGCTTATATGGATGCAACCTCACATATCTCACTTGCTTCTCACTTTTAGCATTTATCTGTGCTTAGAGGGGGGCATGTTCTTCCCAACAGGCTTTTCAATAAAAAACTCAGGCACCAAAGCTCAAACTGAGCAGGAATTTTTGTTCCTATTTCTGGAATTGGTTCTCCCTCTTTTAAGGTCCCACAATGAAGCTGAAGCGGCTCGCTGTGCTCAAGAAATACCGAAATGAAGTAGACTCCTATAAAGAATAAAAAGTGTTTCCTCCAAGCATTAAAAAAGATCTGTGAACAAAAGGAAGTATTTTCTCATCAACAGCATAAACAAAGATTTATGCCTTAAGTTTGTAGTCTATTGAACCACACCACTAGAAAGCTGCTGTCAATTTAGTTGTTCCTGATACTCACCTGATCATTTGTCCTTTTTATACAGAAGCATCTACAGTATGTCCATTCTCTAATTCTGCTTTTACTTTATTATCTTAATGATTAAAACATCTTTCTGTGTTGTATAAAGCAGATATAATTCCTCTAGATTGAAACATAACAAGTTTTTTATAGTCTTCCATTTTTCTTTTTTTTTTTATTTTGTTCTACAGGATGTTTTCTGTAGCTCATGATATATTTTGCTAGATAGCAGTACTGCTTAATGAAACTGTCATACCACTCCAGTGATAATTATTTAAAAAAAAAATTACAAATCAAAAGGGCTGGGATTTTTTTCCCTTCCCAAAGAACACTTTCTTGTTCACTAACACATTTCAGAACCTGAAGACACTCCTGTTTCTGTAATGCCTAGAATACAGACTTCTGTGAACACAGCAGTTCACTTCTTAAATCCATGTTGGAATAAGCATTACTATTTCTCATAAAAACAAACAATCAGAAGAAGTATGGGAATAGCTCCCTAAGACTAAAAGGAACAAAGGAATAACTCCAGGAGCTCTCACATGAAAATGCTATTACAGAAACTTCTTTAAAATGGTTTACAGTGCTTTTCTTTGAGCAGTGTTTGTCAGTGTGTATCTGCATGTTTCACATTGCACTAATTCTGACAAATGTGGGCTGCGTTTCTTCTTACCCATATGCAAAATAAATCATATTATGAGAAGGAAATGCTTGGCACAAAGTTGTGTAAAGGGTGTGCTGTAAGTGATTCTGGCAGACAGCTCTAGTAGCTCACACAGGCAAGGCAGGCCACAGCCTGTTATTGAGACAAAGAAATTATGCAGAACAGGATAAGGTTTCTATAAAAGTTCCATTACCAGTCTCACACATCATACAGAGCTAAGATTTGTTGCAAATACAATAATCAGCTTAGTATATAAGACAAAGCAGCAGCCTAGGATTATAAAAACAAAACGAGCGATAGGACTTTGAAAAGTTTATTCTTCCCCATTTTGTGCGCAATGGTAATTCAGAATTTCTTTAACAATATTAACCTTAAGGAAACAAGGAAGCAGCAGCTAGAAAAACACAGAAAGGAAGGTTGCACTATTCACAAAAAGCAGCATGTGGGAGGAATAAATCTCCTCCAGCATGTTGTAAGACTGTATAAAAAAGCTGGGATGCTTACTTTAGAGAATGACACAAAAAGTTGTTACTCCAAAGTTGTTTTACTGCTGACACAACCAGCTCTAAACAGTTGTAATAGATATTACTCCACTTAGTTACTGTCTATGAATAGAACAAAGCTGTAAGAAGCCTGCTTCTGGCAGGAGGGATAATCCTGTGCTATACTAATGAGTTTGAAAATATGTATTTTCTTATCAGGTGCAGGAACGGAAGCAATACCTTGATAGTTACAGATCAGAACGACTCGAGTGACAATCAGCATCTGATGGGGAGGGGAAGGGAGGGCAACAAGTCGCTTTTGCACCCATTAAGCTTAGTAAGCAAGTTAAAAATAGATTCAGATCCCCTTGAATAGGGATGAAATGTATTTCTGGAATATAGGCACCAGAGCCAAACCACTGATCTGCCTTAATCCATTTAGGACTTGTCTTTTACATTCAGTTTCTAGAATAAAATAGTCAATACAGCAAGACACCCTGAACAGACTGTGCAGAAACTACAACACAAAAAGCATTCTAGCCAAAGTAATGAAAAATTTAGTGTAAATTTGCTAAGTTAATATTTTCCCCTCACAATATATGGTGGAAGTAATTTTGTATCATTTGCCCTCATTAGAACTCTATTGTAAAGTGTGCTTCAGAGAGGAAAACTTGTAAGAATTATTTTGGTATGTAGATTTGAAAAATAACTTTACTTCAGCATTAATTTTCAGCCCTTGTTAATGGCTGTAGGTTTTTTTAAAATACAGAAATAGATTAAATCTCTAGAAGTTTGTATATCTTAATTCATGCCTTTTGTGGGCAGGGCTATATTTCATGAATCACCAGAGTATTAAGGTGGGTTTCTTGTTGCTTCCAACACAAAATTATTATTTTAAGATACTTTATACCCGTTTCTGTGCATGAAGATCATCTTGTGCTACTCCTAGGCTGAAAACCTATCTTTTTAATTTCAATAAGATCAATAAAGTAGGTTTAAACATTAAGGTGCACTTATATGTCACTAATCTGTTACTGGTTTGTTTGTACTGGTTTTAATTTTTCTATGTGGAAAGTAAAACCCTCTAATTGAAATGAAAAATTATTAGACAGTTACAGTGCCAATAAAGGAATTCACTTACATAAAAATGTTCACCAGGTAGAAAAAAATAAATAAAACAAAGCACTTGGAAAAGTCCACTGAAAGCAGGCACAAGCATCATTTGTAGCCATTTGGACTAGATTTATTAATGGAGAGGCCTCAGCTAAAAAGTTTGCTCTCAAGACTTAAGCAAACTCTATGCATGTGGATATCAGGTTACATATATTGTACTCTGTGACATGTTCTTCCAGAGTCCTCAGCAGGAGGAGAAGGAGGTTTAGTCTTTGTCCTGTACTCGGCGGCAGATCTCCTCTGTGAATTCCGAACACTTGGCATTGCCTCCCAAATCTTTTGTCAAGATCTGAAAGAAAGAAAGAAAAAAATAATGTTACTGAAATGTATTACGGGGCCAGTCTTCTGTCTGAACAATTCTGGATGTTCTCATTATATGTTGTCTGCGGATGGTAAATAAGACGAGCAGGAATACATCAAGTTTGAGTTCTGCATCCCATAGAGACTTCATCAATAAGGACTGTGCAGGGAGAGAAAACCTGAGTATACATGAAATAATGTGATCAGATTTGAAGGTGATTTTAACATGATTTTATCCTACTACAGGAATAAAGTGTGTGTGGTCAAAGCTCTACAAAGTGCTTTAATGGTGTAATTAATGATTAAGTATTTACATCTTCAGTAAGAAGTTTGTCCTTTGGAAATAAAATTCATATTTGAAGGCTTAGCACAAGGACAACTAATTGACAGTAATTCAGAAATACTGGATTTTTTTTTTTAACAAAACCCATGCAGAACAACCACACTAACTCTTAATGCTACATGTTAACAATTCTCAAAATTTGCTTCATTTATTTAAGAGAGAGGAAATGTAGAGCTCAAAATTTCTTTCATCAAGTACAACTCCTGTCTGGCATAATGAAGCTAGTAATATAAAAATAAAAAGTGGGCAACTTTTTTGCCCAACCATTGCTTGACCAACTTAGCTAGATTAAAGCACTCTAGGAGGCAATTAAAATTTTTAAGTTTCCCTTCCATACACACAGATCTTAATTAACTTGTTGAGGGAAAGGGAGGAAGAACAAGCAAAAATAGCAATCATGGTTGCTATTTTAGGATCTTGTAACTTAAATTGCCTTATGGGACTTTTCAATTAAAAAGACTCTCCATTGTGAGTATATAATCGTAACATTGTAAGTAGCCATATCACAAAACTTGCACTGTTATCTTCCATGGAATCACTGATCTGCAGATGGAGGATATAATTTCCAGAGCAATAAATGGGACCTTTATGGGAGCACCTCTTCATTCAGTTGTAAGTTTAGATTTTTTTTTTAACTGGTTCCTACATACAGAAAGATAGCTGCAAACTCAAAAAATGATGACAACTTTTGATTTCAGCATTCTTGTTACTTTTAATTACAAAGGAGCTTCTCATGGTCCTGCCTAAAATAAATGAACCAGCATGACTAGCTAATCCTCTTTAAGTGCAATCTTCAAAGTCTTTCCAACTATGTTTTCAAGAGATGGACATCAATGTGGAAGAGTGAACCAATAATGGTAAGACCACAAATTTGTCAGGTTGCAGAGCATAAGCCCCCTCTCGCTCCCAATATCCCATTTGAGTCATTAATCTGAAGACACTCTCTTCCAAAGAGAAACATATGCAATCTTCAGAGAAAAAAGTTAATACTGGATAAAAATTGTTCTTTTGTAGTCAAAAACGAGTGAAAGCAGTAAGAATGAAAAAAGAAAATAATTAAGCTGAAAAAACAGAAACAGACGTATCACAGTCAGAACTGAAATGCTATAAACAAAGTGGATGATGAAGCCTGTGAAAGGCAAATGAGTGTCCTTCACTTTTTTCAATATTTCATTGTATGTGCTTTGTAGGTTTCATAAACTTCATAAATGAAATGCTAAGAGTTACTTAAAACTCTGATTCACTTCCTGAAAAACAGCCATCCAGCTTACTATTCTGCAGTTCATAAAGCTGTGGATATGTAAGATGAGCATTGCTGAGACAAAAGGAATGCTACAGGCTGTCCCCTTATTACTGCAGGGCATATTTAATGTCACCAAAGATAATATAATTACTGTCAGAGAAGGACAGTGGCACTGCTTATGCAACAGGCCAGCTCAGCAGGCCATCCCCCACTCTGGTATAAATCTTCCACGTTAATTCTTGCTTTGATATGGTATGATTTTAATTCAGTGCATTTATTTGCACACCCTCATGTTACCTTTCCATCTTTAATTGTATCGAAGCAAGCTGACTCAATCTTTGTCGCATATTTATGCATTCCCATGTGGCGCAGCATCATCACAGCACTCAGAAGGAGGGCAGTTGGATTTGCCATGTCTTTTCCTGCAATGTCTGGTGCTGTTCCATGAACCTAGAAATGAGAGTAAGCCTATCTGTTATGTCATTAGGGCTGATTAAAATGTCCTAGGGAATTGTGCAAGCAACCTGAGCCACAGGTCTTCATGTTAAAACAGGACTAATTTTGCTGTGATACAGTCAGTGGAAAGGAGATACCAAGGACCAAAACAATTCCATTCAAAGACATCAGAAAGGGAAAACTAAGTCATCTAATACCTTTAAGTTGAGCCCATCAAGTTCTACTTCATAGAGGGTATTTATCATACAAAAAAGTCAGAAAATAAAGTATTGGTCAAAAAAAGGATGTGCAAAAAAACCTGCATGGCATATTTACTTTAATCAATCTCTCAGGGTAAAGCTTGAGTATCTTCACAGTATAAAAGAGTTCTATGAAGATCTTTTTTAGCTAAATGTCAACCACATTGTATGGCATGGAGAAGTTTAGATTCTCAAGTTGAGACAAAGTTATTACTGATCTGTCTTTGTGTGTAACAAGACTTACTGATTCAAAAATGGCCACGCCGTTGGCACCAATGTTTCCACTGGGTGTTACTCCAAGACCCCCAATGAGTCCCGCACACAAGTCACTGAAAAAAACCCAACCAACAAATTAAACAATCCATGAGTTTTTCCATATACATTATCTTCTCTTCAAGGTATTAAAATATTTTTGTTTATCAATCAACTGCAACTATAATTTAATTTAGACACCTGTACAGTCTGATTAATATAAAGAACAGATGCTGTTAGCTATTGGAAAAGTCTTAGAACTTAGCAGAAGATATTGTAATAAAGGAAAATTAAAAGGAAATTCCAAATACTATACTACAGCTCATAAAGACACAGGCACAACAAGAAGTACTAGAAGCACAGCATATGTGTAGAAGTCTCAAAAACTAATTGTTATATACAGTTCCCTGTAATTATACAAAAATCTTACTTCCTCTGTAGGGGCCCAGAACTACTTTTCATATGTAAATTCCTTCTAAAAAATGTGGAGGAATTTTGCTCAGGTAGGTGAGTTACTGGTCGTTTTGTAGTGTACTGCGTGCAGCTTAAGGCACATTTTCCAAGTGACACCAGACTAGCTTTTCCCCTTTTTAGCCAACAGCCTGCAGGTCACAAGTCTGCCATTAGCAGATCATCAGATAAAACCATTGGTTTCCACCAAAATTAACACGGGGAACGACAATATTGTCATCATACAAGCTGAACACACTGATTAACAAAGCTCTTAAAATTCCGTTATTTTCACGTCCACACATAATTATTGCCTACAAACTTGGCTCATACTAAGCTAAGTTAGTCCTTAGCTTAGAACTAACAAGGAGAAAAGTTTAGATGACTTTGCAGAGCAATATTTTAAGCTAAAATAAAACACTTAAGTTACAAAAGGTCTGGAGAAAAACTGACTACAGTCTGCATTTGTCACTCTAAATATTTAATGCTTAAAGAGAAAAGATTGTCTTCTGCCTATTCAGATCTATTCAGTCTAAGGAAGCTCTTGGCATTTTGTTCATACTTTTAGAGCAGCAGGTGAGACCTCACCCAGTGGCAACAGTGTCCTCTTCAACAACAGACTCAAATTTATTGCAAAGTTTTAGAATGATGAAATTTTTTATGGAATTTCTATGACAACTTTAAAATGGGTGATAATTAAGTCTCTGAAATGGTACTGATGATGACACTCCTCTGATTTGATCTCTTTTAGCTAATACTCACACAGTAAGAGCTGCTGTGAGGGCCCTGTGCACACCTTCACCAATTCTTAAAACAAGAGGCATTAGTAAGAATCTGATTCTTCTTAGCGTGCACAGCCTTATCACAGAAAGAGTGCTGTTTTAAGAGAAGCTTAAGAACCATTTCTTATACGTAAGTTACCTTTAAATTTAATATCTGTACCAAACCAGGAGATGGATTCTAACGTGAATAGTCAAACTTGAAAATAAAAATTCCAGTTCAAGCTCTTTTCTCAATCACTCCTTAGAGGTATGAGAAGAAACTATATTACATAATACACTTAATAGTTCAGATTAAACACTTCATTTTACAGGTCTTTAATGGAATTTACACTCTACCTAATAATTTTACAGAATGGAAAATGTGTGCTGATAGGTTTTGCCTTCAAGACACAAAGAACCTCTAGTACTAATGTTATTCAAATACAAAATTTAATTTCACAGTAAGGAAAAGTAATACATAAACCAAGAGCTGGCAGAATATTAAGAGGCCACAAATATAGTTCTTCAGTGACTATGGAGACTGATTTAAATGTAGTATGAGCTCCCTTTGTACATCACAGTCCCACAGTCACACTACACAATCTGTTTTAGTGCTGAGGATAATAAAGTTTTTCTCTAATATCTAACCAGGCATTCATTCTCTATTACAATGTAAGCCATTATATTCTTCACACATTTTGAGACATTTCACTCTGTCCCATATGAACAATATTCATAGCCTCCATAAACAGAAACAGACTTTTTAAAATAAAAAGTACATTCTCATCATGTAGCCTCTCCTATTAGTATATTAATAATTGAAGCAGTTAATGTCTGTTAAGAAGTCTGAGTGCATAAGATGATCTGGCTTACATGTACCCTCAATGGCTGTTGGGAAAGTGTCAGTATTTTACATGTTGGGACTTTAAATTGAAATCTCCATACCTGAGGATGTCACCGTACAAGTTTGGCATAACAAGCACATCAAATTGAGATGGATCTTGAACCATCTAGAAGGAAAGTTGAGAATTCATTCAGGTTAAGTTAATTCATTTGGGTTAAGAATTTAAACTAAAAAAAATTACCACAACTAAAACATAAATACTCACATTCAGACATACAGTATCCAGATACATTTCATTAAATTTAATATCTTTACAGTTTTCTGCTGCCTCCCTGCATTTTCTCAAGAAAAGCCCATCAGACATTCTCCTGCAATTAGACAATCAAGAGAATATTGCAGTTACTGTAAGGAAGCATTACTGGAGATAAAGAAAACTGCCTGCAAAAAGGGTTTAATTAGAATTCAGAAACTTGTTTTGTGACTATTTATCCCTCCTAAAATATTTCTGTATCAGTAGCTTAAACAGCATACATTAATTCTCAAAATTACTAATATTCATTTATGGAAGGTTTAACGAATTTGTGAAGGTGATGTCATAGATAATATGTTTTAGGTTTACAACACATAACATGTGTTATGTCTCAGTTCAGTATAAAGTGGTGGGGAAACTGCAAAAGACACCAGCTCCTTTCATTCTCAGTTTTAAAATAAGAGCTTTGAGAGGAAGGATTACTACAAACTTGCTAATAAGAACATTGGTACACAATTATCTCAGCCCTGTCAATATCAGCATTGCCCATTTTTCTTAGGAGGCATTTACTTGAATTTGTCCCATTTCACTGACTCCCACTGCCATCAGCAGAAGTTTCACATTTGAATAAGATTTAAGCAGTTATTTATGATTATATTTTTGGGGATTTTCTTTTCGTTTTTCTCGAAAGAAATGTCAACATACATAATATTTGCCTTGTGCACAGCAGTCACGTGGCTTCTCTGATTGTTTCTGGCATACTCAAAAGCAAACTCTGCAATGCGCTTGCTGGCTTCCTCTGTGATCAGCTTGATGCTTTGCACAACCCCATCAACAATCTGAAAGACAGGAAGTGCATCAGCAGTACAAGTTCATTCTTCCGATTTAGAACCAAGCAGCAGAATTTTGAGTGAGGCAGAATGCATTTCACAATGGAGGAACTTTCTTATGGGTGCCAAATGTAAAAAAAAAATCTCACTGAACCCCAGTGATGGGCAAAGTTAGCAGTGCTGAAACAGAAAGGCAGCAGAAGGCAGCAGCTGAGGCACCCACCACGTGCTCGATGCCGCTGTACTCGCCCTCGGTGTTCTCGCGGATGGTGACAATGTTCACGTCCGTGTAGGGCGTTTTGTAGCCCTCGATGGACACGCACGGACGCACGTTGGCGTAAAGGTCAAAGGTTTTACGCAGCAGCAGATTCATTGAAGGGTGCCCTGCAGCAATTGGGGTCTTCAGAGGCCCTAGAGAAAAAAAAGGATGAATGAGAAAATAAACCCCTCCATGGATCTGTGTGCTGAAACTCTAGGTAAAGTGGGACTCCTACAGAGGATCTCCAAATTCCTGTTTAACCCTTATGCTGGAATGCCATGGGAATTCTCTGTTCTGTCAGCTACTGCTCAGGCACATTCATTAGTTGGGTAAAGGCCAAATTGCGAGCCATACGTTTTTACAGAACAGATTTTACAAAACGTATTCATTAAAACATATAAAGATACTGCTCATTAGTAGTGTAGTTATTGCATACTATTGTGTATCTTAGAAATGCCTTCTGCAGAGAGTCCAAAGGTTGTTATGTACCCAATTTCAACTACAATAACTATCAAACTTACAGCTTGGAAATTGCATGAACCTTTCCTGCAAGGACTGTTCCAAGATTACAGACAGCTACCTGACAGGCTGTCCCCGTTTTATTGTGCTACAGAGGAAGAACTTTGGCTTTACATCAAACTCATGATAAACATAACAGTATTTAATATCTGTGTATTAACCCCTAAAATACCTTTTAATCCCATTTTGTTTTTATCCATGGATTCTTTGGCTTCTGGGGGTATCATCCACTTCCCTCCTGGTCCTTGGATAGCTGTAACATTCCTCTCTTCCCACTGAATAGGTGCCTAAACAGACATACTCTATGTTAACTTTAGTGTCATGACTTTGCTTCGAGTTTTAACTTTCACAAGAAGGTGTGTAAGGAATTTTGTCCAGGCCTTTCTAAATAGTATTTTCTCTGGTGAGAAAGTAAGCATGAGATGTTTGAACTAAAGTAATTTTTGAAAAATGTAATTAAGTAAGCGGAAGTGAAATATTGTGAGCAGCAAATCACCATAAATACCACAATGGCACCCTAGATGTTATATATGTAAGTGCTATTTCTTTAAAGGTTTTAGAGCTGTTAAGTTCCTTGTATACAATAGACAACATTTTAAAGCTGAATTCACTGAGGACTCATCATCCCCACTGACTGGAAGATTGTGTATGACACAGATATGTATGTTATCTCACGGAAAATCTGCACATGCTCCACAGTGCTTTCTGAATTTGCATTCACCACAGTACTCTAAGTGGAGACAGGCTGCCACCCATTCATTTCATTAGGAATGACTATACACAAATGAATCATACACAAATTAAAAGATACAACATAATTAAAGAAACATCACGTTTTCAAATCCACGTTGGATAGTTGTAATAAAAAGGGAATATGCCTGGGTGTTGTTACTAATGTGGAACAATTTAACAGGCATCTTGCCTGAAGAGCTGTATTTCCTTTAAAGGAAACTTGACAAGGTCTGGTGAAGTTTCTCAGATAGGTAAGAGAACAGTTCTTGGATACAGTAAGTTTTCATATCACTGAAGTTAACGTGTTTGGCAGCACAGCAATTGGATTGCTAAAATGAGCCAGTACTTTCACACACACTTTTGACCTGCACTTGAAGTCATAATAAATGAAAGAATATCCTCTGTCAGTTGCTCAGGATTACTACATCAACAAGGTGATTTCACATGACATTGAGTTCATATTTCCAAAAATCAAACACAGTATTTGCTCTCAAGTCTCTACTCTTCTGTAAGCTAACAGTTTCAATGTGTGCCTTGGTATCACATTCCTGTCATTTATTAGCTGAAGCTTCAAACTCTTTCTACTGGAAAGAAGTTTTAATAGCTTAAATATTATTTAATCTCTTAAATGAGAATTTAAGCTTTTTAAAATATGCCTAATTAATATTTGTTGCTGTAGTTCAATTTGCAAATCTTATAGCAAGACAAATATGACTTACTTTGGCAGCATCAAAGATCTTCATGACAGCAGCAGAAATCTCGGGTCCTATGCCATCTCCTGGGATTAAAGTTACTGTTTGCACCTAGGTAAAGAAATATCAGTAGTACAACAAATGAATGTTTGTTTTCTACGTAGAAAACATCTTCATGTGTTGTAAGGAACCAAGTAACTATTGGAAAACAAAATAAATTTTCCTTTACCAAATATTCACTATGAAGAACAGCAGTCTTGGACAGAAGTGAGGACTGGCTTGCTTTCCAAGGGAGTGTGCAAATGTTTTGAGAGAATTGTTTAAAAATTCACCTACTACCTCTTCCTACTTTGAAACAGAGGCTAAATGTGAAAGGCAGATTCCTGCTCTGTACTCCTTGAAATTAATAAATGTAGCATGCTTTCCTCTGGAAATCTGGAGAGCAAGTTGTATTACCTAGTTATGGCTCTGTTCCACATATGTCTACAATATTGTCAACATGCTGCATGATACTGACACATGCTAGAAATGATTACATGTGTGAACAGCTACATTCACCTTAAAAAAAAAGGTCATGCCAAGCTAAACTTCTCAAGTGACCTCCTAAAATTCTCACACCCACTTTAAACAATACCAACTTATTTACCTCTCATAATGCTCTCAGTTTTGTTTGTTTTATCATCATCAAGCCAGTAAAAAAAATGCGCAGCCCAGGCTCAACAAATAGCAGGAGAAGAATGTATTCTTCTTTGAAGAAAAAAAATGAATTATGATCACTGTTCTAAGGGTACGTGCTCCAGCTCACTTTATTTTATTTAAAGAGATCCAACAGTTTTTATGGGCTCATTATTACCTACAAAAAAGGCAGCTCACATACATATTTTGAAAAACCCCAAAAGAATCAATCACATGCCGGAACTTCAATATATATTGACTGATTGATTTTTTAACTTTTGAGCCAAAGAAATTCACTGTGTACATCAAAATAACAGAGCTTCAGATAAAGAACACTAGTGCTGAGCCACTGATGAAATGCCTCGAGAGTAGTATAGTGCTGTCTGACAGCACTACAGGGCTCCACCTGAGCCTGAAACTCTTGTGTTTTCAATAGAACCAGGGAGGCCTCACCTTCTAATTTTTATATTGTATAAGTGACCCTTCAGTTTCTTTTCTAACTGTTGTACCTGCTGTTCTACAAAACTTATCATGAAAAGCCATAGTTCCTCTTTAAGATTAAGTCCTGCTTAAGGGTGCTGAGCCCTGCTCCTGCCTTCACCAAAAAAAATGCCCATGGGCACTTCAAACACATACATAAAAAAGGTAAAACATCTACAGTGAAACACACAACGTCTAAGATAGTTTAAAGAGGACCTTGAAAAGGCAGAATTTTAGATGCAAGGAGTTCTAAGAGCAGCAGTAAAGTAAATCTAGTGCTTAGAGGGAAGTCTGCAAAAGAAAGAAAATCAGAAGCTTCTCAACAAGCTTTCTACTTTGCGCAATATTTTTTTACTCATTCCCAGATGAATTCCAGAAGACTGGCTTATGTCTGTATTTTGTGGAAACTTTCCACAGTACTTCTATTTTTTGCTAGAGTCTTTTATATTCTCACATTGTTATGCAATTGCCAATGACAGTCATTAACTGATATAAATCCAAGATGGCATTAAGAGCATGTATGTTCACTTGTTTGGCCCTTATTTTTTGGGAACATAAGAATAACAACAGTGATCTTATAAATTTTCAAACCTGCCTATTGAGAAACATCTTAAAAAGAAAAAAATGGGACTATTATACTCACAGCATTACCAAAACTTCTGGTCACCTTTTTTTGGCTTTTGAAAGCACCTAGCAATCGAGAAACCTGCAAAAATCCAGAACAAAAAGATGTTCTTTTATTGCACAAATGGGATTTTACAAGTTTAACCATATTGCAGCAAATCATCTTTTCAAAGTCATACTGCTTTAAATCTCCTATCTCAAACTAGTGTAAAAATTCAAATGAAACCAGAGTACCCAGTGCTTTGCCAAGTTGCAGTTGAACACTCCGAGCAGCAACGCCTTGTGGGTATTCTTAGCACAAGGTGAGCCCAGGACAGACACGCTTTGCCCCATGCCCCTGCCCTGCCTGGGGGCCCCTGTACCCTGCCTGGAGTCCTCACACACATCATGTTGGAAGCAAGGCTGCAGGAACTCTAACTAAATACTTCATATGCTAAAGACAAAGACAAGCGGAAAGCAAAGTGAAAAATCAAACACTTCATTGGTAGCAGCTGAGTGGACAGTATTTTTACACATTTTAGGTGATGTTTCCAAAACTACTTTACATTAGTGTCATTTCTTCCATTCAAACTGTGGTGAACTTTGTTCTTCTACCTTTTATACCTGTAGGTGTTGTACTGTTGCCTTCCTGCATGCCTGATAGTTTTTTAAAAGTGGAACTGAAATGCACACTGAAGACAAAATTCACCATAGCAACAAGTCTACACATCACAGTCAAAAGAATTACATTTTCTAAGTATTCTGAACTGGCATTAAGCTTCAAAACTGGGATGGTATCTAAGCTTAGGCTCTTGCCCAGCTGAGCACCATGGACAAAATCCTTACTCTGTAGAAAAATCATGGCCTCCTAATCTTAACCGCTTTTCTAGGACTGTTGATACCTCTGGGACTTAAGAGCCAGAAGACTTCTAACTGCTTACACTACTTCCAATTCTGCCATATTCACATATGCAGGCTGTCTGCAGCTATCAGGTTAGAAATTACTTTGACAATTTGTATTCCTCTCCTGTCCCACTTGCATTTGTTATTTCTTTACTGACAGAATGGTGTGTGGCAAAAGGAACAAATTATGTTGGCAGCAACAACTAGAAACAACTAGAAATAATATAATTCTCATATTGCAATGAATACTGGGGGAGAAGTAATCTAGGCTAGATTTATTTTTACTTGCAGCCCTACATGAAATGTACACGGTCACTGCAACAGACAAGCAGTGTTTCCCAAAGCAAGCCCTATGGTTGAGGATGAAGGCAGAGCAATCAAATGAAAATGTGAAGTTGATTGTACAGGGTAAGTGTTCTCATAGAACAGTTCCTGCATATAGAATCAGGATTCACATTCCAGAGTAGACCTGGAAAGGGCACAGTCTGTCTTGTCAGAAATCAAGGGCCTAGTACATTATACTGAAGTTCAACACTGGTAACACCAACAAAGAATCCACCCAAGGAAAACTGATCCATTCTGACCTTAAAATCACGTGTCATGACTAGCTCTTGACAGTTCTTCCTTACTTTAGCAGATAGGTTAAATGGGGCAGCCTCAATAACTTTGCCTCAAGCAGGCTATTATTTAAAAGTTACAAAATAAATTTCATTTACTCAAGGCAAAAAACAGTATTTCTGTGACAGCCCCAGGGTAAGGCCTGCGTTTCAGAATGGTTCAGACCTGTAAATGCCAGAGGACAGGTGTGGGGGCCAGAAAGTCGCCGGCCAGAACGCGGTAGCAGTTCTCCCCAGCCGGCTCTGCAGTGCCGGTACCGCGGGCTCTTTGCGGGAATGGCGTTTCAGGCTGTGCTGTCGGCCACGCGCGCACCGGGCGCTGCCCGCAGCCGCGGTGGTCCCGCCGCTGTGTGACCTCTACGGCGCGACCTCTCCCAGGCCGCTCCGAGGGACGGCGCGGCGCCTCCCCGGCCCGGCCCGGCCCGCTCGAATAACGGCCCCCACGGCCTCTTCCCGCCGCCGTCCCAGGGAGGGGGCAGGAGGAAGGAGAGGACCCGTGAGCGCCGCGGGGCCGCCTTTCAGCCCGAGCCCCGCGGCCATTCCCCATCGGAGCGCTGCCAGGGCCCAGCGGCACCGCGACCTTGCGGCCGGGCGGCCGCGCCTCAGGCGCCACCAAGCTCCGGGGCGCGTCCCGGGCGCCGCGGAGCAGGTCCGGTCCGGCCCGTCCCCCTGCCTACCGTGGGCATCCACGCGGTCGCGGCCATGACACGCCCGGGCACCGCGGCTACCAAAGCCCGAGAGCTCCGCGCCCGCCGCTAAACCGGAACCGGCGCGTGGGGAGCGGCGGCCCCGCCCCGCTCCACGAAGCCCCGCCCCGGGACTGCCGCTGCGGTAGCGCCCGCGGCCCCTCAGCCCCCGCCCGCCGCTGCCCGACGCGGTCCGGGCCTCTTTCTGCGGCCCGTCAGCCCCCGCCCGCCGCTGCCCGAGGTGGTGCGAGCCTCCTTCCGCGGCGCGGTGGAGGTGCTGCCGGGGAGCTCCCGCTCCCGGTGCGGAGGCGACGGGGCGGAGGGCCTGGTGCCGCCGGAGGATGCTGGTCGTTTATGGGAAAAAAGTAGTTGCTAAGAAAGACGCCAGAATTTTGCTGAAGTAGATAAGAAGCCTCCTAAGCCCATGTACTTTAAAGTGTTAAAAACAAAGCTGTTGAAATCGGGACAATGTAAGACTTCTTTTTGCCCTCATTTCTGAGGTACTTGTCTCATTATTTTAAAAGCTGCTGCTGTGTCAGTTGGAGAAGCGGCAGGGGCGTGAGGGCCCCTGCGGGTGCAGTGCCCGTCCCCGGCAGCGCCAGCCGTGCCGCGCCGCTGCCCGGCGGAGCCGCGGGACCAGGCAGGGCGCACGGGCTCGGCACCGGCGCTGGGGCGGCGGGAGAGCCGGGGCCTTCTGCAGAGTAAAGCACCGAGCTAGAAGTAAGGCAGTTTGACGTCTTACCTCTGGGAATGGCCGGTTTTATAAACTTCTCCTACCTTTCTTACACTTGGCAACATAGAAATTTGAGGTTTGTCTCAGGCTTGTACCAGTTTTAGAGTTAGTACACTACTAGCAGACTTTCCAGTTACTTAGCTCAGTATTGGTAACTATATACAAATTGAACAGATTCGTGTTGCTTTCTTGTGTTTGTGACTGTATCTGCATTGTTAGGTTGCACTTGGATTGAAAATTGGGGGGAGGGGAGATATTGTGGAGAATTCTTCTACACATTTTCAACACCCATTTGTCTATGTCTTGTGGGTGTTACCATAATAATGCTACAGTAATAAGGCATTAACAGTGGCTGGTTTGGATCTGTTCTGAGAAGGGCTGCACGAAAAAATAATAAGCCCATGAGCTAGTTGTTTTGCTTAAGAAAATAATACCTGTGAGAAGACAACAATTCTGCCTTTCCCCTAGTGATCACTATATTGTCACTCCCTATGGGAAAATTGGTTATATTACATTTAGCCTGCTAAGGCAACCATTACTTTTATTACTATATTGTCCCTGAGGCAAGACAATGCCTTGTGTAAAACACCTTTAAAAAAAAAAAGCTGATTTCTATTTATTATGGATAAATTAGGCTTAACAAAATGCACTCAGAAACTTTCCTTTTCTAGCATAGTGTATTTTTAAGCTAGATAGATAAGATCATAAAATCAATACATTTTCACACAAGGTTTTCCTTTCTGTTTATTTTCTTTCTTTCCTAGAAAGATCCTGGTCCTCAGTGAAGTCAGCAGCTTTTCCTAGTTTGAGAGATGTGAGTCTTGCATGTTTCTCAAACTGTTTATTCATTCCTCAAACAGAGCTCAAGCCCATGAAGCCTTCTCTCACAGGATATCACTTCCAGACAAATTTAGTGAGGTCTGAGCATGCTCCCACCCACCATGTGTTGGAAAAGCAACTTTTTAACCTGCTGCAGTAGCAAAAACTGTAAGTTTTCATATATTTTAGGTTTTCATAACTGTGTATTTACAATTAATTTTTTATTTATAGTTCATGCAATTGTATTGTTTTGTAGCTTGGTAGCATCTTTAAGGAACTTCTTTTTTTAGCTCCACAGCAGCTGTATAAGGTGAATGTTATTATTTTTCTTTATTTTATGCAAACAGAATTTTGAATAGCTTTCCAGTAGATAAAACAAATCCCAAAAACTCGGGGGATTTTTACAGCATCAGTGGAGGATAGAACTTCTCCCATTGCAAATAGTGATCACAGTTACTCTCACCTGCAGTAGCAGTGGGCCCTAAGGACTTGTGCAAGGTAACAACAGAATAAATGTATAGGCAGCCCCTCTGAATCAAAACTGGTTTTTGTTAACAATGTAACTCTTTATGAACAGTTATTCTGCAATGAAACATCTGTGTGAGAGGGAAGTTCTTTGAATACTTGGTGTAATGGGCATGAAATTTCTTAGGTTCTTTTCTTCCCTATTAAAAGCTGTAGCAAACCAATATGTGAAAGCAGCAGATATGGAACATGATTGTTAAAACTCTGTATGGCTCCTCTTGTGGTAAAGTGGTCTGTTCAGAGTAGCTTGAGTCTCCTTTGGTGAGGGGTTAAAGCTAATACTTAAGCCACCTTCTCATTCTCACTGCATAATTTACAGAGGCAACTTGAGGTACTCTGACCTGTCTGTTGGAGGCCATTAAACTTTGCCTCTCCTAAGAAATCAGATCAATCACCTGCTGTGACAGCCAGGGCTTGCGGCACTTCACAGCAGAGAAACCTGCACCAAAGGCTGTGTGGAGATGCCAGCCTGGTGTGTCCCACTGCCTGAGCTGTGGCAATAAACTCCTGCAGCTGTGGTCAGCTGAGGCCATTGCAGCTGACACCCATCTTGCTGTCCAATACTACACTGGGGTGCATGAATAACAGTGTATTTCCTGCTCTGGGATTTAAACTTCTAAAGCACATGAGCAGAGGCTATTTAACTGTTGTCTCTGGTACAATGGGCGCTGAAATAGCAAGACTATTCTAGATATACTGTCCTCCTTACAAAACTGTATCTGCAACCTATTGCAAGATGTTTGTTATCTAATAGCTTAAAACTTGATTTGGCAAACAGTTTTTTAAAAACGGAAATACAGTGAAACGTAGTGGTACTGGTAGTACTTAAGGTCAGTTCTTGCTGTGCACATTGAAAACTATAGATTTGTTGCAGCAACATGCTGGCAGTAAGTTTACTTAACACCCAACTGGCAAATAAGCTAATCTTTGATAAATAGAAACAGATAGAAGTCCAGAAAAGTGGACTGGAAGATCATCTGAACATTGACATGTACAAACAAATAGGAGTGAAAAAGACTTTGTGTATTATACCATCTTTAAATTTTACCCAATTAGCACAGCAAGGTAATTGTGCATTGAGTTATAGTTACCACTGTGATATGCTTGAGAAGAGCTAGCTGGTATAGTGTAAACCTTAGCAGTTATATCTGAATCCTCTGGCCTACATTGTAACCACAAGTAAACCCTACCTAGTTAATGCTTTCCATAAAGCTCTGCTGCTATTTTACTGCTGTTATTTTGATTCAAAAGATAGAGACTTTCTGATGTGTGTGTCATCTAGGGTATAGGGGAAGCAGCCAGGGATAGAAAAGCAGGTGAAAAATGAAGAGATGGGATGTCAGCTTTTCACTGTAGAAGTGCTGTTAAGCATACAGAATCACAAGACTAAAAGATATGGAGCCAAATCCACCCCTGCTGCCAATTAACTTCTGTATTACATTAGAGGTAATTTGGCCATTTATATTTAATCTGATTTTGCATAGATGGGCAGCTTGAAGTAGGTGGCTGTGAATGGAATACCATTTCATGCAAATCACTTGCCTGAGTATTGACCTGGTCTGATTGAGAGCAGCTGTTATCTCTTTCATTTATTTCAGTAGCACCAGATCAGCACGTATACTTAATTATAGGTATAGCCACTAATGCCAACGATGGAGCTCATTCAGAGTTGAGGACAGATGCAAACTTTCAGAACAGTGCAAGTTCTTAGTCTCAAGGGGCCCTTATATATTGTTGGTTTTTTGATTTAAAAAAACCCGAAATATTGTATTTTGCAGATTTTAAAAAATTATTTTCAATGTTCTGACTTACCTGTGGAGAACTTTTTGGAACATAATAGGAATCCAATGCCACTACATACCAGGGAAAAGTTAAAAAAAAAGCATTAGTGGCTGGGAACACAGATCAGTTTTGCCATGTGACAGTCAGTACAACTGTATGATATTTGAACAGATATTGCTGTTGTCTTGGTTTGATGGTAAATCATTCTGTTTGTATTTTCCTTACTACTGTAGCTTCTTCCCTCCTATTCTGAAACTGCTGCAATATGCCCTATTGCTAGAATGCATTTCATTGATGTTACAATTCTGGTGTTTGCTTATTGCTAATAAGTCTTATTGCCAACATTTGCATCCCAAGGCATGTAGTTTGTGTATGGGATATACCTTGTAATTTTTGTAGCTCAGGGCAGTGATAGTTTGCAGCTAATCAAACCTGCATTTCCAAATGTTATAATTTGAATAAGCCATCTCTTACAACAGTCTGTTGTTCAGCACTTTGTAGAATGTTTTTACTACATATCCAACACACTTCATAGGATATTTTTACTATGTATACAGTATATTTGCTTTTCCTATTACTTTTAAGTGTTTGTTGTTACATGCCAAGGTAAAGTGAACTCCTATTATCCAATCCTACTATTGGGCCAGGATCACTACAAGCTGTAGGGAAAGGCACACAATAATTCTCAAAGTGTTTTTATTAAACTTGCTATCTTGAGGAGGAAATGAGGACCATTGGTAGACTACAAATAAGGAAGTTGGGAATTTTACCCTGTTCTGTTCCAATGTGCCTGAATGGAAAGTGAGCTTATAATGGGTCCTTCTTCCCTGTTGCTATCCTTTCTCACTCAGACTTCTTCCTGCTGTTGTTGTAAGAGCTTATCCTTCTGCAGATGTTAGATAATATGATTTTGTCTGTCTGCTTCTCATAGATGCTCTTTTATTTTTCACTTTCCTGTCAGTAGGGTTGTGGTGTGCTAAAACACACAATGAGCCCTTTACTGGCACTTTCTGCTTTTGCTTTAGGCTGTGGTAGAGGTTTTTCCTTCCCAGCTGTGCTTGCTTGAGCCTAAGGAGGCAGGATGGTGTCTGTTTAACTACTTTAATCTTGCTGACTTTTTAAAATTTAGTTAATGTGCGAAGGAGTCCTTGTGTTCACTGCTGTAACCGGCAGTTTGGTACCTTTGGGGGCGAACTCACATCCTCGCTTGGCGCGTATTTCCTGCGGAGCTCCCGCGGCAGCTGGTGCGGGAGTGGGGCCGTGAGGCCGCCGTGAGGCTGCAGCGCTCCCCGGGCAGGCAGGGCAGGCCGCAAGCAGGCTGGGCTCTGTGTGCGATGCCCGTGCGCTCCGCTGTTCCCAGGCTGGCTGGGGAGCCTGGCAACACGGCTGCGCTGCCCAGCGCCACTGGCTGACGCAGAGCTGCTCCAAAACCTGGAGGTGCCGCGAGGAGCGCCCTGAGTGAGACCGCGAGGCAAGAGTGAGCTGCGTTCTGCTGGGAGCGGCTGCTCGGGGTTTGGGTTATAAAAGCTCCGCATGCCTCTTAGAAAAGCGTCTGAAAAGGGGCAGATTGTTATCCCTGTTTTTGCACGACACCTGCCTGTGATTTTAACACTTTCCTTCCTGGCACGCTTCAGTGAAACCTTTGCAAAGATTTCCCTGACTGTATCCTTCCTCACTGGGCAAGTGCAATCCAAACCAGTTCAATGCAGGCTCTGGGATTTTTTCAGCACACTCACGGAGTATACGTGCTCTAAATGCCTACAATACAGAGGAATCCAGCTACTTCTAATGGGATGCATTTGCAGAGAGAAAGAATTCCTCATTTAAGATGGGTAATAAGCAAACGATATTTACTGATGAACAGCTAGATGCCTACCAGGTAAGATATCTTGATTTGCATTAGGGGATGAAAGGGAGTAATCTATGTATATTTATTATTTGGATTTTTGTTTGGTTTGGGGAGTGTTTTTTTTCCAATATAATTGAAAACTTCCTTTGTAACCTGCATGTATATATTCTACTGTTCCTTCCAGCAGCTGTAATAATATTCTAAGGCTGAGTTGTTGAATATATTCATTTAATTCCTTCATTGTATAGAAGGAGAAGGGTCACATCCTCAGTGTCTGAACTAGGAAGCAAAATAAAGATTGTGACTAGCTTGACAAAAGTGTAGCACCTTCTCTCCCCAGTGCCTTTTGCTGACAATAGAGTGGAAAGGAAAAAAAATATTGTCTTAATTCACTTTTCCTAAGGATAAGTCAGAGAAACATGCTTAGTGTAATTCCAGAATAGGTATTGTTATACTTGTATCCACTCCTGGAAAGCAGTTTCTTACTTCATCGTAAATAAGTGTGCATTTTATGTCAGGGATAACTTGGTACTTTGTTATTTACTTAACATTGCATAAACTGCTTTTAAAGAGGGTAAAAAAAGGAAAAGGATTCCCCGATTTTAGTCATGTTTCAGCACACTGCAAATCTCACTGAAATGGATTTCAGAAAGCTGTCTGCACAATGGGCATCTTGAACAAGTTTCTGAAAATACAGTGAAGCAAAGCATTGAGTAGAAATGTGCTCAAGAAGGAGGCAGCTGACTACTTATTAAGAGAGGCAGCCAGGGCTGGCTGCATTTTCTGCTGCTGTTCTCCTACGTGAAGTGACAAACATTGAATTAGCAGCACAGGAAATCAAGATTTAGTTTATCTTGTGATAACCAAGGGAAAAATACAGACCCTTAAGGGACTGGGTAACTTAATAACATTTTCCCTTTTTGATCTTTAATTAAAACTATTGAAGTAGAATCTATTATTTTAGTTACTAATTTTATTTCAAGTCACTGCTAACGTGGACTTGTCACAGGTGTAAATATTGAGCCATGGAGTGAGGCCAGGTGTATATGCTTAAATGCTTTCAACCGTTATCCCACACTGAAAGTAAGGCATAAACGAAATGCTTTACAAATACCTAGTGGGTTTTTTTGTCATTGTAGGAAGCATAACAGTGGACCTTCTTCATTTCCACTTTATTAACACTTCTCACCAGCAGTCTGTAATGTATTTATCTTAAGTTAATGATCTTAGACTTGGCAGTCCAAGACTCAAAAAAGCTTTTTTCAGATCCCTGCTGGATAGGTGAGAGAGAAATCAAAGATCTGTAAAGCATAAGTCTTCCTACTAACAATAGAAGTGAACACAGAACAGAGCACAACTGCAGTGAAACAAAACAAAATCCAAATGTAATTATTGTTTTCCTCTTGACATAAACTGGCAAATGCAAGAGCTGAAATGTCATCCCTAATTCAGTGCTCTTCATGTAGAAATTGCCTCTCTCTCTAATGGCTTTTGCAGCCCCTGCCTTTCATAATGCTGGGTAATTGATCTCAAAGTCTGGCAGGAGTTTGGCCCAGTGGATTGAGTCGCCTTTGGGATTTCTCTGTTACAGGCAGACTTGCAGTTCATTAGTGTGGAGCTAGACGATTTTTGACTAGTAATAGCACTTGTTATGTTTGGCAAGTACCATAAAATAACAGGTTTCGGGACAATAACTGACCTGCAGAATTTGTCAGGAAGGGGTGTTAGCCTCATGCTGTGAAGAATCAGATAAAGACACAATTTTGATGGTGATTTGCCTGTGATCTATTAGTTTTCCATCTCGAGTCTTTTAAACAAAAAGGTCCTGGGCTGACTGCTGGAGCCACCCACACAGAGAGCTCTTGCCTCTCCACAGCATCCTGGAGGAGTCAGCAATTTGTAAGTTGAGCTGTTTGAGTTGGAATTCACCATCTTACCTGCCTTCTTCTCATTTGTGGAATTTCTTCAGAATAGAAAAAGGAAGAATGGGGCAATGTTTCCATAATTTTTTTAGTCCAGGTTTTTCATGTCTTGATCCAGCAGCTGAGTTACCAGGGTCTCTAAACTGTGGGCCAAAGTACAACACTGTGTACCACAGTCCACTTTGCAACAGTCTGTTGTGCACATCTGTACCCCAGTGACCAGAAAGGCATCTACATATAAATTGCTTTAATAAACTGATCATTGAGGTTTTGTTTTTTTTTCCCTAAAGCAGTTTATGTGTCTGTGAGTTACTTCTGTACTCCTTACAACAGTGGTCCAGTGATACTATGAACAGTAGTACAGTATTCATAGTATCAGCATTCAGAAGCAAAAGTGTCAATCTTTTTTGTAAAATATATCTTGGTTGTTCTTTTTTTTTACTTCCTCACAGTTCCTATTGGTGGACTGTTCAAAACCTCACTCACCTCATGGTTAGACTTATAATTTCTTTTTTGAAATATATTTCTTGACATTGTATTATCTGGTTATACTTTCTATTATTTCTGTATTTCATACAAATTTCTTTGATCTTATAGCACCTCATATTGTTTAAGGAGGAAAACTTTTATAATTTTTTAAAAATTCATTGTGTTTTATGTGCTTGTTCCATGAAAGACACTATGAGGTGAAAAGGTGAGAAGTTCATGTGCCTAAAGTGTGGTAAAACCTATGCAAGTGGCTTTGGCTTTAATGAGTGAAGATTAAGCTGCAGAAAAATCACCTGCTTGAAAAGCTAGCATGCATAAATCTTAGATCATTAGTGTAATATTAATGAAATAAAATAAATCAAATTGTTTTATTTATCTGAAACCTTCTGAAAAGCCTATGTATACACCTTTTTTGCATGTAAATTGTCATATTGAAGAGCTGGTTGTTAGCAGAACTTTTAACTTTAAACTAAAGAATTGTAAATGTGGTCACCCACAGGGTGACCTTGCTGTTCTCAACGGACAAGTTTTTAAAATGCTCTTCATTAAGTCTGGTAGCCAGTTGAAACTGTTTGTACAAGAGACCTGTAATAGAACTTGATAATACTAAGCCATTCAGCTTAAAAAAAAAAAAAATCAAGTAGGTAGATGTGAAGTAAAGAAAGGAGATAAGGAGATTTGCAGCTTTCCAGTCTAACACTTTGTCGTATAACACCTGCTATTAAGATCATATCACCTGTTATTATGATAGTGTTCTTGTTGGCAGCTCTTTACATTATTCTAAGATTAGTTAAATGTTTTGCAAATTAGGCTTTTGCTAGCACTGGGTTGCTCATAGAGATTCACATAATTTAAAATACTGGCCTTGTAAGAAAAGGAATTTTACTAGGCATTTATGATTCTTATGCCCTTAGAGTTCTGGCTATGGCTTTTAGGTTTCCTTTGTGAATGGGGCTTTTGGTTGTTGAGGGATTTTTTAATACAGAAAGTGTGAAACCAAGGTCTGGTGAGGGAAAAGGTAAGTACTGATAGCCAAGAAAGATGGGTTGCATTGCAATAAAATAACATTCTAAAATTAAGATTTTAAAAGCTGCCTACAGATTTTGGAGGTCAAGTCTTATATTGAGAAAAGAAAATTAACTGAAATTTTAGGGCGTTTTGAGTGTGTGCAGATGCTTGAAGCAATGGAAAATATAAGTATGCTGTAAAGCAACTTATTTTTTAATTCAGAGCCATTTATTCATCTTGATGCTTAGGATTTCTAACTGTAAAACAATTGTATTGAGTAGGAAATGCAGAGAAACTTTGTACTTTGGCTGTGGACAAACTCCTGCACTGTTCAATCTCATTTCGTTTTCTGGGATTACTTGAATCAAGAGATCTGAATTCAGTATAAATTCAGTGATCGTTTTGTTTGTTTGTTTTATTTCCCTTCTAGAACCTAGAGATTATAAGGCATATTACTGGTTTTATTGCAAGTTATTGTATTTGTTCATTAATATTATTTACTCTGCATTATTTAATGCAATCTCAAAACAAAGTGATGTTTACCCTGGCAGTTTTATAGGCAATATTGCAATACAATAAAGTACAATGAAGTAATGACTTTCTTCTTTTACATAAGAATTTCTCTATTACAGGGCTCACTTTTTTCCTTTTACCAAAATTGATGTCAAAGTGCAATTCAATTATATTTCATGAGAATTGTGCAAAACCAGAATTAAACAAGTTATGTTATGATCCATCAAGAAACACCATTTGTAAAGTAAAACAGGTTCATCAAGCTGTCTTTTAAAAAGCCATGCAGATTTCATCCAGGGTCTTGGAAAATTAACCCTTTGCAAGAATACAAGAAGTGCATTCATAGGTTCCTCAGGATCTTCTGTAAAAAGTATTTTCTATTTGATACAGTATTGCTATTATTGTGCAAGTAAAAGTAGCATAATAATGGAGCAAGTTTTTTGTCAAAATATCCTTTGGTCAGGTTCCTGTTTCACGTTACCATTTGGTGCATCTGTAGATTGAACAAAATTACTTTTGTTGGCAGTTTGCTTTTTTTCAGTCCTTGCTAATGTCTGACCTGTTTGTACTCCCCTGTTGCCATATGAATACGTAAACCAGTTCTTACAGAGGCAGATTTTTTCCTTTGAAACTCAGTGGGTGTTTTGGTTGGTTTGGGTGTAATTGTGAAGTATATATGATGACAAGTAAGGATCAGCTGTGTGGTAAAATTTTCATTGGTGTTCTGATGCAAACAGCATTTTTAACTCATTGACTGTGTTAACTCTTTATACACTAACAATGATGAAAATACATAAATATCTTGCAGACTCAGTCTTGCACAACTCCATGCCAGTCTTAGTCGAGTGGAATGCAGAACAAAAGTATTGCATTTGTAAAACATTACTAGAACAAGAGTTAACAATAGATCTTATATTAGAGTTAATTTGCTTCTGTCTAGTACCAGATTCTTGGTTGCTTCACAGGATGATATGGTGTTTTGATTAAATGCTCTTACACATATTTTTGTACTTTTGCACAGTACAAAATGTCATTTGTGATTTTAAAAATGAAACCTCTAAAGTAATTTGCTTATTTGCTTTAAATATTACCTTTTAAGGTGCTGCAATATCCAATAGTTAGCATTTTTTAAGAGCTGCTCTCTCAGATAGCTATATTGTTTACAGTATCCACATTATCTTTGAGGCTGTTTTTTTTTTTGTTGTGGGGTTTTTTTTTTGTTTTTTTGGTTTTTTTTTTTTGGAGTGATTTTGTAAGACAAATTTTCTCAGAATTGGCCTGGGATACTTTAGGGAGTTGAAGATAAACAATGATAGCTTATTATCATAACAATCTGCAGGTGGTGTTTTCTTACTGTTTTCTTGTTTTTCTCAAATATTTTTTATAAGAAAGGGGTCTTGTTAATTAGCCAGTCCGGTGAAATGTATTGATTAATTGACCAACCAGGTCTGTCTGTATTGGAACAACGTATGAAAGAGGACCCGAAGTAAAGATGCGCTGTACTATGCAAGCCAGCCTTCTGGAGATTCAGTGTGGTTTCTTGCTTGATAGTGACAGACTGATTTATATTATTTTTGTATTTATAAATGTTTCCAATGAAGTTGTTGCAGAATGAAAGTAAACCTGACCTTATGAAACTATACATATACAAGGCAGAATATCTATATAATACATAATATATAATAATATAATGCATAATATATATGTATTGTCTTTAATGGCTTTCAGAAATACTGTTTCACAGCAGTTTTGAGTATTTCTATTCTTTCATTCTGTTGTTCATTTCTCCAGCTTTTGTTTTGTAGAGGAATGTTTTGCTTACGGCCATGAAATTAGCTTTGTTTTAGAGCTGTGCTTTATGCACAGGACTTGCTTCTGGGAGTGGTAATGGGTAACCTCCCATTTGCTGGAGTCTGCTGCCATTCACTGTATGCTGCTCTCAGGAACTGGCAATCCATCCCTAGAACAGCCAGCACGGGGGCTGACTGGAGCCACACCTCCTGGTGTGCTGCATGGACACTCTACAGACAGTTAAGTAGCATCATTGTCAGAGCATCTCTCTCCTTTCTTGCTTTGTTCAAATCACGGTAGAACTCAATACAAAGCAGAACCAACCAAGGAGTTTGCAGTCAAGTCCTGCAGATGACTGCACAAGCTTATCCACCATATTTCAGTCCTGTACCAAATCTACATTAATTTGACAAAGGAAATAAAAGAATGCAATTAACAGCATGTGCATGCTGCTCTGCTATAAAAATTGTGTTTTAAGAGCAGAGACCGTTAACTGCGCTTTACAAGTAATGCTGAGTGACTTGAAAAAAGTCCAATTATCAGCCATGAGCCAAGTGGAACCTAAATGCACCAGCTGTCTGTCTCTTCTCTCTGCAAAGTATTTTAAGAAGCAGTTAAGCCATCTAAATGCTAAATTTGAGAATCAAGTTCCATTATACAAGGTCATGATCTCATGGAAATCAATAGGAAATTTATTTTCTGTTTGTTTGGTTTTATTCACTTTGTTCCAAGGTGTTAAGTGGAAAATTGCAGATTTGTTTTAGTGGTATCTTACCTGCTGCAAACAACAATCAGCGGTCCTATGCTGGACTACTGATTTACTTGATTATTAAGGGCACCAGGACAGACTGAGAGTTGATCTTGGAAAAGGTGCATGTTTGTTTTCAGGGGCTGGAATGGGTGACCTGTCAAGGCAAAGCCTCTGTTCTCAAGAAGCTAAAGCTCCCGAGGGCCTGCTGTTAGCAGAAGACTTTCAGGCCATTGTATAGCACTAGAAATAAAGGCAATAATTCCCAGGATCAATTCTTGCCAGTAATGTTGAACTGATAAGAATTATGAAAACTCCATTAATGTTTATTTGTTTTGTATTCAGTTTCTGCTTTTCTAGCAGGACTCCCAGACATTTTAGTGTCCAGACAGAACAGACTGGTTTCTTTTTGTGCTCTTAGTAAACTCAGATACAGTCCACAAAAATAGCAAATGTGTTCCATGATATCTCTGGCTTGCAGGAAAATCAATGTTATCATGTGCATAAATGATAAATGCTTTCCAGAGCCCACTTCACCTTTCCTTATGAGAGAGTGAATTTAACATGTTAATTTACTATTTCTTGTCCTTCATTATGTATTTTTCTATATGAATGAAGTAGCCAGAAGAAAATTGGATGATTCACCTCCATGTTTCTTTGGCCAAAATTCTTTAATTAAATTGGAATTAAATTGCTGAAGTTCCAGCTACTATAAAATGTAATTATGTTAGACTTTTTTCCATCATGTATTTAATCCAACTGAGGGCTGTGATTTCACAAAAAAAAAAAAAAAAAAAAAAAAAAAAAATAAAATTTACTCAGTCCTGCACTCCTTTCCTGCCATCAATAGATACTTGTTTCACCTTCATCTCTTGTACCAGTACTGCCAACACTATATTCTAAGTCACTTAAAGGAAATGATCCAAGCTGAAAATATGTTCATTATTGCTAGGTTCATTTACAAACACATTAGTTCCTTCCTTTAGAGTTCTCTGATGCAATTATTCTGCTCATCAAGGTGAAGTCTGCATAAAGGAACAGGCAGAAATAAAAAGGTGGAAGAAGCAAGAGAGATGGCTGGACTTCCCATCAGAGGTCATGTGGAGCTGTGGTTTTGCCATTTGACACCAGACAGGCTTTTTTATGGTAAATTGTTTCATAGGTGATATCATCTGGCTGGATCAAGAGTATAGGCCAGGTCACAGTGAGTTTGTGGTGCTTTAACCCTGAGTAACTTTAAGATCTCTCTTAAGTGTGAGACCATTCTTTTTTTTTTTTTTTTTTTTTTTTTTGCATCCTTCATCCCTGACAATTCTATGCAATTGGCAGGTGTAATTGAAATAGAGCTGTCAGTAACAGTGGTCAAGTAGATAGTTGCAACTCCTTCTGCTATAGAGGTTTTCAGTATTAGTGGGGTTTAGGTTGCATTAGTAAAAAACTTGTTGATCAAAAAACAGGCAGGCAGCATTGTTTGTTATCAACGTCATGATGCAACTCAGAATAAAATATAAAAAAATGTGTTGACTGTCAACAAAAATGGTTTATTATCTGACCTAATTTGTATTCCAATAGCATTTTTGCAGGATTTTAGCAAGGTACAGGGTAACTTTTCTTTTTAATCTTTGTCTCCATTTGTATATCACTTCCCTGATAGCTTTCTAGTTAAGTGGCTACTGTTTTCCCCAACCTGTGTAATTACAGATGATTTCTGCTGAGAGCATTACAATTATTTGTGAGATTACACCTGCCCTTTCTTAGTAAATGAAGCATCCTTAAGTGACAGTTTGACTATGCTGATTGTGTGGAATTAAGGAAGACTTCATCAGCTGGCTCCAATGTCACTTTGTGCAGTTGCAGACAATGTGACATCAGTGTCAGCAGCTCCCAAGGCGTTTCCTCCTGGGCCTTGTGACTGCAGAATCCACTGAAGGAAGAGCTGCTGCTCCAGGCACTTTTTATGGAGGAGAGCAAGGCAGCTCAATAATTGATACCTGCGGGACTGATCACATTCCTGGGCACCTGAGACAGGCTTGCTTCTCCCCTCCTTGGAAGAAGCAGGCATTTAGCCCTAATGAGTTTCAGCTTGAGAAAAAATACTTTTTCACTGGTTGACTGAAGAGCAGGACTTGTAGAGACAAAGTACTTGCATGTACCCTTTAAGTATGACTTACCAAGTCTGATACTGTTATCTTGTCACAAGCTGATTTTCAAAGATGATATATTCTAAATATCTTTCCATTAAAGGGGGAAAACTACAAAGACCTGAATGGTTAGGCAAATGCTCTGTCACATCACATGGGCCTGTGAGAGAGGTGGGTAATCAGGAAGAATTCTCTGTGTTGGTGGTTGTCCCTTATATATACACCCTCAGGAGCTGGCTATAAGATCAAGTTGCATATTCTCTGAATTGAAGAATGATGTTCTCAACTGATTATCAAATATTTCATTACCACTAGTGTTCCTAGTCTTGGATGCAGGGCAGAATTTCTATTAAATACATACTAGGTAAGAGTAGAGATTAGGGGGTTGTTTTTGACTGGGATGGGACTGATTATTGTTTCCACACAGCACCTGAAATTATTTTTTTTTTGTGACTGAAGTAGATATGCATGAAATGCAAACTCTGCTGCTGCTCATATTCTGGTTCTTTGGTGAAGTGTTTGAATTCTAGTATAACGGAGGTGTTTGTGAAGTGAATTAAACCAGTGTCAATTCAGTCACATCACAGAGCCATTTAGAATGCAAGTAAATGCTTGTATGCTCTTCTCTCAAGTTCAGCAAGCTCTACTTTTGTGTTTTAGTTATTTCTAGTTCTGTGATAACACAGGGAGAGCTGAATGCTTTGCTGCTGGAGTTTGCAGCCTTCAGCAAAGTGACACAGTGCAAACTGATTGTTAGCAAAAAGGGTTAATAGCTAATAAATAACCACTAACTAACTAAGGGTTAATAACTAATAACTAATAAATAATTTTATTATTAAACCAGTTTTCTCCAGCAGGGGGATACTTAAGGTAAGAAGACAATTTTTGTCATCAACAACAGATTGTTGTTTGTAGTTTTCTATATTCTTTTATTGAATACTTTTGGCATATATCTTCTATTTTAGATTTAATTTTATTTCTGGTCTGGTCATTCCACATTGGAGAAGTATCTCAGCAACCTGTTTTTTACTCCTGAACTATCACATTATCAATACCTTTCTTTTTACTGATAGGCCTGTCCTTGAAATATTTATGTTATTTTGTAGTGTATATTGCTTTCTGAATCGAACGTTGATGGCACCCAAATGGCATGTTTAATGTTTCTCTGTCAGATCTGAGTTTCATTCCAAAAGGTTGAGAAATAACTCTTTGAAGTTGTTTTCAATATTTCTGTAGTACAATGACATATTTTACTTCTTTAACAGGATTGCACATTCTTCACTCGGAAGGAAATCCTTCGGTAAGTAAATTGTTTCAAATTTCTCCTTCGTGATCCATGTGGAAGGAGCTAAATCTTTTTATCAGACTTGTGAGGAAACCAGATAAAGCCTGTTACTCTGCATGAATTAATAGTATAGAATAGAGTAAGATTGGATTTAAGATACACTTGTAATTTATAATTGTCATAAGGTACTGATTAGCTTAAAGTTACTATCACAGAATATTTTAGGGTTGAGCCAGTGACTTGTATGAAAGGAATTTGCTGCTTTTCTGCTCAATTATACCAGTGAGGGCACATCCTGCAGTCAGTGTAAAATACAGAGGTGTTTCTACATGTCTGAGGTAAAGTTTTAGTGAGCAGGAATCAAATGGGTTATGACCCCCTGGTTAATTAGCAATTACTGATTTAGCATGTCCCTGTCTCAGTGAAGGGGCAGCCTGGTACTGCTGGACACTTACCCTGCAGGATGCTCACAGAGCTGATATGGAGGAAATGCAGGTTGAGTCCTCTTTAGGCTGAACTGAATTTCTTGTGCAGCTGCTGACTTCAGTGAAATGATCCAACAAGGAGCATCCTTACAAAAAATAAAAAGAAGAAATCCCTGTCTGTCTCACCATTCATTTCCATGGTTGTTAATGACTGTTGTGTAGGTGGGGATGAAGGAATGAATATGGCAGTTTCAATTTAGATTGCTATAAACTGATGTAAACCAGCATGAGATTGCAATTAGGTGAAACAGGCTGAGTGGTTTTATCTGTCCCTACAGGGAAAGTAGTCCATCAAAATCCCAAACAACAGTAAATCTATTTTCTGCTGGTTTAATAAGCTGAATCTGCTCGCTGAAGGATCAGATGAGTGCCAAAGTTGGCATGAGAGCCACAGTGAGCAAATCCAACTGAAAATGAGGAGAGCATTTCCCTACCAGTAAGATGTTGGATTGACTTACACAGCGACTTTAGAGTGCAAGGCTTTGGTGTCAGCAGCAGCTCAAGTCAACATAAATACAGGCTGTGGTCAGAGGAGTTGAAGACACATTTTGATTCGTAATCTAAGTGTGGATAATGTGCAAATTATTAGAAAATAGTATAACTTATTAATTTAAAGTGAAGAAAAGTTTAACACAAAATGGTGAAAATGGATCTAGGAAAAAAATATAAAGTAAGACTGCAGCAGAGGCAAATGTGCCTGGTGAAAAGTAGAAACTATAGCTCACTACTGGTGTTTGATAGCTGTTTATCACCAGAAAACTGAAATACACTCCTAAGTCTTGGTTAAAGATGGTTAATTTTTGGAAGTGCTGATCACAGCTATGAGCATTCAGTCATGGGGGCAAGAACATATTAAAGAATGTTGGTTATTGTAGACATATTTATGTTATCACTGACTCAAAACATTATCTAAAATATTCATAGGAAAGTTGACAAATTTTTAGAGCTGTTACTGGTTGCTTTTGTGGTGTTAGGGCTTTGAAAATATGCCCCAGCTTTCTTAAGGAGAATATGGAAGTTTAGACCAATGTGTGTAGCTTCAGGACACAACTCTTCTGAATGGAGAGATGCCAGAACACACTGGTAGATAATCAGTCTGTAAGTGCCTAGAACTTAATACATGCTCAGAGACAGCCCCTGCAGATTTGTTAAAAGCAAATCTTCCTGTGAGTATCTGCTTTTGTAAGTCAGAGAAAAGAGGCAGCTGCAACATGTCTTTATTTTGGTAAAGACTTCTACATATTCCAGGTTGTGTTAGTCCTTTTCTACTTGTGTATGTGCAGTGAACTCTTGGTCAAAATACTCCTGAACATAGAAAATTGGTAAGAAACATTGAGGTGAAGTGAGTTGCAGATGCTATGAAGATCAAGATTAGCTTTTTCAACAGTACTTAGTATGTTAGAGAAACCACTAGAGTCAAAATGAGCAAAAGAAAATTCACACACTCAAGTCCTAAGAATTGAGAAAACATTTGCAAGTGCAGAATGGAGTGTATAAAAAAATTGGGCTGCGGGGGGTTAGTGATCTGAGCAAAGTGAGCATCATTTTAACAACACCACCCCCACAATGCTCTTGCAAAAAAAGAGAAATGCATTTCTAAAATGCATTAGCCTCAGCGGTGTTTAGAAAATTCCAGTCAGCAGTACTGTGACCTCAGTAGGAATAGACTGTCCAGTTTTGGGCATCACCATTTGAAAAAGATTTGTTATCCTGGTAAACATCCTGTAGAGAGAAACAGGAAAAAAAAGAAAAATGACGTGAAGAAAAGTTGGAAAATCACTTTGGTTACAGCAATGAATCTGTTTGTATAATGTGCCTCTCTTGTCATTGTAAATGGGAACAAATGGTCAAGTTGTCTCTCATAAGGCATTATTTCTCTTACTCAGTTTTACAAATCTGATTTTCTGGCAGACAAGCTTTTACTCTAGCAATAATGCTTAACCGTTCATTAGCCCATCTATTTCTGCTTCTCCCTGTAGACTGGTACAGTTTGGCACCCAAACAAGCACTCAAATGCAGGTGTTTTTGGATGTCTGTCCTAGCCAAAACTCACAAAAGTTGTCAATTCAAGTTGTATTGCTTGAGAGTGACTTAACCTAGTTAGACAACTGTCAGGGGAATATGGCACTAAATGACCAAGCTGGAAACCATTTAGGACATCACCAAGCCTTTGAACCTTTTGGTAGAAGAAAAATAGTCCTTCTGTTGCCTTCCCTTCTCCGCCTGTTTTGTGGCTTGGTCTTGATGGATGAAAGGTTCTAGCCAATCCAGCTGAATGTTGGATTTTAAATCTGAAATCTGACAGAGAATTAAGCAGTGGTTTCCTTCAAGTGTCTGGAAAACTTCCTTATAAGGGAGCAAATGCAGCAAACTGCTTGGGAGGCAGCTTGCTGTGGAGCAAGTTGCTACACAGATGGAGGGACGAGTTAGAAAACAACTCCTGTTTGTCTTTTAAAGAGTTTGAAATTTTGTATGCAGAAAGGGGAAATGCCCTATTGTCAGCTTTGGAAGAATATGTATCAGCCATAAGAATGAAATTAGGGGAGCTCTATATCCTTGGGAACCTTTCTGAATTTTAGGCAAGAAACTACATAGACAAAGAGCATATATCCTGAAGCTACTGTTTATCTTCTTGTTAATTATGTTACTATTCTTGTTAAAAATGTTTCTGTATCCTCTATGAATGAAAGGAAAAAAAAAAAAAGGGGGTTTTAGGCAGTCCCTGTATTTCCGTACCATAGACTTTTCCTGTATTATATTTGAATCCGATTGTACCTGTTTTGCTAAGGCTTGTGAGAAGAGAGAATCCTTGTCAGTGTTAATCTGTGTGGAGTCTGGAGTGCTGCTGTACTGTGTCCCTTTCTGAGCTCCCCAGTACAGCTGCTTCAGTGTCTGGCAAAGGGCCATTGAGATGGAGAGGGGACTGGGGACTCTCTCATACGAGGAAAGGCTGAGAGAGCTGAGATCTGGAGGCTGCAAAGGAGACAGAGGGCCGTGCCAGGAAAAGGGGCAGTGTGTACAGACAGAAACACAGGAGGTTCTGGCTGAACATAGGGAAGCACTGTGAGGGTGACCAAGCATTGGAACAGGCTGCCCAGACAGGTTGTGTAATGTCCAGCCTTGGAGATACTTAAAAGCCATCTGGATGTGGCAGCCTGCTCCAGGTGCCCTCGCTGGGCAGGAAGTTGCACCAGTTCATCTCAGGAGTTCCTCGTAACCTCAGTCACTCTGTGATTCTTGGAATCACCAGCAGAAAAGATGCCTGTGAGCAGGGGTTTGTGTGGCACTTCAAGGAAGTGTTTGTATACTCACTATGCATCATGTAGGACTGGGAACAGTAGGGTACGTGTATTGGAAGTCAGCATTTTCCTAACTATTATTAGATTTAGAATAAATGTATTATAAATTGTCCACCAAAAAACATTTCTCACAACTTCTTTTTAATTTTACTGTAGATGATCTGGGAGGATATTTTTGTAGTATTCTCTTAAATTAATTTGTGCTGCTTCATTTTGCATTGCAAAGATGAATAAATACTTTACATGCTAACTAAAACTAGCAGAAGATTCATCAATCCACTTTTTTTCTCATCTTACTATGCTGCCTTTTTAGAAATCTGATTTCAGTGCCCAGTTATTGTATTTTATTGATACAATGAAAATAACTGACTGGCAAGCATAAAAGGGAAAAGGCATATCAGTAACAGAATTCTTTCAACTTTCAACTCTTTCTGCTTGTTTTTCACTGACTTTTGTTCTTTATCTGTTTGTCAAACTGTGGCAATTCAGTGAGTTTCGGTTTCTGACTGAATTTCCTTGTATCGTGTTTCCTGTAATTTTGGTTTCAGCTTCACATGGTAGACCACCTTCTCTAACAGACTGTTCTAACCTCTTGCAATCCTTGGAAGCAATAATTCACTAAGGAATTGGTGCAGCATAGAGATTTATGCCTCCGTTACCATGTGTAACATTTAACATTTATTGTTGCAAAAACAGTTTGTGCAAGTATGGTATAAATCTAAGACCCTCCAAGTACTTTATCGGTTGCTCCAAAGACCCCTCCTTCCTTAGTTTCTCAGCCCCAGATTAAAAAACCTCCTTCCTTTTGAGCTATAGCAGCTTTTTCTCCCTGTGTGGCAGACTTGTAGGTTTTAGTCTGTCTGGCCCTGTTCCCCAGCTGTCCATTAAAGGACTGCAGGACAAGAGAGCATGTGCAGTTCACTGATTTGCATCAGTACAGCGCTACAGCCTCTGTAGCAAGGGTTGTAAATCAGTTCCCATCAGTGCATTCTGTCCTACATTCTGTGCAATCCCATCTTGAATGCCGCTGCTTCTTTTACTTTCAGCCATCTCGGGTGCTTGGAAGGGCTGATTGCTGAGACCTGGCTCTTTCCAGGGCTTTATGTTGACTTGTCAATTCTGCTGACCTCTGGAGTGGTGAATTCTTCTCTTTCTCCAGCTGTTCCATTCAGCTCTGGCACCTGGACAGGAACCTATAGCTCTGATTATGGTGAATAACCAAGAGTACAACTGAACAGGAGCTGTGCACTTCTGGTCTTGCTGCAGGCACAGGTTGTTCCATCCTGTACAACCATTGTGTGGTTAGATCATGCCATAGCTCCTGTGAACCTGTGGTGGGACTGTCCATCAGCACTCACTGCCTGCTTTCATTGCTCTAGTTAAGCCATTTGCTGGGGTTTTTTTTCTGAACATGCAGAACAATCTAGAATTTACTCCTTGAGATGGTCTTGAGTGTAATGTACAAGTCTTTGAATCCATCGCTTTTACTTAGGAATAAATAGAATATATATTGCTGAATAAAAATATTTTCTCCTTACAGCATAAATCAAGTGACTGTTGCTGTGGGACCTAGATTGGGAAGATGTTTATTCATTTCTAAAGGCCACTTTAAAGCCTCTACTTATTTTTAATCAGTGAGTCATTTCAAGCTTTTATCTTTTGGTTTTAGCACTTCTTCAGTGCAGAGTTCCTGTTAAAAAGGCAGCTCAGCCAGCTGTAATGTGTTGTCACTATGTTTAATGATGGAGATGAATGTACACCAGGCCAAGGAAGAGCTGCTCTTTGGTTAAACACACCCACTGGTGACCTTGGGTACAGTCTAACTCCCTCCCAAAGCTCAATAGTGAATTTAAATGGTTGCTGCAGGGTGTAAACTTGGAAATCTCTTTTTTTCAGATCTATTCAGGTAGAGCAGGAGGCTCTGTTGTAAGTTTGGAGATGTCCCAAACTGTATCCAGCAAATTCCCATGGTGTTATTCTTGCTGACTCTAGGATGCTTCACCCTTGAGAAGTCGGAACAGACTCTGACCTACTTTTTTTGCCATGTATAAGACCCAAAGTAGTAAAATGAAAGTTATCGTGAATCAAAAATAGGCTGTGGGGAAAAAACTGTGTTGTGGGTTTTTTTCTGAACACGGCACTTTTGGTTTTCGCTGGTTGATGGACAGCTGAGTTGATTTTAAAACTACTGCTGTCTACGGGGATAAGTCTTGTTCTGCCTTTATTGATTAATTTAATAGAAAAATTAAACCCCCATTTTCCTCTGCTGCTGTCACAACTGCTTCAGTAACCTCAAGGAGCTAACTGTGATAATGTCTTTATTTTCAAACACATCAGTTCCCTGAAGCTCACTGCCCATTCTTAAATGTTAGTGCTTATACAAGGAACGTGAGTAGCTGGTGGGCTTCAAATTTCTGCAAGGGCAGATCAACAGTCTGGGTTTAGACTGGATTAAAATACCGAATCACAGCCTTAATCCTTTAATGTTGTACATGAAGCATAAACATATATGTACCAGTACCTTGGTGACAGAGAATCATCAGTTAATGAAATTTGCATTAAATGTATCACCACATTCCCTCCCTCTCTCATTTGTGGCAGGGAAGACACTGCCAATTTTTCATTTCCTACTTCCATGCAAAGTTAATAAGGAGTCCTGCTGACAAAGAGAGCAGGAATAAGAAAATGTGTCTGCATGCATCCAGAAGAATTTTTTAAAGGAAGTACAGCTGCAGGATCTGTAGTAGTTATTACTGCAAAGACAGTGAGGATGGTCTTGGGCTTCTGAATATACATGATGGTCTCTGTATGATGATGGCAGCTTTTCCAAATCTGTGTGTTCAGACAGCACTGCAAAACTTTACATTACCTTCCTGACAAGACATAAATGTTTCTCTGTCAAGGACAGATAAAGAGGCTTTAGGTTGTTTTCTGACATGTTTTTTGTGAAGGGCATGCTGAGTAAAAAAGACAAAAAGCCTTTCCTCTAGGTCACAACTGCTCTTATGTGTTCAGGTCACCTGAAGAGCCTTCTCCTTCTCCAAAACAGGAGAAATATCAGAGCCTTTACCAGAGCTTTGTTTCTTCTCTCTTTGTAGTTAGGAATTAATGTTATTGAGAGATGTGAGAGAACAATCAGTAATGACAGCAGCATTTGGGAACTGATTTGTCATAGTGCACAACATTACAAGGTATCGCATACAAGCATGAAGAGTATGGGTGTAAATAACCCCCATGTCTGAGCTTTACATCGTGTTACAGAGTAATTGATCAGACATGTATTGTTTCCTTGCCAAAAAGTAAGTACTCTCCCGATGAAACATAAGTTATTCAACTAAACAGGAGTTTTGGTGGACCTCCAGCAAAAAAGACTGTGTTCCTTGTGACAGGTGTTTTTCTTGGCATCCTGTTAAGAGGTTGAAGCAGGTCACAAAATCCAGTATTTGATACTGGCAATCCAGTTTATTATAAAACAGTACATAGTGTGCCCGAAGAACCTTCCAGCATCAAGATCTTACAGAAGGAAAAGATATTACTGTCTTTTGTGGTTGTTAGATTGGCTGGGGGGTTTTGTTTTTTATTTTGAAGGAAAATGGAGTAAGTGCAACATACTATATGTTTGGTATAGGGAAATCTTATGGCTTTTTTCACGGTCTTAAATGCTAATCATGCCATGAGATAAGGCTATTACAAATAGAATTACTGGATTGTTGCAGATAAGAGCATGTGGAAGATGTGTTTTATTGCTGTAATTTAGTTTGCAGGAGTTAGAACCATTTCCTACAGACCTATTTGGATGCTTTAGTGTGAAATCCACTTAGGTAGAAAACTCTTACATCCACAGCTCTTTGACCGATTTGGTGAATTAACAGCAGAGTTAGTTGGGAGGAAAACAGGCTATGAGAGCTGCCCTCAAATCTGCAGTTAGTTACCTGCATGTTTCTGTGTCCAGCACCTGCCTTCCAGACAATTCTGTCAGAGTCTAGTCTAGAGTTGGGAGCTGTATCCATCTTTCAGCCGCCAAAAAATATGGCTGAACTTCAGTATAAATAGATTGCTATTTCTGTGGGCAAGATAGTGAATTCTGTCAGCAAGAAGTGACAGGTTTACTTTGCACTGATATTGCATGTTATAAAGAGACAAGTCTAACATTAGATAAAGTAAAGAAGGAAATCTTGGCAGTTAAAATAAGCAGGGATTGTCAGCTCCTGAACTTCTAAATGTTATCCACAATGATCAAGTTTTGCCAATAAGAGTGCTTAATTTTCTTGAAGACTAGAACACCATTTCAGTATTCTAGCTTTTTAAAAAGTAGGTAACCCATAGATGGACATTGAACTTGAAAGTTTTGCTTCAAGTTTTTCTTTTAAAGTTGCTTTTTCTGTTGTATTTAGAAGCATCTTCTTAGCTGCTGTTTACAATGGAGAAATCAATTGCTAGAGAGGGAAACAGCTATTGCATATTGAATTACACAGTATTTATGAAATGTCAGGATGAGCTGTGGTAAGCAGCTGAAATGTGCTGAGATAGTGGATATCCAGTTTCTGGTATGGCACAAAATATTGCTGTGCAGGATGAAGACATCAGTTTACTACAATGCATAAAAATGTGTTTCTGTGTTTCATTTTATGTGTTCTTTCTGGCATATCATATTCATAAGAAAACAGCTGCCTGTAGATGATTTTATCCTAGTTTTTGAGTTTATTTACACACAGGAACCTGAAGTAGGTCAGTTGGGTGCAGTGCTGCTGCAGGTAAAGCTAGGGAAATGAAGGGGTTGCTGAGGCATTTCTTCCTGTATTACTGTTTTGTTTATATTCTGCAGTTAAAACACCGTAGTTGTTAGTATGCCTAGTGAACAGGCAGGATTTTTTGTTAAAAGGAAAATAAGTCACAAGATACAGCTTTATAATGTATACAGTAGTACATATTCCCTACTGAGAGATCAGAATACACTGTGTTGATACACAGGATGTGACAAAAGGGGCACTTTCTGTCCTCAGCAGTTTATGAATGAGGTGTAAGACTTCCACATATGATAAGAATTGCATTTTGTAGTACGTGCCTTGGTTCAGGCCTTCTGTGCACATACCTGGCAGTGCCTAAATGTTACATACACATAGTGTGAAACTCTGCTCAGTTACAGACCTCAAGAAACACATAGCTGTTGGTAGCAGTTATGCTGGATGCTGCATCTCAAAGCTCTCTTTTTTTCAGAAAGACAGGAATTTGGTGGGCTCAGACTAGTGCACTAAAACCAATGATTAGAGCTGCAAGACAAATTTGTACCTGATTACTGTCTGAATGGAACTGGTTATTTAAAATTGGTTATTGGCTGTTTGTTTCTGCTTGTTTACAGGTTGCACGGCCGATACCATGAAATGGCACCAAATGTTGTGCCCATGGACTATACAAAGGACCCAGATGTTAAACTACCTATGCAGCTTATAATAAACATGCCTGAGCTGAAGGTATCACTTTTGACTGCTTGCAAACTGTATCTTAACTTCTGTAGCTCGTCTGCCAGACTTTTTTCAAAATTGATATCCAGAAGTGCTGTGGCATGCTGAGGTCTTACTGTTCCTGTTATTGTTCAAGGGCAAAACAAGCCCCAGAAACTAGAAAATATTCAGGCGAATGTCTTTCTTGTAGAGATAGTTAGGGTTGATGTTAAAGGAAATTGATACAAAAATAAATTTAGCAATATTTGCTCTTTGTGTATATCCCCCACAGAAGTCATGTACCCACAGGAATCTCTGTGTGAAGAGCTGGTTAGAAATCTGAAGTTCCTATCTCAGTCTGTTAATAGAAAATTTGCTAGCAGTGTGCAGAATATTGCTAATAAAAAGTAAAGGTTTTCCTCTTTTTTCTCAGCTACCTGAGCACAATAAATATTATTTTTCTTAATTATCAGGAGTTTTCATTTTCATCGGGACATTACATGGTAGGAAGTGGAGAAACAGTCCATGTAACTGCAAATGAGAGAAGCAGTAGGTATAAGGCAATTGGTGCAAAAAAAAAAAATTACACTCTTTGTTTTTCATTCTCAATTCAACAATTTAATGATTTATGGTTTTAACAGGACAAATGTGCATTTAGCACTTATTTAGCACTTATTTAGTGTTTATTTTTAAACAGTTCATTGAATCATGTTGTGTTTTGTCACACAGTCTATTTTTTATTTATGCTAGTCAATTGATGTCTATAAATTACTGTAATGTGGAAACAATTACGTGTTCAATCTGATAGTTGCATGAAGCATTATTAAGATTTTTAAGATCAATGCTATAAAAACCTTGTAATTGATGCCTTTCCACTTAATTTTAATGATCTAGAAATTCTTCCTTAACATTTTATTTTTTTCAAAGATCTGATATTTTACAAACAGAAGCCGTGCTTTAGAAATTCAGCTGTAGAGGACACTAAATCAACATGAAGTGAAAAACATTTGAATTAGATTTCAAGTTGAAGTTCACAGAACTCTTTATTCCTTTAATACCACAACCACACTTGCTGTAAGCTTGATTCTGGGATAATATAATTTATTGAACAAGAAGCGTGTTTTGTTAATGTATGTGTGTTAAAAAGTATTCGGCCAGCATTTCATATAAATGGAAACATTAAACACATACAAGCATTTAATTCAATAGAAAATCTTGGGAAAATTTTTATCCTTCAGTTATTCTTCAGAGTCTGACTTAGCAAATGCCTATGGACAGCTTGGGTTTCTGAAGAAGCTGAGAAATAATTTAGAATTCTTTTTCACAGTAAACATGGGCTTTTTCAGCAAAATATATTTATGCTTTGACTTCTCAGACTTTAACTGCTAGATAGCTGAGGGTTGCTTTGTGACAAATCAAAGCTAAGCTTAGAAAAGGAAGTGGGAAATAATGATCATGCAGAGCCTTTTTGGCTTCAGTGATAGAGGATTGAACACTTAAGGAACAGCTCATTGTATGAGAATTTTCAAGATGGAAGGCCTGGTACTGAAGCTGACATACAAATCAAAAATTTTATACAAGATCATATTTAGATTGAGATACAGGAGCATATTATACTAGCTTAACAAACTTAGATGGTAATGATAGATTTCCTAAGAGGCTTCCATGTATGAATCATAATCATGTATGGATCATAATCTGTCTACTGGCATCACAAGTCTGTGAGGCTTTCTGACTCTGCTTTAGAAGATGTCTCCAGGAACTTGACTTTTTGAAAGTAACAGGACAAACTCACTGTTGAATTTTATACAAATTCTCTCTCAGGTCTCATAAGTCTGTGGAAGAACCTTAGAAATATTGGTTGCAAACCACTCATTTTATTTCAGAAATTCTAGGAGATCACAGAGTAAAGTGCCTTCAACAGCTACTGAGCTTGTTTCCAGTAGAATCCCAGTAAGAGGAGACTAGATAATATTCTGCAACTCTTTCTGAGCATTGACACTAAAAGATGTTAAAATGCCTGGGGTCTTTGTTATAAACTGGGGTCCATCTTGCTCATGAAGCATCTTGTGGGCACCTGTGCAGACAGGGATGAGGGGGAGAAAGTCTTTCCTCATGGGTATATTTTTGAAGCGACCTACGTACTAATTTCAGGTCATATACTAAAAAAAAAAAAAAAAAAATTAACCTTTGCAACTTGACCAGGCTGCCTAACAAATCATTATGGTGTTTTCTTTCTTTGGTAAATTTTCATCAAGGTGAAGACAAAGACAACATTTACTTCTTAAAATAGAAATAAATGGCCTAAATGTCTATAGAATTCTAATAAAATCAGTGCTAATTTCAATGCACCTGGCTTTTTTCATATACACATTACATTTCTAGTTACTGGCAATGTTGAGCTCAATACCACTGCAGGTTCTGACAAATTGATAGAATCAATAATGCACTTTTCTAAATTAGATTCTGCTAATATAAAGAAAGATATTTACCTCATGCATTAAAGCTTTGAGCCAGGTGTTTTTTTGTTTCAAGGGAAAAAAAATGCTGATGGTCATTCTTTTTAATTGGTAATGAATTATTCACTAAGTCCTGATTCTGAAAAGTTGAAAGTTGGGACAAGAAATAAATAAATAAAGAAGGGGAAGGTACTTTAAGTTGATTAGGTCTACCATTACACTGAAGTTAACAGAGCTACTTTACTCCATCAGTTTCATTGCAGTCTCTAATTTTCACAATCTTGGTTACACAGGCACCAGTCTAATGAATTAACTTTGGGGCATTGAAGCACCTGTGCAATTGCAGTAATTAATATAGCAAAACTGTAGCCATGATATGGACTGCTCAGCGTGGGACCAGGGAGAAAGCAAAAGCGATATTTTTTCAAATTAAAACTGTTTTCAGTCACATTATTGCTGTCATTGCCACAGAGCTGCAGGTGGAAATGTAACCTGGTGCCAGAGACCCCTGTGGTTGGTAGCAGTGGTGGGTGTCCATACCCACATCCCAGATTGTCTCTTTCCTAGATTGTGGGTTCTCTGTGGGCACTGCAGTGCAGAGCAATCCTTCTCTCCAGAGCTGGGCAGCAAAGGGCTGCTGGAGGAGAACCATTTTTGTTTCACTTACTTTACAGTCTGTTGCTTCCTGCGTTTTGGCTCACACAGGAGCTTCATTGATCCTTGCAGGCCTTGTCATAAGCTGCACTGGGGAGGTAGGTAGTTCATAAATCTACTGCTGAAACAGGATGGGCAGCAGGCACAGGAATCCGCTGGAGCCAGCAAGGACACACAGGGAACAGCGACTCCATTGCACATTTCAGAACCAATGAAATGGTTAGCACCCTATTTGTAGTAAGTTTAAAAAGTGAATGCAAGTGAGTTGCTTCAAAATGGAAATACTTTCCACAGTGTTAATAGGATCAGGTTTTAAAGTGATTTCAATGAGTCTTCAGGTTCAGAGCTTTCTGTGCATTGGGCAGTTGACACCTGGGCTTTCCGTGTGAAGGGCAGTGGGTAATGCCAGAGCAGGGCGATCTTCCCAAGCCCCAGCCCTGCTCTGGGCCAATTTTGGCCTCCAGCTCATATCAACATCCTTGCTGCATTCTGTCAGTTGTTCCTAGTTATAATGGGATGTTTTAATCCCTTCAGAGGAGCAAAACTTTACTCCAACCACTCTCCTTGCTTCTCTGAAGTCTCTTTATCTGAGCATCTCAGCTGTGTGTGCTGCAAGTGTCAAAAGCAAGGGCTGTATTCTCTGCATCGAACCCCAAGCCTGCACCTCCCTGGTGGCCTGCAGTCTTGTCTGTACACTTCCCTGTCACAGTTAGGAATCAGTTCTTGTCACAATGCCTTATCTTCCCATGAGGTGCTGGTAGGTTCTGTAATATTTACGCAATTCTGTATACACCTTGCATCTTTGGTTTTTTGATTGTTGTGACTTCAGTGAAGAGTTGTCATTGAACTTCATATGCTTCTGCTTTCTGACAGAACAAAATGATCTTTTCTATTAAGACATAAACTTACCAATTTAGCTCTGTCTTAGACTTGGTTTCTGCAGGAATTTCTTAAACAGTATCCTGCAGGCACTGCAGAGAAGTTTGATGACATTCATATAATCATAGACACATAAAACCCAAGCTATTGATTTTGAGCAAGAAGAAAATTAAGAAAAAAACCCTGCAAAGAAGCTTGCTTTTTTCTGCTTCAGGAACAATTTGCTGTTGCACTTATTATGCTTCTTTTCTGAAGCACCACCAGTCTTTCTTATGGAGCTTTGATAATGAACAGTTTAGCTACTTTTAGATTAATGTTTGTCTGATAGCAGTTCTTTTTTTTCTCTTTTGGAATAACTTCTGAAATTTCAGAAAGTTTTTACCATTGCTGAAAAGGTCCTGATTAACAATCCAAAAGGATTCTGACTTGTGATAGTCTGCAAAATAGACTGCTTTGTGGTTTTAAATATATTCTCTAAAGTCAGTGGGGACTAGTGTTCAAATACAAAAGGGAAAGCCAACATTGTGTTTCTGTGGATATGAAAATTAAGTAGCATTTTGTAATGACTCTCCAGTATCTCCAACTTAATTATCTTGACCTATCTTTGAACTTTACTTGCAACCTCTTATTCCCAAAATGCAGTTAGCCTGTGAGAATAGGATTGGATGCTTGAAATTAATTCCTCAAACTACAAAACAGATAAGGCAAAAGTATGCTTTCCTAGAGTCTGGGATGGAAACTAGAGGACAGAATATAACAGGTGATTTAGCTGCAATGCCAGGAGTAAACCCTCAAACAGTTTGTTAGAAAACTAATGGTTGTGTTTTATTGTAAGCTGTTATAGGTTTGTATGTTGGAACAGGTGCTGTGTGAGATTTTAAAATGCACAGAAACGCAATTATCTGAGTAAAAGAAGTGTTGCTTGCAAAGATGGATTGCACATTTAGGGTTCTTTCGCGTCACTGCAGCAACAACATCAATCTGCAAAACAGCAGAGTTGTTTTTTGGTTGTAGCAATTCTTTGTTTCTGTCTCCCCTCTCATTTTTATCATGAGACCACAGAAAAAGCTTTTAAAGTGCAAGTTTCTAGTTTTTAATAGGACTCGCTTTTCAACAATTAGTGCTTATGGGAAAGCAATCTAGGAAAAAACAATATTATTTTACTGTTTACTCCCTTCCCCCATGGCTCTTCCTTTAAATATGATGGAACCCTAATCTGTGTTCTTTAGAGCAGAGGTAATGAAATTACAGAAAGGATGTGAAAAGTATCTCTGAAGGTAAGCTAATACTTTCCATTGTGTAAGCCACAGATATACTGCCTGAAGACACATAATATGAGAAAGTTAAAGGAAAGAAATCAATATGAGGAAAGATTTTATTTTTCATTTTGGTTTTAGAGATCCATTTGGAAAAGAGTTACTTAAGAAGTATGCTTAGGTTCATTTAATTCGTTCTTAATTCATTTGTATTTTCAAGACCTCTGACATGCCAAATAAATAACTCATCTTATGCAACTGCAATATGCTTATTGAGTCAGTGAGATCCTGCCCCAGCCTTTCTAAAGCACAATGTCCTGGGCTTGATACTCGCTGCTGATAGGGATATTTGCATCTGTCTGCTCCTAATTTGTTATCCAATGCTGCCTCTAAGATGTCAGTTTACTACTGGTACCATGACACTTCTCATCAGGTTTGTTCCAAAGAAAGCTATACAGCATTTTAGAAATGAAAAATAACTTTCTAACATGTTTTGATGTCCATTCTAATGTTTGGCATTCTCAATTATTAAACATATAACACACCATTTTTTGGTGTGCTTTTAGGAAGAAAGTGGGCCTTTTCATATATTTCTGCCCAAATGAATCCCACTTTGGCTTATTTATAAACTGGCAGTTTGAAACAACAGAACCAGTTGTTCCTTCCTGCATGTCTGTGTGTGCATATCCCACAAACAGGTATATGTGCATAACCACAGGTAAATCCCACAAACAGGTAAATGTGTATTCCACAAATATTTCCAGGCATTTAAGTGAGATACTTTAACCTGAGCAGTAGCCACAGATGCACACCTGCTGTACCTACACATCATTCACAAGACATGAGTGATCACTACATATCCTTTTACAGCGAGGCTCTCTCAGCCATCTGCCTGGGTCTGGGGTGTTGTTTTTCATTCTCATGCTCTGGAGAGATGTGACCCTTTTGCTTTTTGAAGCTGCTTTTCTTTTCTTTTCTTTTTTTTTTTTTTTTAAGAGTCCCTATTTTCTATTCTATTTAATTAGGTTTTATCTGGCCTGGTTTTGTCTTCATCTGAACTGTGAACTCATTAATCTCCTATCCTTCTAAATCCATAGGCCTGTTCCCAATTGTGGATTCCTTCAGTCATCCAACCTTGCAGGAGAATTTGTATTTAGTATTGAAGACTTTAATGGGCTGTCATTTGAGCCTAAGGCTCTGTGATCCCTACTTCACCTGTCCATAAAAACAGCCTTGGTCTTTACTTTTTAGTCACCACAGTTATGCTAAAAATGCATTCTATAGATGCTTTTGTTCTATGTGTGAATTATCAAGAAAGAATTCAAGTAAACTGAAAAATAACATTTTCTGGTCATTTGTCTCTCAAATATAGCTGGTTTTTGAAATTTCATTTCAAATAATAGGATGGTTTATAAATACCTGTTAGGTAATTAAATTTACAGGGGGGAAAAAAGATATGATTGAACTTCTGAGCTTTCACAGTACTGCTTCTTTAAAGGCCAAACAAAATGCTGCATGCATATTAAAAATAGTGAACCTGATATGCCAACGCCACAACTGTATATATTAATGGATCAGTATGTTAATCAGTGTCTTGGCTTCAGAAAAAATCTGTAGCACAGCTTTAATGAGATGTTGTTCACAGCCCAAGTGATGTTTGTGTTCTGTTCATGTTCAACTGAATTGAATTGATTTTCCAAGTTTTATTGATACAGCTACAAATTAGTGTTGGGGTTTTGTATAGCTCTTAGAATGATGATGGGTTTTTACTGTAAAAACATTTATTTTTCATTTCATAGTGATAAATCATGTTTTCTTACACTTGCTTGTTGTGTTTATGGTTTTAGAATATTGTCTTATTCTAAGGTGCCAGAAGTGATTTCAGAATAATCTCCTGTGGAGATTACATTTCATTTAAATCTCTGGAATTTTTAGTCAGTCCAGCCACAGGTTGGACATTGACATTTATCAGTGAAAGTAAAAGGCCAGAAGTGGTACTATGCAGCAGCAAGGACTGCTGAAAATTCCTGCTAAAGCATAAAAATGTAAGTTTTTTGATGCATTTTTGGGGGGGAAAAAAAGAAAATTTGTCTTTAAATAGCCAACTTTAGAATTAAATATTCATTATTAGGGAGTGTGCAGGTTTTTTCATCTTCCAAATACCAGTCTATGTATGTCTTTCACAGGAGAATCCCTTCAAAGAAAGGATTGTGGAGTCTTTCTCAGAAGATGGAGAGGGGAGCCTGAGCTTCAATGACTTTGTGGATATGTTCTCCGTGCTCAGTGAAATGGCTCCCCGCGAGCTTAAAGCAATCTATGCCTTTAAGATTTATGGTACTATGTGAAGGGGCTCTGGTGTGCTTTCTGTGTTTGGAGTAAATGAGTGGTACACTTGGTGATCTTTGGTTCTTCTATTGTTTAGATTTTAACACAGATAACTTCATTTGTAAAGCAGACTTGGAAAAAACCCTCAATAAGCTGACCCGGGAAGAGCTGACAGCGGAGGAAATCACTCTGGTTTGTGAGAAGGTGATAGAAGAAGCTGACATGGATGGTGATGGGAAATTAGGATTTGCAGATTTTGAAAACATGATTTCCAAGGCACCAGACTTTCTCAGGTACTATTTTTAAAAAAAGAGAGTCTCTTGCATACTTGCAGGTATTGTTTTAGGATATCACTTTGCAGTCTAATACAAGTAGTGTCAGACATAAGTATTTTACTAGAGAACTAACTAGGGAATGACTTCTTACCTAACTCACTTTACTTTTCTAGGGCATATTCCAGTTCTTTCCTAACTTAAGACTAAGAGCTCAATGACTTAATGATCACCTTTCTGGCTCCTCCACCCGTGTTGGTGCAGTTCAGGAAAATAATTTGATCCATTATGAGCTCGAAGTCAGCCTATAGCAAGGATTAAACCTACAGCGAGGATCCCAGCTGTCTGCATAGGAATATGTGTAAATATTGTATACACTGTTACAAATATACATGGAAAGACTTTGATCTCTTTGCTGTGAAAGTGTTTTTTGAAGAACTGTAAAGTGTCCTGCAGAACACAGACTAGTATTTCTTTCACAAATGAAACTTCTGAGGAAAGTGGTTAAAAGCAATTCAACAATAAAGCAGGAGCACGTGATTCCACTGAACCTTGAGAAACATCACCTTCTGGAGAGGAGACGCTCAATGTGAATGTCTTTTATACATTTCTGGTATTCCTTGACTAATCAAGTGCATCAAGAGAAACCCCTTTAGAACAATATATGTATCATCATTATGGTGAGGCTCAGCTCAGTAGGTATTCTAATATTTTGTTTACAGGTATTTTCAGCTAAGAAAACATCTTCTTTATACTCCTATCCTGTAGAACCTGATGGGATCAGGTAGAGTTTCCTTTAATCAATCAAAAGGCTGTGCTGCTCCTACAATGCTAGTAGAGAACAGTGATCAAATATGAAGAATTGAAGGCAGATCTGAAGATTCAGTAGAGGCTGCAGTTTCAGAAGTTTCCTGTGCCATGACTGACTTTACTGCTGTGTTGTAGAGGCTTGCAAACTGAGAATTCCAAGCTGAGAATGCTGTGCAGTCCAGTCATTTTCTGAGAAAGTTGCAGAGAGGAATGTTTGGCAGTGTAGCCATTGGACTGACTGTCACAATTATTTTTCTTTTCCAGTTGGGTGATGTTTTGGGAAGATGAGGAAATGAGTGAAAATTACTGAGTGATGGCTATTCAGCAAGGCAAGATGATGAGTAAAAATTGGGATGAAGTGAGATGTTTATTATAGATAGGTAAGAGAACTTGGAGAGTACCAATAAAATTAAAGGACGATGCTACAAAGTATTGAAAGACCGAGTGTCCAGTTGCTCAGTTTAAACACATGTACTTGGATCCATATCTGTGACAAGATATCTCCTTTAGGTTTAACATGGCAATGTGCATATTTAAGGTAGATGTTTGGCATTCTTGACTTCCAGAGGAATCATACCTTGCCCCTACTTTCAGGTTCAGGAGTTTAGCTGGGTCATGGGATTAATCTCTGAAGTCCTCAGGCCTAAGAGCTCCGAGTGATAAAAAGAAGGATCTCCTTCCACCTCCTAACCAAAACACTAGTATAGAGCCTCTGACCAGACAGTTTCTATATATGAGCAGCTTCTGTGGGGGTAACAGTACAAAAAAAACCTCATTTCTTAGCTGGAAATATATGTAAAGAAAATATTACAATCCTCTGAAGAATCTGATGTTTCTTATGGTTCAGCAATATGTGTCTTTGAAGCTGTATTGGAAAATGAGGGTGTAATGGAAAAAAGTGTTGAGAATGTGTTTGATTTCTGTTTTGCATTAACAGCTGCAGGAAAATAAAGTGATAGGGTCATAAGACTACTTTTATCCAAACTGATTTACATGGAAGATTTGATCTGCCTTACTGTGTTTTACTGTTCATTTTGTCTGTAAAGTTTTTTTTTTTTCAGGACATTTAGTTCTATTTTTCTTGTATGCACTGCATCACAGACTGACATACTTGTTAATACTGAACTTCCTGTTCTGAAGAACTTATCCTAATTTTTAAAATACTATGTAAATATTGCATTCCAATGACAGATTTGACTTTTGGAATGGGTTTCACTGAAGGTTAATGCCACAATAGGTTCACCAAAGCCTGACTGGGATTGAACCTAAATAAGCACTCTCTGGCAGGAGCCAGTGCCTGCCAGCATGTGACAGACTTTGTGACATGGGACAAGAATGCAATTCCTGTAGCTGATCTCTCACCACAAAAAACCCAGTTCTTTGTGCTGTAACAGTCTTGGACACATTACCTATTCCTTTACTGAAACAATGCTTTCTTACCTCTTTGTGAACTAATCTCCAGCTCTGTTCCTAGCCTCTCATTTTCTTCTGAGTTTTCAGCTGTAATGGTTGTCTTAAATGATAGCCTTGGGCTAAGGGCAGGCAGGGCTGTGCAGCTTCACTGGGTAATCTACTACAGAGCATGCAAAACACAGGAAGTGTCTGAATAGCAGATCACCAACCCAATATGAGTGGAAGACTGAACTAGCTTCTATCGCAAAAAGATATAAAAACATGCTTTCACCCAAAATAAATTGGCCATTCAAAATCTTAAGCAGACATGTGGAAGAAATACCAACCCATCAATGTCCAAAGGCAGTAACAATTTCATTTGATTTTGCTTATCTCCACTTTTTGTGCCCAGTTGAATGCATTCCAGAATTTAAATTCAAGGAAGCCCAAGAGTCTAATGATTTGCACTTCCCGCTGCTCAGCAACTGTCAAAATGGAATGCCTAGGAACCAAAGCAATAGCCACATTGAAAATGACTGCCAGTGAGCAATTGCAAATTCTGGGTAACTGCAGTTTGCAGGGATTTTGCTGTGATGCCATGGGCAGTCAATATTTTTGAACATCTGATCCCAGAATACCATCCTGGAATGTGGTATGAGTGCCTTCTGAAAATGCTGAATAACTTGCAATGCCCCAGATGATTTTTATCTATAGTAAAGAATTTCTTACTCTGTTCTTTTCCTTTTTTCCCCACCAAAGCCACCTCTTCATACCGTGAAAGGGGAAATGTACAAATCCAGGCAGTTAAGTTTTATCCCTGGATTTGCCATTGCTTGAGCAGGTGATCTTGTATGAAGCCATAGAACACTTTTTTTTCTCTCTACTCTCTTATGTGGGACCAGAGCTCACCTGACTTGTGACAAACATTGAGAACTTTCAGCCAGCTGCAAATGATTGCCATCAGCAGCATGAGATTTGAAGTTACCGAGGAGGAATATCTTCTTTACTCTGTGGAAAACCTTTGAAGGCCAGATTCCTATAGCAATATGCACTTTGAAGCACATGTTGGTTTTGTTTTTTTTTTTAACTGTCACATTATCACGCCCACTTAACATACACAGCAGGCATTAACTTTGGCATCATGATCCAGTCTTTGACCTGCTATGAGCTGAAATTCATCCACTCTAGGTTGACTTATTTTCCTTATTTCATCATTCCTTTCTCAAACCTTTACTTAATGACCCTGTGTAGGTTTAATCTCCTACAGTCAGCCTTTGCCAGCTTTATGCTGCTGTCAGGCAAATGAAGATGCAGTAAATTCTGATGCATGATTCGCACTACTGTCATTAAGGATTTTTTTCCAGACCAGAAGAAAACACTGTTAATCATTAACCAGAGAACATCTATTGCAGTTGGCTGTTATCCCAGAACCTGAACTAAGCTGTAAATGATAAGGACAGTTACTAGTTCAGAAAATTGGATCCCAGTAGTTTTATTTCACTCAAAATTGTTATCATTAAGAAGCTGCTTGTAGTTTAATGGAAGCATTGGCAGATTGAGCTGGCACTAGCTAAGTGTTCTGTTCTACAAGACTGGTTACGTTTTCCACAGGAAATTGTTTTATAAATCATCCTGGAAGTTTCAGCTTATTTGAATGCCTGAGGGTGAAGCCTGCTGTAACAATAGGTAATGGGGTTTGAGAGGAATATGGCATCAGTAATACCTGGGAGCTGCCAGAACCAGACAGGGAAACAACACATTAAACAATGGAAATGCAGTATTTCTGAAACTGTTGTGGGCCTTTGCCCAGCCACAAGTTAATGTTGTGACCCCAATCCTATCAAATGCTTAAGTAAAGGAAGCTCCCTTATAGGGAATGTGTATCTCATAAGACTGTCCCAACATGCAGATTAATTAGTTCTTAAGGACTAATATTAGAGCTCGTGACTAATTTGCAAGAGATGCTTAGCAAAGAAACACTGGAGGGAAAAATCTTTGTCTGTATTTTTTTCAGAGTATTTTAGGGGTTTCTTAGTAAAAAGCTGAATCTCCAAAGGCCAAAATGATACTCTGATAAAAATAGAATTTTTTCCTAATAAATTGATTTCTAGTTAGGTGAATTTGTGTGGATTTTTTTGGAGTATCATGCCTCAAATATTTTCACATACAATGTGATGGATTTTTAGCTCCTAGATATTACCTGCATGGGAGTTAAATTTTTAACAGTTTGGATTTATATAGTCTCTAGACATTTATTGAATTGTGAACAAAATATTTATAATTCTTTTGTTTAAAAAACCTTAGTGCCAGTAAACTATTTGCATCACTATCTGCTTTGTCTCACAGTGTTTAGGCTGGTGTGCCAGGCTGCTATACAGCATATCTTTTACTGTCACCCAGATTGAATAAGCTCCCAGAGACAAGGTTCCTAGGGACTATAGGGAATATGAAATTTTATCTCCTCCAAATACATGCCACAAGCTTCCTTTAGTGAATTTCTGATTCAAATCTAATAGCTGTAATTATGTTAGAGTATTCTTTTGGTAAAGCAAAATCCAAAAAGTGTATCCAGAAAGACTGCAGCCTCTCAAATGCTCCAAAAAGGTTTTCCTTCAGTGTAGGTGACAAACTTACAGAATTTACATACAAAAATACATAATATTCTCTTCTAATTTTAGTCAGTCAGAAAAACAGTTGATACTGTCATGATATTGAACAGATTACTGCCTATATGTTACGGACAAATTCACTTGGGGAGACTAATTATAGATAAATCAATTAACAAGAATTTATTAAGCAAGCGGTATTAAGCAAAAGAACACCGCTGGGCGGCTGGAGCCTCTGCTCTGCCACGGCGCACCTTCCCCCTTTGACCTTTTTGTTTTTATAGTCCCCCTTTTTTTTTTTCCGGTTGATTTATTTTCTGTCGACGCACTCTGCGCCGGTGCAATTGGGTGCTAGGGGGTCTTTTTTGCTGCCCTTGGTGGTCATAGGAATGAAGGCTCCTCATCTTCCTTGCAGATTGTCCTTGGCCTAGAAGTTAACTTGTATATGATTAGTTACACAGTCTTCTATGCTAGTTGCATTCCCTACTCAGTTAAAATTCTTATCTCCTTTAACGCTCATTTTGATGAACAAAGGCCTTTTTATTTACTACAATCCCCCCTTTTTCTCTTTACCAATTTGTTCATTAAAATGCTTTAACTCTTGGTAGCTTAAGACCAGGGTTTCATCTACTTCTAAGTCCCTGGGCAATGTTTCGTACCTATCTCTAATAAGCATTAGATGAGCTGCCTCTAGTCTTCCTTTTATAATGTCTGTGATTTTATTAAAAATGTAAGGTCTGAAAGTTAAACTTAGTAACAACAATATTACGGGACCTGCAATCCCCCTTATACAGAATTTCTCCTTGAGTGCCAAAGCCCGGAGTTTTGCACCCCTCAGGGTACCATGAGACCTTTAAAAATTTATCTGGATGGGTGACAGCTTAGGCGGTTGCTATGGTTTTACAGCCCTAATACTCACACAGATATTCCCCAGGATAATTACAATGTCCCCTCCCAGGATTGGAACTAGGACACCAATAGGTAGCCCAGAGTTTAGGTTTACTCCATCTCCACATAGAGTTTACTAAATCCTCATTAGTAACAAAAAAAAATGGGAGCTACAGTGGTGGCATTATGCTTAACAACTTTTCCTTGGTCTATTTTGGTCAGAGTCCAATTAAATGGCTGGTGTGCATAGTCCCCTTGTACAGACCCGGTACAACATATAACTAATATGCACAGAATTTGCCAGCAAGGGTGGAGTCCAAACTGCCCCAGGATTTGAGTATCATTATCTCCCCATTCTCAATGTTTGTTTTGATATGTTATTGCCGGGCTCACCTTTACCCTTGGGAGGTCAGTATCCTTGAGGCAGTTCTTGAAACACCTTTGAATTGTCCCAGTTTGAGGGCTCTTTCCTCCACCGCTTCTTATCCCTCTGCCTCGCTCGCTGACTTGGTTGCTCCGAGCCGTGAGGCGTACCATCTTCTCGGCAGCAAGGATATTCTTCAGGAGGACCCTTACTCTGCTTTTGTTGCCTCTTTTTGAATGATTCCCGGTTTTTATCCTTCACTTGCAGTGAGTCACACTGAATCCCAGGTAAAGTTTTCTGGCAATTCCCTTTTATAATTTGAACAATTAGGGGAATTTGTTCATTGGAGTGGAAACAACAATTTTCAGGCCTAGCCCCCTTAGTAAACACCTCTCACCACTCTTGGGATTCTCTTGGTAGGGTCCCGTTCTCTTCTCCAATCCTTAGGACTGACTCTGTCAGTTCTCTTTCTAATTGATAACACCCTTTACAAATACCCCCAGGAGGAGTGCCTCTATAACTATGGACCTACCACCGTTCCTGGCAAATTTTACAAATATAGCATACAAAAGGGTAACAATCACAATCCTTATTTGTACAATATACTCTAAAATCATTAGTTATAGGATATCCATAGTCCTATAGCTCACTATACCAGCTGGTTTGTACAATTCTTACTGAGTCCATTAAGTCCACTTAAATGTGACCTTAAGATCCCTGGGTTGGCTGGTTATTCTCCAGGGGTCTTCGGCAGCAGCAGGAATCGGTCCCTTTATTCGGCTTGCATGTGTCCATCCCTTCTCGGCGGTTCTGACTGCAGTTTCTCACTACTCTGTAGTGAGTAAAACAACACAGGGGGCTTCTCAATTTGGGGTTAGTGAGGTTTCTTTCTAGGTTTTTTATTAACACCTTATCACCTGGTTTTATATTATGGATTGCTAGGTCTAAAGGAGGTTGTTGCACTAGTAACCCAGCTCTTCTAAGCCCTTCCCGAGCCTTCATAAGTTTCATGACATATTGGTTAATTTGTTGATTACTTATTTCAGGGTGATCTATAGGAGAATCTATGTCATAAGGCATCCCATAAAGCATTTCAAATGGAGAAATTCCAATATCATTTCTGGGCTGAGTTCGTATATTTAACAAGGCTAAAGGTAAACATTTTACCCAAGATAACTGTGTTTTATACATCAGTTTAGTTAGTTGTTTCTTAATTTTCCCATTTACCCTTTCCACTTTGCATGAGCTTTGGGGATACCAGGGAGTATGATATTGCCACTTTGTTCCTAGAGCTGTAACTACTTCTTTAATTATTTTGGAGGCAAAGTGTGGCCCTCTGTCTGAGTCTATTACTTCTGCTAGTCTGTAGCGGGGGATAATCTCTTCTAATAGTATTTTTACTACTGTTGGTGTAGTTGCCCTGGAGGTAGGGAATGCCTCTACAAAGTAATTCAAGTGATCTATTATCACCAATAAGTGTTTATAACTTCCTACTTTAGGCAAATCAGTAAAATCTATTTGAATGTGGGAAAACAGTCTATGTGCCAATTCCCGTGCCCCCCATTTCCCACACCACTCAGGATTTCTCACACCTGGGTGTACTCCTGGGTCAGGGGTCTCTTCAGCCCCTCTAGAAATCTCAGCCCTCATTCTAGAGAGACTGCAGACTGTATAGAGAAAGCTTACCAGATAAAACACCAGGAAGATGGTCTCCTTAACAGTCAGGGGAAACGGAACCTTCTTTAATAGGGAGATAACAGATTCAGAGGAGAAGAAGGAAAGCAAAGGCTGAAAAGCCTCATCCCCTACTTCCCCTCTAACAAACTGGCTGTACAACCATAACCAAGAACCATACATTCCAGGAACAGACCTCAGCACCTTTATAAACCCCCTGGAAGCCATTACACCCAAGCCCAGCTCAATGGATATTCTGGTCAGTGCCCTTCTACTGCAAAAACTACGTATTAGGGACAATACTGGAGCTATTCCTGGATTAAAAAATAAACCTAGGGACCATAGAGGGATTAAGATGTCAAAAAACCCTAGGGACCAGAAACACATACAGGCCTCCACTCTAAAATACACTATGAATTCAAACAACATAGCCAGTAACTGCTCCATACTAACACAAAGTAATTGGAACCAAAATATGATTAGAACAGGGGTTTTTTCCACTCTCTCCAGCCACGAGATAGGCAGCAAAATATTTGTCCTAGTTTAGGGCAAATTTGGGAGAAAAACCTGTGGAAGGAGCCCCCAGAAAACAAACCCCCACGGCCCCTCCCCACCCACCTGATTTGGGAAGAATTTTCTCTGAGAGAAGTGGAAAAGAACCTGTTTATTTAACAAACAAAACCCTCCCCAGCACCAAAGAAAGGAACAACACCAGATGACAACAAAACTCTTTCACCACTCTGAAGAGATGACAAATCCAAAAGTCTTTCCTGAGAGTGGTCGCCCGGGTCTGGGTGCTGGGGATTGCTCTCCAGCACTGGGGATGTCTGCTGCAGATCACAGAGCGCAGGCTATCGGTATTCCTGGGTGTTTCCCAGGTCCCAGTCCGGAGCAGGCTGGAATGATATTCAGGAAAGGGAAAGGAAAAAAAGAAAAACAGTCTAGGGAAAGAATTGGAATGCTTAGCTAAATAATTTAAAAAGCAAAGGCAAAAGCAAGCAAAAAAAAAAAAAAAAAAAAAAACAAAGCAAAGAAAGCAAAAGCCAGCAAGCAAAGCAAAGCAAGCCAGCCAGCACTAGCCTCTTCTAGACAGCAGACCACGGGACCACGGGGGGAGGTGAACCAGATGATAACAAGGCAAAACAAACCACTTTCTGAGTCAGTTCTGAAAGCACAGAACATAATATCAAACATAAACAGAACACATGATTGCAGATACAAACACCATAACATTAGCCTAGGACATTCCACCCCTTATCTCTATATCCTCAACATCATGTAAAACTTAATCAAGTAAAATCTTCCATCTTTCACTTATTCATACACATTTCCTTCCATCTCACTTACTCAAACCTTCGACACACATTTCTATTTCACTTGCTCAAACCTTTGACACTTACACATTTCTTTCTGTCTCATGTCTGTATTTTTTTGTGTACAGATACTGGCAGTAACATCCAGCAAACAGTGATATTTGCACATGAGTCTCACCCCAGAATCAGGTCTCCCTGAGGTACACATCATGTTGCTCCATCTCTCTGCATTATCCACCATGTACAACCTGGTCCCTGAGCAAAGACAATCCCACGAATGGGTTTGTCTGTACTTGAGGCAGAATTGATCCACACTGTTTTACCTAACAAACCTCTGACATGTGCCACTGGGACTTCATCTCCATCTACTATATTCAGGGGCTCAGACTGGGCAGGACCTGCTCGATTGGTGGAACCTCGGCTGTTAACTAACCGGGTAGCCTTTTCTAAATGCTGCTCCCAATTTTTGAAAGATCCCCCACCCAATGCTTTCAAGGTGGTTTTTAACAGTCCATTGTACCTTTCCACTTTGCCTGCAGCTGGTGCATGGTTTGGGATGTGGTACACCCACTCAATGCCATGTTCCCTAGCCCAGGTGTTGATAAGGCTGTTCTTGAAATGAGTCCCATTGTCTGACTCAATCCTCTCAGGGGTACCATGCCTCCAAAGGACCTGCTTTTCAAGGCCCAGGATGGTGTTACGGGCTGTAGCATGAGACACAGGGTAGGTTTCCAACCATCCTGTGGTGGCTTCTACCATTGTGAGCACGTAGCGCTTGCCTTGGCGTGTCTGGGGCAGTGTGATGTAGTCAATCTGCCAGGCCTCCCCATACTTGTACTTGGACCACCGCCCACCATACCACAGGGGCTTCACTCGCTTGGCCTGTTTGATGGCAGCACAGGTCTCACAGTCATGGATCACCTGAGAAATACTGTCTATGGTTAGATCCACCCTTCATTCTCGTGCCCACTTATAGGTGACATCTCTGCCCTGATGGCCTGAGGTATCACTGGCCCATTGTGCTCGTAGCAACAGCCACTGGTTGAGGCTTACAGTCTGGTTTAGCTCCTAGCTTAGGCTCACAGTCTGGTTTAGCTGCTGGCTTTGAGCTTGGGCTGTTGGCTGCAGCCTGAGTGACTGGGATAGCTGCTGATTTCTCTCCCTGCCCCCCTTCCTCTGTCTGCTGCCCTACAGTATCTATCAGGGTGCGATAAGCATATGCCAGGGCCCAGCTCACTGCAATGATCTTTTTCTCCTTAGACTTACCATGGCATTTCTCTTTCAGGTACTCTGCCACCTCAGCTGGATTCTGAATTTGTTCACATGGGAAGTCCCAGGCTATAGGGTCAGAAAATTCCTTTAAGATTTGGCCCATATGCTCCCATTTCTTTCTTGAACTCCCTCACATCTCCTGAGTTGAGAGGTACCTCAATATAACCTATTCCCAGAATTTGGGCTGGTTTTCCCTGCTGACCAGCATTGCGGTTAGGGATCATTCCCAAAGCTACTTCCCTTAATGGATATAGAGCTTGCCCTTCCCTTTCTCTTTCCCCCCTTGTTAGACTACGAGTAACGCGGTGATTTTTCTCAGGGACCGGCTCTGGGATTTTTATCTCTTGGTTATCAAAATCTCCCCCTTGATCCAAATTGGGGTAGACTGCGGGTGGTGCTGGTGGGGGTGGAGGAGGGGGAGGTACGTATGGTAGAGGGGGTGCAGTTGGAACTTCCTCAAGCTTTTTATTTTTCTTTTTCCCTCCCTGGGTGCTTAAGGCAAAAAGTTTTGCTCTTGTTTCCTCCACTATCCAGAGAGCAGCATACTTGCTCTCTTCCATATCAAAAGGTTCTTTAGAGTTTACATAAATGTTTAATGCCTGGCAAATCCAGTCCTCGAAGTTTCCAAACACTGGCCAAAATAAATTATCACTATGGATTTGTTTTCCTCCCCATACTTTTATACAATAATGTATCATTTTTGCCTTATCCTTCCCTTTCCTTGAAGGGTATTCGTCCCAAGATTTTATCATTAGACCTAACGGACTGTCAGGTGGTATCTGGGGAAGCTTCAGCGGGGTCCCCCTCCCCATGGAAGCAGAGGGCTTGCTTTTCCTCTGTCCCATCTCCCAGGACACCTTCACGCACACACACACTCGCGGCCCCCTGTTCGCAGCCCAGCCCCTCTCGGGGTCTGGAAACCGCGCTATTTAGAGGTCCGCACTTGCCTCGTCCTAAAAGGACATCTCATGCGTTATGTCCTGGGATCCCAACCCCAACCGAGCAGATCCCCACTTTTATACTCACGCTGTCCTGCGTCTTCACCCGGGCTTCGTGCACAAAGATTACGGGGTTACCGGTATCCCTTTTGCTTAACACCAAATTTAGGTTCGTCAGTAAGGGTCCGGGAATGCAAAGCCTGCACCAGGGCTGCTGCAGAGGCAGCAGGACGCCTCCCTGATTAGGAATTCCCACCCGGTCGCCCTTATCCGAGTCACGGCACCAAATTTGTTACGGACAAATTCAACTGGGGTGGCTAATTATAGATAAATCAATTAACAAGAATTTATTAAGCAAGCGGTATTAAGCAAAAGAACACCGCTGGGCAGCCGGGGAGCCTCTGCTCTGCCACGGCGCACCTTCCCCCTTTGACCTTTTTGTTTTTATAGTCCCTTTTCTTTTCCAGTTGATGTATTTTCTGTCGACGCAATTGGTTGCTAGGGGGTCTTTTTTGCTGCCCTTGGTGGTCATAGGAATGAAGGCTCCTCATCTTCCTTGCAGATTGTCCTTGGCCTAGAAGTTAACTTGTATATGATTAGTTACACAGTCTTCTATGCTAGTTGCATTCCCTACTCAGTTAAAATTCTTATCTCCTTTAACGCTCATTTTGATGAACAAAGACCTTTTTATTTATTACATATAGATAGTGGGGTTTCAGCATGCCCTCTTTAAATTGTCTCTCCCTGTCCTGCTGAGATGCTCGGGAGCTCTACTGAAGCCTGGTGGCAGTTGTAAGCCATGCTACTTACGTATTAAAGAGTAAATAGAGGGTAACAACCAGAATCTCCTGGCTCAGCAAGAAAAACTTTACCTGCCTAATTTGTCTCGGTTAGGACCCAAATACTGTGCCATAGCAAAAGTACCATTGGGAAATGTAAAGACATTTATTTGTATTCCACGGACAGATACAAGCGAGATCTCTGTGGTTGCTCTTGGGGGATCAGGTTTATTCGGGACACAGAAAGGCCCTGCCTCGAGCTGCTAGACACAGCATGTGGCTGGGCCTGAGGTGATGGGGGAGGGGAGAGACAGAGAGGGGAGCAGGGACTCCCGGAGGACACTTCAGGAGGAGAGGGGAAGATCCAAGAGGGCGTCCAGCCCCCCCCGGAGACCCCTTATCAGGGGGGCTCCAAGGTGGGCTGGAACAGGACCTGGGCCAATGGGGTCACAGGCACCTGATGGTTCAGGGAAGGGTTACAGGTGTGGGGTGAACCATACATTCTGGGGGGTGAGATGGAACAGTCCATTTGGCTTTTGGACCCCTCTGTAGGTGAGGGTTATTGTCCAGCCAGTAGGGGGCGTTATATTCGTCCTGGCTGTACTATCGTGGTTCTTAATCATATTTATCTACCCTTCCCAACAGGGAAACACTTAGCTCTGCTCTGATACCTTAGGTTTTAGCTTTTATATTTTTCGGATTCTGTACTACTTTAGTGTGCAGTTCTGAGCTTCATATTAGGGGATGGTGATCTTTCTTTTCAGGGCAGGGAGACAAAACAATTCCTTTTCTAGGCTGGGACCAAGAACAACCAATCCAAATTTCAGGCCCAAGAGCATAAACAATGTGGACTGAAGACAGAAAAACAAAAGGGATGGGACTTCATGGGCTAAAGCTGGAATTGGACAATTAACTCCAATATGCAAATGGACCAGAATTTATAAAAGAGAGAGACCTCGTGGCCAGTTGTCCATTTTGGTTCATCTTGGGCATAACCCTGGCTGGGCTTTTTTACTGCCGAGGGTGGATCCACTGAGGTCTTTTAATAAATCCCCACTTTATTCTTTAGCTCCATCTAGCCTCTGGGCTAGGCCTGCTGCAGTGCCAGGTTTCTTCAGCCCGTCTGGCTCCTGACATTGGCAGCAAGTGTGGGCTGCCCCCAGACAGCTGTCGAATCCGGGGTGGCTGTAGAGCACAGCTGCTCTACGGCACGGGGGGACTGCATCGAGGGCAGGGACAAGGAACAGGGAGAGATCTCCTGTGTGTTTTCCAAAAGTGTTTATTCCCAGGAGGGTCAGGGACAGAAAGACACTGGACAAAGGCACACACCACCTGATACACAGGGGAGGTCTTAGGGGGGGTACAATCTTTAACCAAGTGGGAGAAACCTGGGGAGGATCACAAGGTGGGGATACAATGTTTAAACCAATAGGGGATTACAGGGGAGGAGAAAAACAAACCAATGGGGCCTCGAAGGATGCAAAATTGACAGGGAAGTTTCTAGAGAAAAGGGAAGGGATTGACATTCAATGGGAGGAGGAACAGGGAACAAAAGGGTAGGTCTTTGGGGGAGATGGACAACTAGGGCAAAACCAACAACACAGTGAGGAAAGGAACGATCCATTGGTAATAAAATATGCTATAACAATACAAAATAGGGGAGGTTATAAAACTGACTACTAGGACCAGATTACAATCAAAACCATGCACCACAACGTAGGTCAGCCTTCACAAGGCATCACCTCTACAGCCAATAAATTGGGTAATTTAGACTTGATTTAATCCAGTATTGAGCTTGGGCCCTGAGCTAACATTTTCAGAAGATGGAATTTTTTCCCAGGAGATTTAAATCTTCTCAAAGCATGAAAGAAGAAAGTAATTTTTTTTTTCACACAGCACCTTCCTTTTCGTACTTAAAAGAATTTTTTTTTTGCATAGTGAGAGATGTGTTTATATGTCTTAATCTTTTTCTTTGTTTTGCAGTACTTTCCACATAAGAATCTGAAGATGTTTCTGCCAGTCCAGCCTTTCTGAATCTCAGGCACTCCAGGGACTTTTGTCCTCTAATGAGGGCTTCTTAAAACTCAGCAAAAAGTACTGAAAGAATTCTGGTCCACAAAGAGACAGAAGCATCATGTGATCTACAGGATATTTGGAACAGACACATTTTTATCTTCTCTACTGGCCAAGCACTCTGGCAAAATGGTTGGTTGTTGGATCATGGTATTTCTTTTTTCCCCCTCTTTTTTTTTTAACAGTCAGAATCAGAATATTATTGAAGGTATTTCCACAGAGTTTTTATATTTGTGAATATTTAATACTGCTCTTAAAAGTGAAAAAAAACAAAAAACCCACAACCAAAACAACAACCACAACAACAACAACAACCAAAACCAACAACAACAACAACCAAAAAAAACCCCAAAAACTGAGAGATTAGCTTTGGTGTGTTTTCCAAGAGTATTTGGAAGGAAGCATGGGCCTTAAATAATGAGATGCCTATATCACTGTGTTGTACAGCTGGGATCTTGCATGGAAAACACCTGAGGTGAAAGAATTGCAGTCAAGACCAAGATCCCAGTGTTGAAGACAGCCACAGCCCAGGTTTGCCTTTCAGCCACTAAAATGGCGACTGCTGGGTTTGGTGCTTACCTTCAACCAATACTTTATGGATTGTTGTGTCCTTATAAAACTTGAAATATTTGCCTTTTGTATATGATAACTGTGTACGTGATGAATTTCTTCCCAAGATAAATGTTTAAACAGTGTCCTTATTCTCAAAGGGGCTCCTGCATTTTACTCATTCTATGGGCTGATAATGTTCTTGAGTGGAGGAACATGATCATCTGTAACTCATGAAGAAATTGAAGAAGCACAGAACTATTATTAAGAACATGAAAAGATATTTTATTTTGAAACAAGCTATGCAATCTCTCCCATAAAATGCATTAATACAGTTCTATCTTTTTCTTTCCTTTCCAGCTGGAAACCAGCTAGATCTTTTTGCTGAGTTTTTTTTTTTTTGATTTGGTTTTTTGTTTTTTTTTTTTTTTTTTTTTTTTTTTTTTTGTGTTTTTGGGGTTTTAAAATTTATTTTTACTTCCAGTATTGTTTAGGTACTGGGACCTGAAGACAATCATATGTGTATTAATTACTGTTCTAACAGTCAATAGAAGGGCTCTGTCACTTACATGGCTTCTGTATCAAGGTCATCACAATTAAAACTTTTGTAGCATTCTGTTGTGCTTTGAGAATTTTTAGGCTGACCACATACTAATCTCCTTTCTGATCGCTATTCCAATTACAAAATGTTAAATTTTTCAAAGGATGAAATGTGTTACATAGAAAACTGTTAAAGTGGAGAACCTAACCTGTTTATCACTTCTGTAGCGATGGTGATGCCTATCTACCTCGGAAACTCTTCTGTGTGGTGAGCTTGCAGGGTAGCTTGCTGTTCAGATTTACTCACTATGAATAAAGAAGAAATATTTCTCTAGCAGTATGTGTGTACATTAAAAGTTTCAATGGAAATTTTGGATATTCAAGGTATACAGGACAGGCATGTCTAAGACTGCACAGTGAAAATGACAGTAATAACATTAATTTGTAATAAATCTCTTAGACCTATCATGTTCATTAATGTTTATAGCATTTTAATGCTTCCTCCTACCGATTTCTGTTTAGATAAAGAAATTAAACTTGAATTCCCTTACCCAAGTTAAAATTAACAGAAATCAATCCTCATATTCTGTTCTGATTGGGCAAAAAGAGATTCAAGCATGTTTTTCATTTTGAGCAGATTAAGTTAGATGTATCTGCTGATTCAAAATATTTGCAAGACATTGGCATTAAGAGAGATTATGTTAAAATTACTTCCTATTAATTGAAGTATCAGCCTAGTTTTTAAAAAATTTATTTCAAGACAGACATTTAATCTTGGAAGTCTTGTGAGGTGTGTAGGAAGATATGATTAGGATGTATTTGTAAAATACCAGGTTGCAAGATTTGGGATCACGTTTTCCAGACAAAAAGGATCTGGTGCTGATGACATAGGTCAGTTCCTTTTGGCATCAACATTCTTCTGTGTGTTATGATTGTTACTAGCTAAAATTCCTGTTTTCCTGGCACTGTCGTGTGTCGTTCTTGGGTTATGTCATACTTCCCTCTTAAAGAACGAGTGGCCTTGGAAGTGCTCAGTGTGTTGTTTCCCTGGGTCCTCCCTGACCTAAATGTCACAAAGTCCTTAGGAGACACGTGAGCTTGCAGCCAGATGTTTGACCTTGGAGTCATCCACCTGAGCTGAGAAACAAAGAGAAAAAGAAGTTAGGAGCATATTGTGGAGAAATATTCCTGTTCATAGAGACGTGTTCTTGCAAAATACTGCAGATACAAATGTGTGTAGCTGTTTTAACTGCCTTTACTTTTTTTACTTATGTTCATGTCCTGTAACAAAAACGAGAGCAACGTCATGTGTCCCTGGCGTTTGAGAGAGATCTGTACACTCAATCCTTCAGCACTGCCTAGTGGTGGGTGAGTATTTCCAGCACCTAATGGCAAAGGTGAGGGATAGATTTCTGAAGAGCTTTGTATTTGTGCTTTCACAGCTGTCTAGAGCTGGATGTCTTGCAACTGGCAGTCTTCTTACAGTAGCAAGATTGTTAAGTGAGTAGTTCAGTGGGATGCAAATTTCATCCTGTCACGTGGTACCAAACCTGCTGGACTTTGGCAATTGTATAACTGGCACAATCTAGCATATTCTCTAGCAAGTGTTTCTTCAACCAGCCTTACTCTAAAATAACTATCAGGCCATGTGGAAAGAAACCGAAACAGTAAAAGAGGTTTGGTTTAAAACAGTTTTGGATTTGGCCAAAAAGCAAGAGGACATGCACATTGAATTGCAGAAAAGTGTTAAATATAAACAGACATTACTATATTTCTTCAAAAATGGACAAAGCATTACCTAAAACCTGTATCAAAACAGCTGTGTGTGTGATCTTTCATTTATATACAGTTAAAACATCCTGGGGAGAAAAAGAGAGTTGTGAAAGTTAATAAAACAGTATCAAAAAGTAAGAAATAACTTGGTTATTTTAATTTATTGTTGTTTTAAGGAAATACTGTAAGCCAAGATTTGCAACAGCCTGCAGGCTAAAATCTGATTTTCATTACTTCCACATTAATCTCCAGTAATTGCTGACTTCAGTGGAATTAACTCATGTAATTGGATCTGTGTTGGGGGAAAGTACTTGAGGTTTTGCTCCAGTTCTTTGTGCCCTCTCATGCCCTTTTAATGTAATCTTAATATGCTGAATGGTCTTTTCTTAACCAATAACCACACACTCTTCTTTGTCAACAGGCTCACTGTTGGAATCTCTTGCAATTTCTTGCAGTCACAGAGGAACAGTCTCCTTTCCTTTTCTCCCTAGGACTAATTTTTATCTCCTTGTGCATGTTAGAGGCACTTACAATGAAACCTCTCAAGGTGGCACCACACCACCATAGCAAGTCATAACTTCATAACTTCATTTAACAGTTTAAATGTCCCCGAAATACAGGATACTCTATAGAATCTACGATGCCACAAACAAAAATATGAAACTGGGATTAATTACTGATTTTAAAACTGTACATAATTACAGAGAAAGTTTTGTGTTTCTCAACAGCATATCAATAAAAATACGTTTTGATAAAGTCCTTAAAAATTGAAATGTATGTTAAAAATGAAAAAGGGATTTTCTTGCTGAAACTGTAAAAAACACATATTCTAGACACTTGGATAGGTTAAGATTATATTCTAAAATAACAGAATATAAAGCAGAGTTTTTGTTGTGGACGGGAAATACTATGTTTGTGAGCTCAGAATCCCCAGTAAATCAATTTGAGCTGAAATAACAGCAAGATCAGGAAGAGTTTATAATATTATTGCCCAATACACCTTGTCTGGGACAGACAATGGAGTGAAATTTGATGAGGAAGACATTAAAGATAATAAAATTATAATTGTTTATGTCTTTAGGAAGATGTGTGTCTGAGACAAAAGTACAGAACACGTTCTCCTCTTTTGTCTGTATAATTTTGCAGTTTTGTGTGTCTTGTAGAGATGTTAGTAACACTGAGTGACTATCACATTCTCTTTCATGGGGAAAAAGAGGAGACTGTTCTTGATAGAATTCAAAGAGCATCAACATTTCAGATAACAGTGCCTTTATTTAACTCTAAATTCTGCCATCCTTGTCTGTAAGATATTTTCCAATCTGAACTTCATGAGAAATTTCCCTCTGCCCTTTCCCTTTGACTGCCTCATGTTGGCAAGAGCAGTGAGGCGCCCAGGTGTGCCAGCCCTGGGTGCTGTACAGTTGCAATGTAGATGCGTCCTTCCCTCTGCTCTTTCCCAGTCAGGAGCTGCTCAGAGCCAGAAGTTTTCATGCACAAAGCCCTGACTGCGCTGTGCCATTCTGCAGGTACAGGCTCCGTGGCTGTTGGGTGCATGCTCGCAAGCCTTGCAGCACAAGGCACCATCTGTACCCTGCTCTCCAGTTCTTGCACAGGCACTTGGGGCCAGATGTGCCTGCAAATGTAGGGCAGAGTGGTTTAACTCTGCTGAAGAGGGTTTTGGGCACCAGGCCAGCCTCCTCTTTTTCTAACTGTAACTTTTCTCCACTGAAATCAGTGGATGTGGCAGCCTGCCAGGAGCAGGCAACTGGTTGCTGTGGACTTAACCACAGCTTGTGCAGTTCAATAGGGATCAAGCTTGCCTTGTGCTCTGCACACTGACAAGCTCTGGGAATTGGTAGCTGCTGGTTGAAGGGGTGGTAATTGAAGACTTTGGTCTGGTCCGTCATGTAGAGCTCTGAGCAAGCAGGTATTAGGTGGCTCTGTTTACTTGATGGAAATGGTTTATAGTTTAGTCTGGAAAAGTATTCATATGTCCAGAAGCCAGATCCATCTTTTTCATAGGCCTCTCATCCCCTTGGTTATGGGTGTTATGGTTATGGGCTGTTTTTCACATCACCCTGGAGGCAGCACTTCACAGATAGTGAATTCATGTGGATCATTAGTAACCTTTTCTTAGCAATCTAATATTCAGGGTTACTTTAATGGCACTTAGAAATAGATCGATGTTCACCACATTTCCCCCCATCCCAGCTGAATGGAAATGATCTCTTACTTAGACATCTGCTTATAGAATCAGAGGATCACAGACGATGCTGAGTTGACCTGTCAGGATCATTAAGTCCTACTCCTGGCCCTGCACAGGACACCCCAAGAGTCACTCCAGGTGCCTGAGAGTGTAGTCCAAACCCTTCTTCAACTTTGTCTGGTTTGGGTGCTGTGACCACTGTCACTGCGGACTAGTCAGCCCTGAGAGGAAAAAGAATATTGGTATTTTAACCAAAATGGTATTTTGGGTTTTCTGAAAATGATTATGCTTTTTTTTTTTTCTTTATACAGATAAAAAGTTCTGCATACAAAAAGCTGTAGATTCAGAGAGAATTCCCTCTAGAAGTTTGAAACTGAAAGACTGTTACTGTTCTGCCTAAATAAATAAGTTAATTGATGTATATGTTCACAGAAATAAATTAAATTCCAGAAAATTCAGTGAGACCTTACATATGTTTAAAAATTTTTGTCTCTTGTATGGCCGTTTTAATGACTATTGATTTTCTAACGTTAGAATCAAATATGATAAGGAAGTATACAAAATTCTCTATTGTAATTTCATGCATCCTCATAATGACAGTAGCATTAGAATTTGCATTCACAAATTCTTTTTATTACACACCTTTAAAATTTGGTTTTCTGCAGAATTTACTTGCAAATATTCCTAGTGAAATAACTTAGTCCCATGTGACTAATTCTGAGTATTTTTTTCATTTCCAGGTACCTTCTCTCACTGAAAAAGCAGGGGGAATAATTGATATCCAGAAACATTAATGTGTTTTGAGGTATTTTCATTCCAAGAAACTTGCCAAGTTAAACAGTGGGTTATTAATGCCATACGCTCTGCCTGATTGGCTTAGAGGAGGTTTTTTTCCTCTCTGTGATAATTCTGTAGTAGGCAGATATCCATGGGGGCCAGATCTCCACAGGACTCCTACTCACTTTGGTAGGCAGACTTCAGATCAGGTCCTTAAATAATATTTTGCTTTATTCAATCATGGAATGCATAAACAAAAAATCAAAACCTGCAGATAATAAATTATTCCATTTCTGAAGAAATACTAATACGCAGGCAGAGATGTAAAACAGATTTACTGCAAGTATTTTTACTGTCTCATTCTCTATGAGACAGTACGTAAAATGGAAGAAAACATTAAAACTTTGTATGACAGATAAGTGAAGAGGATTGTAATTATGTTCAGTATGTCTCTTTGATTTTGAAGAGCTTATTAAAACATGAATAGCTAATCTGAGACTACTGAAAAATGCAAAAAAAACTTGCTTAGCCATTTCGTCTGTATCTGACACATTTTGTTTGAAAGTCTAGGCTTTACTACACTAAACAAAAAACACTGGAGTTCTCATAAAGAACACAGGCATTAGAGGCCTCACTCTATTTTTATTTCCTTTAAAACTGTACAGAACTCAGCTAACATTCCCTCTCATTTGCTTGCTTGAAATGAGGACACTGTGTACACAAAGAGGCTGAAGACTTCCCTCTAATGCCTCTGCCCTTGGCATTATGAGTAAGCATTTAACAGAATAAGTTTTGGTAAAGCCAGAGGAAATACTTTAAAGAGTATCTTTGTATTTCTTCCCAATCTCCTTCTGGGAAGAAACCTGAGATTTGTTATATCCTTTTGATAATATCAGCGTGTCCTTTGAAGATTCCCTCTTATTGATATATTCAGCAGAGATGCGGTAGAAAACCCAGTGTTTCTGCAGTTCCTTTACTGTAGTCTGGAGAATAACAATGCAGGGAAAATTGAGCCTATTATCTGAGAAGAGTCTAGCAAAAACCTTGACATGGTAAAATGAAGCTGAGGGAAGGTTATGAATGCTGATGAAACACAGGAAGCTTGATTCAGTGACCTGAATTTGGAACCCTACAAAACCTTCTACCTTTCCTTATCCTATTTATCTAAGATATAAAGCAGGTGGGAATTATTTAATTGATGTCTGATCCAATAGTCTACAAATGTGGTTCTTTGTGGCCTTTAATTCTTTTTATATTTCACTAGAAGTGGGGAAATGAAGGATATGCCAAAGGAAAGAGAGTCAAAAGCATTTCCCTGGACATCTAATTATTTATTCTACCCCCAAGCAGGATCTTCAATCACCTCCAGAACTGCTTTACATTTAGCCAATTTCTAAACTTTTTTATCTTAGAAGGCCATTATAGGGGCAGGAGGAAAAGAAAAGCCTGGCAATAATTTTAAATCAAGATTCATAAGTGATTTCATTTTTGTGAATGGGATTTCCTTTTTATGTAAGACCATCCTTTTATTATTTTCTAATAATGGCGACACTGGAGTAGTGTTGCTGGCTGCCTGTATTATCTTTTTTTTTTTTTTTTTTTTTTTAAACTCATGAAACAAATTATATCCTTTCTTTAATGATTTTTGCTAGCTTGCAATAGAAGTTTGGGGGGTTGTTGTCAGCTGTGATTTATAATTGTCTGTGAAAAATAGCAGGGATTTATGATTTGTTTGGTTTGCATCTTTTATCTATGAGCATAACGAGCTGGTAAAAAAAACTTGTTTAAATAAAAATTAAAAAGTATTCAAATACTAGTACCAATGAGAATGGAATTTTGGCCTGATGCTTCTTTGAATGCACATGGTGAGTGAAAGCAAATGAAGAGAATGGAAATAACTACATGTATGTCTGGAATACTCACTACTTTGGGATCTGGAGGATAGAAATTCCTTTTCATTGTATTTCTGTTTTTAATCCAGTTGAAATGTAAAAGTGCAGAGTACTAGTAGATTTTTTTTAATAGAGCTTTTCTGAAGTTCACAAGAAGATTCCAGATACTTTTTTCAAAATTTTAGCTTATGGAAGACAAGTCCAAACTGCTGTGTCAGCCACTATTTATTTTCATGAGTGCGTGGTTGCAGATGTGTTTATTCTGAAGGGTTGTATTTTGGCCATCAATGAACTGGGAACAAGATGTCTAGTTTGTATCCAGAGTCTGTCAAAAAGCACAGGAGAATATCTAGACACTATGAGAAAGAGTCTTTTCTTGGTTAAAAAAATATTCCACTTTAAGTATGATTATTTTGTCTGCTTTAACATTAGTGTAATTAAGTGTAATAAAGTGTAATTAAGTTTGTCCCAAAAAAATGGTTGTTTTGGGGTGTTATTTCTGGGTTTTTTGGTTTTTTTTTATTTTTTTTTTTACTATAACTTTTATTCAGCTGTAACCACAAGTGTCTAACAGTACCTTGAGGATGTCTGAACAGAGAAATAACAACTATCAAACCATACCTTGGTACAAAATACTACCAGAAAGCCTTGGTGCTGAGGGTATCCTCAGTCCCAGCAGTACAGCCACAGCAGCACAACCTGTACAGTACAGGTACAAATTGTGTACCTGTACAATTAGGTACAATTACCCTGCCAAAACATTGTACCAGAACTACCAGGCCAGAGCTGGTTCTGCTTCCATGTCAGGCTGTATTGTTCAGTGGATCCCTTAATTTTATTCTTTCCAGATGTTTTTTGTCTCTTGATCCACTTGGTATTAGAGCTCTCCACAAGAACTGCCCATATCCTACCTTTTTCCTCAGGTAAATTTATCACTCCTTCAGTAATTGTGTCTCATTTGGGACTGAAGAGTCTGGGTTGACACTCAGTGCACTGACAGTAAATAAGCCATCTTAGTTGTTCTCATTACTCCTTACTTTCAGTTTTTCCAACAGCCTTCTCCCAACACCCTTCTGTCAGCCCTGTCTCCTTTCTGCTTCCTTGGCAGAATACAGTAGTTGAGCTACTCCTTTTCTCACCAAAGGGCCTGCTTCTGCGTGTAGATGTTGCATGCAGGAAATAACTGGGTTATGTCAGTACACAGCAGTCTTGTGACTGGGGAGCTGTTCTGGTAAATGCTTGAGGTTAACTCGGTGAAGGCCTCAGAAGATTCCAAACAAAAGTGATTGCTAGAGCTGTTAATTGCTTTGAATACAGTATCCATTCCCTCACCTTTGTGAATCCTTCCCCAGTACCCCAAAAGGCCACAGAATACAGTGCTGGTGGTATAAACCTGACACTCCTCAGACTGAGCACCCGTGGACAGTGTTTTCTGACAAGTACAATTGCAAATTTGGCATATATGATTCTGGTAACATTGGATACAGGAGAGAATTGCCCAGATATGAGGGCATAATTTTCTCCTCACCTTTTCTTAGATAAAAACTACTATTCAGTGTCTGCCTCAGTGGGGCAGGACTTGGGTGAGTTTGGCTCCAGATTTAAATGTTGTGACTTACTCTTGGATGTGTATTTCCTCAGTTGTCCATGTGCTTCCTGTCTTTCTACAAAGCCAAAACCAGGAGTTCCAAAACAGAAAACCACAGGAAAAGCTGCTCTGGTAATGTTTGTCTTGAGCGGAAACAAATAGCAACAGAGATTTCCTGCAAAATAATTTTCATGTGACAAATATAGCCTGGATTCTAGACCAAATAGTCTGGCTAAATCTCTCAAATTTGAGTTTGGATTATATCTGTTATAGCTTTTTCTTTTTTAAAAAAATATGTGTCTTTCAGTTAACCATCTGCAGGGTTTTTTAATCCCATTCATCTTTGACAAATACAATTACCCTTTACTAGAATATTTGATTTGTTTCTTGAAAAGTGAGGAATAGACTTGTCATACAGTTAAGAATTCAAGAATTAGAAGGTTTTGAAGAAAGCTTATGTGCAAAGAGCTGGTGTGACTGATGTAACTTTTAGCTAATACCTCTAAGTATGTTAAGCAGTTTATGGTCTACACCAAAAGAAAAGTTCCTGTCCAAAGAATTTAGGCTGGAATTCATTCTGTTGAAATTCAAACATTGCAATGATTTGCTCTCCATCATTATCTGCTGTTTTCCCAATAGCACTAGATGGAAAATGAAAGGAAGGGATTTCTCATTCACAACATACCTTCCATCTGTGGGTTATACTGAACTTGCCACTGCAACATTAAGCCTTGGTTATATATCTAACGACTGGGGAGAGGAATCAGCTTGCAGTGAGATGGACATTCAAACTGAAGATAAAATGGTAAGAAATAAGAAGAGCATGTTTGGATAAGAATTACAACAGTGGTTGCTGGTGGCATTGAGGGTTGTGTGTAAACTGTAGCTGTAAGTACAGAACCATTCACTGGGCTTGTTCCTGCCTGCAATTCCTGGGAAAAAGGCATGGAACAAGACAATGAAAGTTTCTCAATATTCCCATGACTGCAATTATATGACATCAGCATTAAGCTTCAGCTATGAGGGGTTCTGTCTTTGAAGAGGTTTCTATTACAGTGTAAATGGAGGGAGGGAAATGGTCCACGACTACTCTACATGGAAAGAAGGAAGTTTAGGAGCTACTGAAGAAATGTAATTTCATGGTTGCAGTTAATACAATGGAAAGGTGTAAGCCAGGATACAGTGTCCCAAGAAATTAGTTAGAAAGTCAGGAAAAAGGCCACAGTGTGATTGATAGGTGAGAAAACTGGCTGGGCCTCTGAAATGTTGTGCTGAAAGTAAACACAACTTAAGATACTAATGCTCTGCATTTAGCATCACCTAGTATCACCTAGTAAATCTAGGTGATCACAAAATCTTTACTGGACACTTCTTAAGTCCTCATTGTATGTATATATTTGGTTCTTCAAAGGAATGAAGTATGACATGGAAGTATATCCATTTATGTAATAACATAAAGAAAACATCTATATAAATGGAAGTAAGTTACACTGTATGCAGCTGAATTAATTGTGTTTTATTAATTGTGTCATTATCTTTGGTTATATCTCTTACCCATTAATCATTTAATCTCTACAACAGTACTCAAAATTCTGCTTTTCCTCTTCAGCGTACCTGCCAATCCCTGTAGCAGTTCTCCAGCCAGTAGGGATCCACATGGATGCTGATAGGCCAAGGATTGTGTGCATAAGGATTGATCAGCTTCCTGCCACAGTTAAGTAATTCCTCCTTTTCTATTCATAAGGGCTCTAGTTTGACTCTTTCTCTTCTACACAACTACCAACTTGCCTGGGTATATTCACAAGTCAGATTACAGATTTCCAGCTAGAAATCAAGGCTGCCATTCAGTGAATTGTATATTGTTGCTTTTTCATAATGAAGTTCTTGCTAAAATGCAGTGCAATAACAGCAAAAAACCAGTAAGCTCATGTATTAATGTTGTCATATAGTCAACTGGTGTTAGATGAGACAGTTAAGTGAAGTTAAATAAGATCTTTCCTACTGAATCAGAAACTGCAGATAAGCTTTCCTGCTTATCCACAGCTTGTACCTTTTTCCATTTTGAGAGGGGAACACAAATGGTCAATGTGCAAGAGGAATGGAGCACCATCTAGTGCTTAAAGAATAATGCTGGAGAATGAGACATCGTTAGCAGTTAAAACAGCCCATGTAATTGTTTGGCTGACTTGCTTGCATAGAAGAGTATATTCTGGAAATGTAATGCTGTGATGTTCTTCATGGACCTTGTGGTGACTGAGAGGCAGGGAGATGTAGAATGACATGTCAGACTGTGTCAGAAACAGTCATTTGAAAAAATATTTTGCCTGTTTAGTGGTTAAAGAAAAAACTTAGGAAAGTTTTTTTGCATTCTCCACCTCCGAATAATTTAAATAATAGTAGGCTAAAGCCATTCAGCCTTCAAAATAATGTGTGATAGAATATGCAAGTACTATACATAGGCTATAGCAGGGTGGCAGTACTTACCTTGGCAGTGACAGTCATAGATAACATTTTGCAGGTTTATTAAAATGGAGTAAAAGTAACAGTTTAGCCCACATCTCCGCATGCAGCTTTGGGCTGACACTGTGTGGGAGAGGAATGGAGAGGGACAGTTGTCTGTGGATGTTCTGTGTGAGCTATGAAAAACTATGGGGTTCATCTGTAGTGGAATTCCTATTTGTCAGAAGACATCAGACAAGAGACAGTCGTTTTTGCTTTCTATGATGCCCAAAAAGTAGGCTGGAAATAAATCTCCATAGACCGATGTCTATAAAGCAGGTAATTGTTTATTGCAGTACTGGTGGTGAGGGGGATAGCTCCACCTAACTCATCCACCCTTGCCAAATGCTGTGGTATATTTATACAGTAAGTATTTCTTAGTGTTACTGTGTCACTAAAACATCATCGCATACATGTGGGAACTAATTTATATAGTATGATCTCATGGTTATTAGACTTTGCACTGTGCTTGCTCCTCCCGAGTTTGGGGGTTGTCAGGGGTCTTTGGTGAAGGCTTCCAAGGTCTTCTTCCCATCTGAACTTTTCAATTTTGTCTTCGGAGCCTGCACAGTTACAGTGTTCCTTGGTCTGTCTGGTCTTAACTGGCCTAAATTATTTGTTTTATGGCTAATTGGCTTTACATTTGTCAATTTCTCATTAGTACTATACTTATCTATCTCTAAAGCTATACACTTGGTAAGGTTTTTTCTACTTTTTTTTTTTTTCCTATTCAGCATTAAGCAACTAGTTAACTTTATATTAGCCATTGCATTGTATAGAAAGTTATTTATATCAGGTTATATAGATGTACAATTTATGATTGAGGTTATACAGGTATAAGAAGCTATGATTCAGGTTATATAGATATATAAAAGTAATGATTTAGGTTATATTGACATCAGGTTATATAAATATATCAGGTTATATTGATATCTTGCAACTCAAGCTAGATAAGCATCTTGTAACTTTGATCTCAAAGTTACATAGGCATCATCTGTTTTGTGGAAAGAAGCAGTGTATGCTCTCATCTACTCTAATTTTGGAGCCATGATCTCACTTTAATCAAAAGCACAATACATATATGCTGCTTTATTTATCCATGTTTCTTGCACTTCTGTAAACATAACAGCATGAGCCTGGCACAGATACATAAGCTGTACAAATACACAAGCTGTATTCCCTCTGCCTCCATATTGATGATGGATTTTCTTTTTCTTGCATATTTACCTCTTTTCAAGAATAAATGTGGGCTTATTCAAGAACCATGAATGCTCATATTCATTATAAGATAAAGTCACTACAATTATTACAAGCTAGACCAGTCTCAACTTTTTGAGAGTAAATATATTTTTATTTTTTATGTGAAGTTATTGGCCTTGTAAGCCAAAAG